GCCATCCTCCTGTGAATAACTCCTTCTTCCTGGAATGTACTATCCTCTCTGCAAAGAATACTGATGTGGATGAAATCAACACCACCATTCTTGAATCATTCCCTGGAGATAAAGCAGTCTTTACCAGCGCAGACTCAGTCACTGAGAGGGACTATGACTACATTCCCATAGAGTTCCTCCACACCCTCACCCCATCAGGCTTCCCTTTGCACAAATTGGAGGTCAAAGCAGGTGTTCCTCTGATGCTCTTGCGCAACTTAAACCCCTCTGAAGGCCTCTATAATGGAACCTGTATGATCCTCCTGTCTTGGACCACACATATCCTCAAGTGTCGCATTCTTAGGGATGGTGTTGACGAAGCTCACCAAAATGATCAAGACACAGTCCTGATCCCTCACATGACCCTGGATGCCACTTCTAAGGACAACCCTATTCCTCTCAAGCGTCAACAATTCCCTGTTCATCTTGCATTTGCCATGACGATCAACAAGGCGCAAGGTCAAAGTGTCAAGTGGGTTGGACTCAATTTGCAGACTCCTGTCTTCAGTCATGGACAGCTATATGTGGCTTTGTCTCAGTGCACTCACCCAGAGAGAGTGTATGCTATCTTTCCAGAGCATGAAGAAGGTTCAAAAACAACAAATGTAGTGTATAAAGAAGTGCTTAGAGGCCTTACAGATCCTATCGATGATTGATGTACATAGAATTGTACTTTTATATAGAGAACTGACTGATGTGATGTATTATGTACTTTTGTGTGGTGTAGTAGATTGTACTTTTAGCTGCTCAACAATGTAGATTTCAAGTTTTCAAACTTCCACTATGATCATTAGTAATGAGTAAGCCAAGGTGCTGCAGGCACCTCCCAAAGGAGCACGAAGCGCTCCTTTGCCTTCCTGTGCCAAAGGCACAGTGAGTATTAGGATGAAGCCAAGGCCAGGAAGCTAAAAAGGAGCGCGAAGTGCTCCTTTTGCTTCCTGTGCCGAAGGCACAACAGGTGGTGGACTAGTCAAAGATCAGCTCCTGCAAGTTCATTACCACTGTCAGACCTGGTTCGTGGCTAGACGACTCTTCCTAGAGTCTTGGTTCTCTTTGATGATCTGTGCTGCATCGCACCAGTGCTGCCAATATCTCTTTCAATATCTCAGACTCACTGGTATACTGGGGTTGCTCTGCAGTCCCGGCTGTTGCATGAATAATGACTAGCAGAGACAAATCAAGTTTTACCCCCTTGACTCCAGCAAAGTTTGCGTGCAAATGTCTGCTCGATCACCAATGTCACAAGATAATGCTTTGCATCCTTCTAGTTCCACAGAAACCACCTGGCTAGGCAAATACCTACCGTATATTTGCAAAGCAAGCCTGCCTTGCATTCTGAATTCTTCTTGACTATGTTCCAATCTTGTATATCCTGCCATGTGCAGAATTTAATTTGTGCTTCTGTGCCTTCACAAAGAACTTCAGAGACTACTTTGTTCAGGAAACCACAAGTGGTCGATTGCCATTGACCAACCGAACCCACACAATTAATTATACATGGCAGTGCCACTATGAAATTCCATGTCATTGCAGTTAGGTCCAAACTTTGTCACATATCCTTGCGTCTCTCTTGTCACTCCACATTTTATTGGCAGGCCTACAGTTGGCAACCTCAAAGGATCAACAGACGCTCGAATGAGCAAAGAGGTTCAACCTAAGCAACTGTTATTGGGCAAGTGCTGGCAGCAGTTATGGTTGTATATATGAGCGGCATGTCATTTCTACCCTCACAACATGATGTCAGCACAAGTCAAGTGATGTACTTACACAGCAATATAATGTACTCTGCCTTACTCCATCATCGCAAGCGCCCGAATCTGTGACATCACCCTGTTCCAATCCCAAAATCCAACAATCTGTCAGCTTCCGAATGTTGGTATTCATAGAAAATCATAGCGCCATGGACACACTATTCTCATAGACTTGATCATCCCTCTGTCTTCCGGGTCCCCAACACCTCGTTGCATAGGATTGCGGAGATAACAAGACAATCCAACGATTCCCAATTGTTTCATTACACTAATGAATGTTACATTGACAGCTTGCAGCATCTACCAGTTTCTGTTCTGACACTTAGTGCTCTCATTTTTACTTGCAAGAGGTTGGAAGTTCGCACAAGTCTGATGCTACTCGCAGTAATCTTGCCCGAGACTATTCTGCATTCAATTCAGTCGACACAAAACATGCCAGTAATGAGTGAGCCGGGCGCTGGTGCCATTACGAAATTTAGAACAACATTATCAACGCTGCGGTAAGTTGTTGATTCATCCACCATTGCACATGGCATCATGGTGACTGCGCAAGTACCGTGCATTATTCCTTCAAGGGAGACTCCTTTCGGCTGGCATGTGTCATGTCTGACCCTCTATCCCATCATGTGAGACCTTTATAAATTATATTCTACAAGCTTGCAATGAGACCAAAAACAATGCGTCATAAGCACTCCAGTCATAGTTTATGCAGTCAGGTGTTCAAGATGTTCCTCTAATTTGAGGTCTTCAATGCTCCAGCAGGGTGAAATTTGTTCACCATGACAACTGAGCAGAGCGCTCAGAAATGAACTACTTACATGTCATGTTGTCAACCACGCTGCAGTGTGCACCAAGGCAAAAATGGAAATTCAACTTACTGTACTAGCAACCCAGTGGCTAGTCATCTAAGGTACACATATATGCCTACCATGTTGGTGAGCCATGGGGTCAGATGAGAACTACTCATACTCACATCAGTGTCGCCAATCACTATAACCTGGCAATAATGGCCAGTGCAGCAAGCCATCACAGTGCAAGAGTCAGGACAATGACTGTCATCATGGATAGCCATAGATGCTGTCAACTTGAAAGCAGCAACAACAGCCAGGATGAAGGTGAGACACATTATTTGTGAGATGTGATATGGGATTCCAAAAGCAAATTTGAAGGTAGGAAGACAGCTTGCTTTTACATCCTGAACAATGTTCTGTGCATGACCTATCCACCTGAAATACTCATTCAAACAGATGACATTTGCATTGCCAGCACATTGCCAGCAAGCTCCAGTGCTAACCTGCTTTTCCCCTGGAATTCTCTTGGGAGAGGAACACTTGGAAATGTATAATTCCAACCCATTCACACAGCCTACAATAGGTGACACAGCAATCCCTGGAGCTGGGGTCAGAGGTTACATGGACACAGAGAAATTTAGAGTCTCATCATGGGGAAATGCGAAACTGGATACCCCGAGATCAGCATGACATTGGTTCTCCGCTAAAATGCACATTTCATAGCAGGTGCAGATGTGGCACTGGACACAGTTTATGTGAGGGAATACTGTATCTCTTCATTTGGTCTGGCCAGGTGAGATTGGTCTCCACTGTTGCGAGGATGGTGTGCTGGTGCATGAGGCCTCATGCCCAATGGAGTGCCCTGCATTAACATCAGAGAAGTAAACCTGCGAACTGCAAAACAAACGGTCCAGTCACTGGTGGTCACGACGTGACCAACCGTGACCATCTGAACTCAGCCTGATCCATCGAGTGCCCAGCCATCCTCCAGCTCTCCATCGACTGCCAAATGCTCTCACCATTGACCACTGACCCACTCTGACCCACTGAAAGAATGACATGGGAAAAGGCAAGAACAAAACAGGGACCGGAGAAAGACGAAACACAGCCTGATGGCATGCGCTCTGTGGCATCTCCTGTGAAGCAGCGATGCTGTCAATGCCAATGCTAATGAAAATAACAAGACTTACACATGGCATCTTGCAGGTCTGGCTCCCTAACTGAGAGGTTGGGAGATGAGGATTAGGATATGGGTGGGGCATAAGGGTGTGAATGGGAGAATGTCAAGGCTGCTGAGAGTGGGAGAGAAACAGCGAGTGAGGGAATCAAACTGCGTGCTTCCCCAGCCCATTAAATATCCCCTGGCCTGTTTGCAACACAGATGCACCTTTGCTGCCCAATATGGAATTGTTGGTACTGCCTTGAGCAGGTGGTATGTGAGTTGTGAGGGCCTTCAATCATGGTGTTGGCTGTAACACTTATGGCTGTGTAGTTTCACATCCCACCAGAGATCTTCTATGGCATGGACATGGCGATCACTTGTGGATATTGAGGTGTGACTGGTGGCAAGCCATACAGACTGGACTGTTTTTTTCTGCGAAGGAAGCCACTGGTGAGCAAGCATATTCCTCAGCTAAAGTTGATGGTTTCACGCTTGTCTGACACCATCGACTAGAAAAAAAATGGTCCCAATGAGTGCTTAGACAGTACTTTTGTGCACCTAGACAGTCCAGTGTTCGCTTCATGACTTAGGTATCTTGTTCCGTCATCCCATACAACAAAGTTTGCTGCTGATTACATCAATATTACATAGGGGCCTGGTCAATATAAGGCTTGGTCTCGTCTGTCCTTACCCACCACCACCATCCCACATGCCACTCAACCATGAAACATATCCCAGGCTTTACAATGCCCTTGCAACACCAGACACAGCGCTCAAGCTGGATGATGTTGCTGATGATGTTGCTGCAGAGCAGGAAACTCTCACGTCTGAGTCGCCTGAAGTTGCAGCTGATAACAGCACCAATGTTATGGATGGGCTCTTGTCCCTTCAAGAGACTCTAAAACACGTGTCAAAAGCAATCTCGGATAGCACTGAGTCTGAGTATAAAAGGTGTGCAGTCTGTTCTCATTGATCTATGCAGCCCCTTTACTGAAAATCGCAGATTAATCTCAAACTGCGACACCTTCCTGAGGGAGCATGGCCTCCTTCAGGATGGTGAGTCCCTGTTTTCTCATTCACCCCACCAAGAAGCAGCTTACCTCATTGTGGCATGGATCATGGACGCATAAGTCCTACACCTCCCACTTCTTTTTTTGCTTCTCACATGCTCTCGGTACCAGATGCAACTCCATGAAACTTGATGGGATGAATAAGCCATCCACCAATGAGAGATGATCATATGGCCATGCCCAGAAGATGCAGGCAGCAATGACATACATGTTTGGGCATCTGCAGGGTCTAGGCAATCTGCCGTGGCATGAATCGGAGTTGCATAGCAGCCAGATGTTAGGTAACCCCTCAGTGTCAGTCAAGGTGTCTAGTTACATGTGCAGCTTGCGGCGCCACAAGGTAAGATTACTCACTAATGCCAAGAATGTACTTGACATGTCTGCTTGCTACTCAACAGGTTCAGGCAGGCAAGGTTGCAATCAGTGCTCGCACTATCACGTCCATCAGTACTTTCCCTCTGTATAGCTACTCCGCTGATTATTGCCAGCCCACAGCATATTCTGAAAAGAATGTATCACTTTAACCATCACCCTGATAACTGGGCTATCCTTGATTACCGGCCTGGAGGATGTAGTGATGGCTCTAGTGAGTCATTGCGGTGGGCTGGTGGACGCATCAGGCGTTGCTTGCATGCTGCTTACACAATAGCATTTCTTTGTATGTTACACTCTGACGAAGTCCTGAAAATACAGCTTCACGACCTTCATTTCTTTTCTAATGGTCTTATTCTGACACTTCCATTCAGGAAAACACACCAAAATGGCGGTGCGGAATAGTTTCTTGGCCTGGATTCAACACACTAACAACAATTCAGATATCAAACCTTTTTGGCTGTGGATCATGCCCACAGAAGAGCACCTATGTGCCATTCAAGCTATTGCTGAGTGGATTGCAGCCTCTAAAATTCTGACTGGTTATTTATTCCGAAAGTTTGCTTCAGGCGATCGAATCACAGAAGCCAACCAGCCTTTGGTAAGCCCCTTTCTGGATGGAATACATCATGAATCTCATCAAATCACACAATTTAGACATCCGAACGATTTTTAGAGTTGTTTCGCAACAATCTCCTGGATATTGGGGTGGATCCCTCATCATACGGTACACATTCATTTTGGTGTGGGGGCTGCCAGTATCTGCACATTGAGCGCCAGTGGCCGCTGCATCGCATATGTGAATGGGGAGGCTGGAGCCTCGAGTTTACTAACTTAATGATTGTCAAATATCTCATCTCACACAATGATGATGCCACAGAGCCTTGTGAGCATTTTTTCAACCCTGACCGCAGCCCATCTGTCAAGTGCCCACATTGCGGAAGGTCATGCCCATGTGCTTGATACTGTTACCTTGTACTACCTTACATCAATTTAATGATGACCATGCTTTGATCATGCAATATAGTGTGAAAGTTTTAAGTGCTAGCCTAACCTTTGACTTATCAAGGTATCACCCATGGTGCATTCCAAGACATGGCTGAGCATCATTTACAAAAACTCAAATGAGTACCAGATTGATTCAACATGGGTCGCAGTTTGGGAACTATGGGACAAAGCAAGGGGAAAAGTACAAGTATACCTACTGGAGTTTCTTTAACTGCTGATAGTGGCAGACAATTGCTGACTTGTTTCTCATAACATGAACCTCATCTCCCTTGTGATATGAGAATAGTGAGTCAAATGCATCTCCAAACTCTTTGCGGACCCATGTAATCATGTCATCATTGCTGATATTGCACTGTCTGCAAAGTTCGTCAACAATCCTTGTGAACTTCATTGCACAGCCATTGACTGAAAATTCCTTCCAGAAGTCTTCCGGCGTGCTTTGACGGTATTGAGAGACAATATCCTGCAAGAGCAAGTGAGTTGACTATACTAGCAAATGCATTCACTTACCCTCCAACCCGTCCATTGACTTTTAGTTCCCTGCCACTGGCCATATTTGCCATAACGGTAAACATATGGCCAGTATACTATTGGAATAGGGTGTCCTTTAATCATTAGCACTGATTCTTTCCCCCAGTAAGGACTGGTATCATCCCACATGGCATTGAGACATGGGATATCCTGCTTGAACATGATGGCAACAGGATCTGGCACGTCGCTAACCACAAAGCTTACTTCAGTCCCATCTCCTAACTTGAGGTGATGTGTTTCATCCACCACATGGGCTATGGACTCGCTATCAGAGGAAGGTGCCATGAGACTCTCAGAATCCAAATCAATATTACAGCTGTCAGCTGTATTTGTTGCATCTAGTCGGGCAATTATCCCAGCACTAACTTTTTGTGTGATCTGAAAAACCATGGTTCAGATGGTGACAAATGGCCAAGTGAGTGCCAACCTCTGATGTGATGGAGGAAATTGTGCTCTTGGTCTGCCATTGAGGTAGGAATACCCCACTACTCCTAGGCCTAGCTGATGTTGGCTCACTGGTGGTTACCTCAGACTCAGGCCTGTATGGGTGCTTCACGATGATGGCATGTGCCTGCCAGCGACCATTATTGTAAGTATGATCAAGTCATTAACTCATGGCATTGATGACTTACCCATGGAAGGATCTCATCAATCTCTTGTGGAGTGTGTAAATCCTTTGAACGCTTGACTGCATTGCGTCCATCATGGACTGCACTGGCATCCCTATCCCCATGGAGTTTTGCAAGACACTGTGCCGATAGTTTCAGATGGCTTGATTTTTTCTTACCCCCTCCAGTGACAGTGTGACTGCCCTTGTGTGGCCGATGCATGCCTGGACAAAGCCTTGTAGTAATTTATGCGATAGTCAGGTTCCCTTGGCAAATGAATATATATTTTATTGGACTCACCTGTCCCACTGGCCTTGGTCCTTACTGAATTCCTCCAGCTGAGATTGGAGGAGGCTTTTATTGGCACAGACCTTGAGACCGAACATGCGGCAGTAGTGTTTGAGAGTCTTCACTGTCATGCTCGAACTAGTATTACCATGTTGAGTTCAAACCTCCAAAGTAAGAAAACTGACTTACATGGACAATAATTCTACTTGTGGTTGCCCGCTACTAGTGTCAAAGCCTACAGGAAAGGGCAAGGTTGTGGTCTCCATCATGAAATGATGGCGTAAGACAAACAGTGTCTGAAAAATTTCATGAGTTCAAACACTATCATTGAATTAATGAATTACATACATGATGAGCAAATAGTGGATAGGGGCCTCTATCCATCCTTAAGCTTGCCTGTCATGGGAATCAATGATCTCTGGACGGTATATACATTCACCTTGCTACCAGTTTTTTGTATTCTGAGAGCTATTTTTATTCAGGCTGTCGCTCCAGCTGGAGACAAGCACTCACTGCTTGAATATGCCACTTCCTGGATCGTTGCTCAGAAACAAGATCCTTCATCAATTGAAGGGCCCGAAAACAACAGGCTTCAGCTGGGTGTTGATGGAAAGTGAGCATTCTCAATGATTGAGTCTTCAAAGCCTGAACTCACATAATATGATGCAAGTCTTTGGATGGTTGAGAGCCAACATATCCCTTACTGAGGTCATGCTCAAGCTGGAGCAAATGCTGAGTTAAAGTCACTGTTTCAACAATTAGCTCATCTGTACTGCATTCCAAGTGAGGTCATTGTTGTCTTTGATGGACCAGCCAAGCCCGCTATCAAGAGAGGCACGCTGTGACAGTCAAGTTTTCCTTGGGCTTAGATTTACTTACTTTACTTACCTTTACCTACCCTCACTTTCTTTAGCTTATGTTTGCATTTTTGCTGCTTACTTAAGCATGTATCTCTTTCACTAGTGTCAGTACCAGCCTGAATGACAGTCCCTTTTGATGATAATTTCTACTCTCTGAGCACCAAGCCAAGTCAGAATCCCATGGGCTGAACATACTGCTCTCCACTCAGCAGCCTGGCCAGCTAAAATATGATTCCCACAATGCGCATCATGAAAACTCTGCCATGGTTGACAGAACCATTCAAGCACTTTGCACAGACATTGGGATTTGCCATCCATGATGTGAGTCATTCTCAAAGCTGCTTTAGATAATTATCTACTGTTACTACTAATCTTTCAAGGCTGCTGGTGAGGCTGAGGCAGAACTTGCCGCACTTAGTCGCAGTGGTGTTATCGATGCAGTCATCACTGAGGACAGCGATGCACTGGTATTTGGGGCTTCACGTGTCTTCAGGAGGTAATTCCGACACCATCACTATTCTCAAACATCTTACACAGTGCTACAGTGATCCAAGTTGCTCTGACAACATTATTATCTACTCTGCTGACAATATTTAGCAACATGGAGAGGTAATGCTCTCTAATGGCGGCCTTCTGCTTATGGCTCTGTTGTGTGGTGGTAACTACCATGTAAGTTTAGAACCTGCTCAATTATTTGCAGTTGATTTTAGCATACCTTACTCCCAGGATGGACTTCCAGGCTGTGGGTGGAGAACGGCGCGTGGATTAGCACAATATGGTATTGGCGACAATCTCCTTCAAGAGGCTCAGGCCCATTCACTCACATCAAACCATGAAGGACTGAAGGACTATATCTGTGGCTGGTCCTGTCACCTACAAGAAATCTTTGTCAAGGATCCACTTGGCCACATTGGCCAGCGTCACCCCAGGTTTTTGAACAATGTTCCTGACAATTTTCCTGATGTATCAGTTGTACTGGCATATGTCAAACCCCCAACCTCTGCGCAGCCAGTTGGTCATGATTTCATCCACTCAAAGGTCTTGGACTTAGAGAATCTCACATACCTGTGTGAATTCCACTTTTGCTGGTCAAAATACATGCCCCCAGGCCCAGTAAGAGATGCAGAGAGCATGGGGACTATGTGGAAGTTGCAGGACTACATTTGGCCTGGAATCTGTATCCGTGTGCTTCTAGAGGTGAGCCGGCCAGTGTGTATTTACTGTCACACTACCCCATTCTGATATTATGCTAGACTGAGCCAGAGTCCATCATCCAAATCCACTCTGAATGAGATGCACCATCCTTGCATGCCTTAAAACAGTACCAGGTCGAGGTCAAGTCATGCACACTCATCACTGCTGCAAAGAAAGGTGTGATGCGAGTCCAGCACATGGCAGAGTGGACACCCGCTGAGTCTGCCGCCATTATCAACTCACAGTCCGACATGTTGGTGGATTTGACGAGCTGGGTTTGGGTGCCTGTACCATTGGTGGAAGATCATCTTCCAGCACTCATTCACGCATTCAGAAGCAGAGGTGGCAAGAGGCAGCAACCAGGCGCATCCACTGTGGTGGCATCCTGTGATCATCAGGGCATGGAGATAATAGAACTAACTGATTCCGACAGAGACACTGCCAAACAGCAAGTGTCGCATAACACAAAGAGGAAGAGACATACTTTTGATGCTTATGCCTTGGAGGTACTGGAACTTACTGATTCAGACTAAATAGATGCACAGAGCCCATGTCATTTTTTGTATAGTACTTGTATCTGCATATATGATAGCATTAGCATCTCTTATTGTCTCCCTACTCAGCACTAAGCTGTGTGAGTGCACTCACTTGGGCCAGTATCTGTCTGCAGGATTCCAGGTAAGTAAGTGCTGAATAAAGCAAGAAACACCAATACACCATGGAGGTGGACTCACCATCTCCAGAAAGCTGGCATTGCACTCACTGCAGTGCTCAATGTCACTAGCTTCAGGGCACCAGAAGGAGTCGCTGTCGCTGTCTTTTGGATGGACAGAGGAAGCACAGCTCTTGGCCCCATTAGTAGTAGCAGGTGGCAGCGGCACTGAACTCACAGCAGCAGGCTCACTTGGATGATCACCGAAGCTGATACTGGCCACATCTGACATCTGTGGCTCATTCCCAGGTAAGAAAATGCTAAAAACTCAAATACTAAATACTCACTGTATCCATTGGCCAACAGCTGACAGTGCACTCACTGTAACGTTCCCAGCTGCAATTGCACACTGTGCATGCTGGGGGGATATCAGGAATGCCCTGATTTCTGCACTCTTCACTATGCCTGTGCTCTTCTAGTGGGACAATGACAAAGCATGGCATCCAGCTGTAGAAGCTGTGGACTGGAATGGCAGGCTGCCACCAGTAGTACGTTATGCCGAGCCCAACAAGGACAAGGATGACCACAACAATTGCTATTGCAATCGTTGTGGTCATTGTGGTCTCTTGGAGGCCATCACTGCCAACAGAGGAGGCAGAAGCAACAGCTCGAACGGCCTGGACGACGGGGGCGAGCTACAACGAGAAAGAGAGTCAATGAAGGGAACGGCAATCACAAAGGGAAATCGCAAGGGAATCCGTGCACCAAAAAAGGGAAGGGACGTGACCAACGTAAGCGACGCCGAGCCCCCGATGGAACGTTCAAGAAACCGATCCACGGCATTTGCCGAACGTCACGCCCGCCAGCGGACGGTTTTGTTTTTGTGAGAAGTATTTATGAATCACTATCTTTGACATTCATGCACGCCGAAATGATTCTTCCTACCGTAGCATCTTGACTCTTGACACAGCAGATCATTTTCATGGAGAGGAACATGATCCACCTGCAACTGCCATTACTCTTCAATCATCGGACTCGTCGGTAGTGCTTCATGTGCAGTGTCTGAAAATCACAAGTAGGGACCGAGCATATAATGAAGGAGTGCACCATGTGTGAGATTCTACACACCACAAAACCCGCTACTGCCGTGGCGGGAATCAGAATATTGGGAAGGCTGCCACTATGAAATTCCACATCATCGGTCATCCGGCTAGATCCATCCGAGCCCAAACCTTGGTCTATTATCACCTCAGCTCTCTTGCTTTCCTCGCCACTCCACAACTTGTTGACTCTGTAGTCGGTGACGTCGAAGGATCGGATATATACAGACGCTCAAATGAACAAAATTAGCAGAGGCCCAGTCTAAGTAACTGTCATTGGGCAAGTGCTGGTGGCAGTTAAACTTATGTCAGTCATGGTCGTATGAGACGCTCGCTTACCGCCGCCTTGCTCATTCAACCTACCATGTCGTCCGTGTCCGTACAACTATCAGCTCACCCTGCACTGGATGTGACAGTTGTTGCCGTGTATCTCTCCATCCGCGAAAGATTAAACTGTTGAGCACCACCGTGTCTCGCAAACAGTTTCCCCTACGACCTGCATATGCAACGACATTCAACGAATGTCATGGGCCGACACTAGAGAAAGCCGTGCTTGCCTTGCGCACAGATTCGTTCGCACGCGGACAGCTATGCGCTACATTTTTGAGAGTGCGATGTCAGCAGGACATCCGAATGCTATTTGAAAGAGGCAAAGACAATAGCAAACGGAGCGTACAGACATCTCTTATTGAAATTCATGGTAGAAAATGTCCGAAGGTGAACGGAGCGCTTGTAGAAAATACATGCGGGAACCGACTCCATTTAGTACATCTGACTGGATGTCAACATAGTCAATCAATGGGGCTCATTATCGTAACAGCAACTTCTTCACCTACTAGTATCCACGTGCGTGCCCAGGGACATAAATGCCGCCGGCAATAAGCATCAGATTTTGGGACGTGGCAATGCCCTTTCGAGTTGGACGGCGTAATTAGTCCCCAAAAGGGGCCAATCATGAACTAACTCGTCTTCCTCTAGCGCTCTCCAATTGGGTGATGGTGTGGCGCGAATGTGCGAGAAGTCCTGGGGCAAGAAAGGGAAATCGGTATGGTTTTCGGTGACCGGAGGTGGCTGATCAGTGGTTGTCTGTGGTGACGTTGTTATTTAAATAGATGAAATGGTGAAAAGATTGAACCTTCAACTCGCTCGGATACACGCCAAACCTCACTTGATCACAGCTTTCGATGATGGGATTCGATGTAATGTCAAGATAGGCATCAATGGCAGTGGAATTGTGCATCCTGAACTGCCAGTCATGAGCACAGTAGAGCGTGACACACACGGACAATATAATCCTACCTGGTGACATCTAGCAACAACCACGCAATTTGTTAAGTCGTGCAACATGATGCTACCATCGACGGTCCCTAGGATGAGAATTGAATTATGTATGTCGCGGATGTTCAGCGCCGGAAGGGAGATAGCATTAGCAGACAAGGTTAACTCATTCGTGGTCGTAACAAGATTTAAGACACTGCTTGATATTCTTATTATAGACACCTCTACATGATCTGTGGATGAGCTGGGATCAGAAAGGCACGATCTAGAGAGGTAGCGATTGGAGTGGTTGGATATTGTTCTGGAAGCACTAGATATTGTTGAAGTAGGTATCGCTGGTGCATTCGCCCGATCAGGTAGCGTTGCGGTCTCTGTTGATGCTGACGCTGGTATCTTGACCTTCCGTTTAAAAGCGAATTTCAATTCCCTGTGGTCGATGAGCGCAAGTCCTCGAGCGACTTCTCTAATACTTTGAGTTGCTTTCCGGTTTGGTTAGCTCAGGCATCAAAATCAGACACAGGGCACGTACCAGTTCATTTTGTCTTTGATCATAGCTCGGAAGCCTCCCGGTAGCTTCAGTCAAACGCTTGTTGAGCCTGTACTTCTCCGGCGATGGAGTGCACAAAAACAGCATCTGCAACTTCGAGACGGGTGGCAAGTTCTACGGACTATAATAGCGTCGGTGGGACCGGTGTAAAAGTGAAAAACTTTACCAGAACAAGATGCTTGGAAAGAGGACGTGAATGTTTGAGAAAAAGTCCAGAGCGCCTCTGTGCCGTCAGCGGATACCATAGTGGTCAAGTAGAACCGGCTCAGGCACTGGTAGTGTTGTCACAGAGGCGAATCGAATCGAGGTGAAAATTCTGGTAAATCGACATAGTTGGTCACAGTAACTAACGTTCAGATTAACGAGTTGAAGGGCGCCAGCGGACAAAATTCCAATCAAGGGTTTCCAAATGAAACTTGGTGTGAAAATTTGACGGACCAATGGGTGAGGTTTGCAGTCCAAAGAGATGGCGAAACAAATGTATTGGTTGAGGATCTACTGAGTGAGAAGTGTCTCAGAATGAGCAGCTGCAGGAGTGACTACCAGATTGATAAGCGGCGGTGAGGCGAGCACGTTGCCAGAACGTTTGCCAGCTGCCGACACTGGGAGTCTAGGACTACAAAGCTGAGCGGAGTTGGGACCGTCAATTTATAGGAGCAAAGCTGGAGGGCCCATCAAAATCTCGCGGAGAACGGCACGAATCCCACGCATGGCCCATACTTATGCAGCCAAGACCAGTCCAAATTCGCAGTCCTTTTGAGTCCCGCTCGGCAACACTGAGCACGGTGGTGAGATGTCATCCAAAGCTATCTGTAACACGCTCGCACCGCTCAAAAAACTTCGCCATCCCCTCCGTCCACGTCTCGCCCCACACTGGACACTTCGACCAGCCTCAGGAATACCTATGCTCAACTGTCAAGTAGAGCCGTGTTTTTGTGCTTAGCCCTCAGAATGTTTCTCAATCACAACTAGGCTGGTACCTCGTTAACATTGCGCGAGATTGTAATCTATATTGTGCCGCCCTGCTTTTCTTCCCATCGCTGATCCATAAGCTCCCTCTTCCTGGTGCACTCGTCGCATTGCTCCGAAACTAACTGTGTGATGTCACTCAATTGCGCGTCCATGCGTTCATTAGCAGCCGCTCGCTCCTCGTTCTCAGTCTGTCGTAGCTGCCTTTCGCTATCAAGCTCCCCACGAACGCGTGCAAGCTCTTCCTCCAGGTCATGAACCCTTCGATCGCGCTCTTCATCCATGCGAGCACGCTCGGCGGCAAATTCAGCACGTTCCCGCCCCTTCTCGGATGCAAAAGGCTCCCTTTCGCGAGCAGACTGCTCGCGCTCAAGTTGAACCGTCTCCAAAATGTCACCGACGTCGCGAGAAGCCGCCTCATGAGAAGCTGCGTGAATTGATTCGACGATGGAAGCATTATCCTCTGATCCGGGAGGAGGGAACGGTAGAGAAGGTACACTGCGCGCTCTTTCTTCCAGTTCAGCAAATAGTTCATCACCGCGCTGTCTTGCCTCATCATCACGACGTTGTTCGTTCTGGAGGAAGATTTGCTCTCTGTGTTCTTCACTGTTTCGGAACTCTGCTTCACGACAGTCTTCAGCTCCATCAGCGCCTTGGACGACCTGGTTGAGTTTACGTTCTACTTCATCCAGTCGTTCGTGCAGTCGATTATGGACTTCATCAAATCTGGTAGTCGTTGGGTCAAAGTGTACATGAGGATCATGACCTGGCGGTAGGACATGAACCACCTCGCTCCCGCCATCATCCTCTTGAATAGTGACTGACATACCTCCTGCGTCCCTTACAGAAGGTATTGGATGTGAGGAACGGACAGTTGGAATGTATGCATGAGGGGAATGACGTAGTTGTTGTCGAAGCTCACTAGTGGGGCTCATCGGACGTCGTTCTGGAAGGTTTGTTAGAATAAGTCCATGCCCACAGTAACTCACGTACCTGGTGAAAATGGGCGTTCTTCCGGAGTCATGATCATGGACCGGCCGGTGTGTATTTCAGGATGTGTTCGCTCTGGTTGCTCGATCCTGATGACAGTTGGTGACCATGGAGGGTCCTCAAACCGCAGAGAAGCAGGGATGCCAGGACTATCTCTGCGATAGCTGCAAACAGGTATATCCTCTTCTGAATACCGAGTGGGAGTTCTGTGAGTCGGTAGGTGATCGCCTTCGTCATAACTGGGACGTCTGCGGCCAGGGTCCCCTTCAACACTTGAACGTCTGCGACTAGGGGTGTGATGGCTACAACCAGGTGCATCCGCCTCTGAAATTCGACTGGGAGCTCTGTGAGTCGGTGAGCGCTCATCTCCTCTGCTTGGGTCTCTTCCTTCCGAACGTGTGGGAGAGAGTGAACGGGGGCGTCCACGGCAGTGGCAGCGATCATCATCTCTATGCCTCTCGCCTCCTCCTCGTGATGGCGATCGCGAGTGATGATCACGAGGCCCTCTCCGTGGGGGAGAGTAGTTGGCATAAAAACGGCGATGGGGGCCATGTTCATGCGAGTAGTATCGGTGTCGACGGTCATCCGAATGTCTTGGGTAATCATAATCAGGAGAGTAAGGATCGTCGTATGGAGGATATCTATCGCGGTACCCTCTACGAGGTGACCGAGACCGAGATCGTGAACGATCGACGTGTCCCACGCTACCAGGTAACCCCTCTACTGGACCGCCAGGGCCGCCACCTGAAGGAACACCAAATTCTTGGCGAGTGGGAGATCTGGCGACCTGTTCCCCGGGCGGCAATTGTAATACGACAGGGCCAGGCGGAGGGCTTTGTTGTATGACCACTGGGCCTCCTCTCCCGGAACTAGATCTGGACCTGGACCTGGACCTGGACCTGGGTCTGGGTGCTGGCTCAAAAGGTGGGTGAATTATCACGGGTCCGGGACCAGGCCCTCCAAACATGGGTGACGGTGGTATCCCTGCGAATCCATATGGAGGCCCCGGCTGTATTGGCGCAGGCTGATCTGTCATACCCACTTGAGGGGGTGGAGTCGGTTGTGGACGCACATTGATGTTGATATCCTGGGGCCGAGGGCTTCCATGGCTGTGTATATGCTCCCCGGAATGTACTACGTCAGGGATATCTTGCTGATGCCCTGGTGCCATGTGATCCTCCGGAGGGTGTTGTACATGGTGTACGTTGGGATGCGCATAGGTCTGTTGGGTATCCGTACTAGTCTCACTCCCTTCAGCATCACTCTGTTGAACTACGATTGTATGTGCTGGCAATGGTCTCGTGGAGAGCACAGCATCGCTAGAACCCGAGTGAGGACTTGTGAGAAAAAATCTTTCACCTTCATCATCAGGGGGACGCTCGTACCGATCGCCATTTTGTAGTTGGGGATAACCATCATAACCACCAGGGAGTACTGGTCCTTGCGCACCTGGAGGGTAATGATGAGGTTCTGGCATGCCCTGCGGCCAGCGCAGTGGGGGTTCATCGGGTATGGAAGGAGTATATCGACCCGACTGAGGAGAACCATCATAGGTGGAAATGACACCTAGTGGTTGCACGCCGGGCTGCATCCCTAATCCTAGTCGTGCAAGATCATTTCTGAGCTCATCAACACGAGCGGTCACCCCCCGTAATTCTGCTTGACGGTCCTGCATGTCCCTTTCAAGCCGTTCATTCAGGCCTCTCATGTACGTCATCAATTCTCGCTGTTGGTCCACCGTCGCAAGTTGGGCGAGACGATGTTCCTAACGCAAGAAGAAAATTAGCGTCTCGACAGGATATCAATAGCGTAACTTGCCCGAAGGATGTTCATCAATGTGTCAAAGAATGGTAATTGCACTACGGTCTATAAGAGAGCAATCAGAACCTGGGAAATCACACCTTAAATTTACTTACTGGTCCCGGAGGCATTGGCACGTATTGGCAACCACCTTGTTGACCAGGGATAACAGGCGGAGGAGGCATGCCCTGCAGAATTACCAAAGTTACATCTTGAAATCAAATCCGTTGAACGACGTACTAAGCCCTGTGATCTTGGGGGACGGTACCAGGTTTGAGGCTCGCGAATGTCGTCACTGGGTTCAAGGTTAGCAGGTGCGCTTGGAGGTCTTCCGTGCAAGTCGATCTAAGCAAAAGGTTGGTATTTTACTATATTCATTCAACAAAAGTACTCACTGGCACAACAGGAACAGTAGGCCGGTGTGGAGGTCTTGGATTGGAAAAATCGCCGGGTGGTGGCACCGGTTGCTGAGTAGGCAGCCCAGGTGCACCAGAAAATACGGTCTCGGGCTCAGCCACAGGTCGGTCGCTACGGTGACCTGGAGTAGGATGGGTGATAGGTGGGTGTTGAATCTCAGGCGAGAACACCGCTGGCACTGTGGCAATTGGGAACGTCGCAGGCCGTAACATGGGACTGATACTCTTTGACCTTGGAGGACGTACCGCAGGTTGGTAAGCGAAGGGAATCAATGTTGGAGGTGGCTGGACGCCTATAGGTACTTGGGGTGGGGGTGCCTGCAATAGTGCAAGCAGCTCATCGTCAAGATTTCCACGAGTGCTGCGTGGCTGGGGTGCAGCAAGAGGGACGCGGTCCCTCAGAAGCCGCGTCCAATCCTGCCAGCGCTGCTGAAAATCCTCTGCGCCTACATCTATGCCGACATCAGAAATAGATACCAATGGCGGCTGGATGTAGCCAGGTCGTTCAGTCTCGACACGTCTATCAATGAGTTGACGCAAAAGGACCTCGATGGCCTGAAACCGGTCATTGAACTCTGTGGTGTCCAGAGAACCTGAGCGTGTCTCATGCAACTCGTCCGGCGTATGGTTTGTTGACACCTGGCCCTCCCCTTGAAGCACAGTTGTCTGCTCTCTCAGTGAGATCAGCATATCTCTCAGCGTCTTAGTGGTGTTGCTATTGTGCTGACGCACAGTGGTGGTCAATGCTGTTGAAGGTGTAGGTGACGAGGGCGGAGGAATCAGTGATGACGAAGACGTAGTCGACAAGCTGGGACCAGGGGATGGCTTGCTGGGAGAAAATTCAGATGGTGTGCATCCGTGAACCCATGAGTCCTTGACATTATAGCCGTGGGCCGGCGCAACTATAGTCCAACTCGAATGATCTAATTCTGCTCCTGCTAATATGATCATGTAATATCTTTGACTTAATCACACATAGCCATGGATGTTCATTCGTATAGAGAAGGAGGAGGAGTTCATGACAAAGTTATGACATGCCGAGCACATGGCAGTCATTTCATTAAAAAGTTCACCCTTAACTCTTTGGACGCACCAACATTGTTTGTATGTATTTGGTCGGAACAAGGTAAAGGGCCATTGTAATACCGCCGGCTCACAAGTTTGGTCACACGAGTTGTAACGTACCTTTACGGCATCTTGATGGATTAAAATGGCCCAATGACACAGCCCAATTATAATAGTCTATGTTCTCTGACCTCGGAAGGTCGCCAAAGTCAAAGGAAGTTTATGAATGTTTTATTTGAAAGAAGTGACCTGGATGCAAGACCGTATTGAAACAAGAAAGCACATGTATTTGGCAGGTGTACAACCCGGGGGTATCACCTGACTTCCCAATAAGTACTTTCAAATCGTGTTTCATGCGGACGAATTCGTGTCATTTGAAAAGTCATGTCATAGGGCCATGATATCATTTAAACGAATGTTTTAACAGGACCTTTAAAGCTATGCTTTCCCCACCAAAACCAGTTGATCGTGATTATGACCAAAAGACCGCCAACAGCAACAATTGCATAGTTCATGTTGAGGACGTTCACCGGGTATGCCGTAGGTAGGACGAATAAAATGCAGATGAAAACGCAGAACTATACAGATAATCAATGGCTATTGTGTAATTGATGAGGAATGTACGCACCGCAAAACTTGCAAAGTTCACTGGCCATGACCATTTCCTGAGGCAAAAAGGTCCAAAGTCTTCAATGCTAGATCCAATACATAAGTTAAACGAGGCTCGGATACATGATTTTTAACAACGAACGAGTTAGGCCAGAACACGCGAATGACGATGGGTTGCATGTAGCTCAACATCACCGATGTAGCTGCTGAGGATAAGATGGCGTTAAACTGTGATGGTGGAATTGTTATCAAAATAAAGCATCTGAATTAACTGGATCGACTGACTGCAACAGCAGACCCGATGTAAGCACACGATATAATGCATCCTATCAAGACGCTGGTCCATACACCCCAGTATGGCGCTTGGAATCGGTTCAAGGTCATAAATTGTTTTTTTCAACGGGAACGCATTATCTCTTGCGAGCGCATAGAACAGCCTTGAGCTTGCAGTAAAATTTGTAATCGCAGCCATTACTTGGGCAAGCGTCACCACAACCAGGCACAATTGCGCTAACTGTGGCCCGACAGCATCGTAGAAGAGTTGAGAAATTGGGATGGCGAATGTTGTAGCCTGAACGGATGCGATGTTCTGGACCGCGAAAAGAAGTGAAAGCATGTACACGAGACCGATCAGCCAAGAGCCTGCAATGCTGCCTACCACAGCGAGCGGGGCCAGGATTTCTGCGCGCACAGCTTCTTCTGCCACTTGAGCTGCTGTTTCACATCCCTCGAGCGTGTATACAGCCTACAGCACGGTAGTGCCGTGAGTTGCATTGTACGCCATGCATACATAATCAAACCTGACCTGAAGAAACCCAAGAAGCACAACAAAACCTCTCGATTCCCAACCGGTGAAGCTAGTCTGCCAGTCACTAACTTCATCCTTTACAAAGTAAGCGAGATCTTACTTTTGAAAATTCGTGAACACGAAGTCAGGAGAATTCTATCACACAGAATCAGGTTTCGCGTGTAGAAAGTTCGTCATGCAGATTATGAGAACTTTACCTTCACAGGCGCTTTCACAAGCAGGGTGATGGCCAGCACAAACGTCCCGCCCAACGTCCACCAGACATTAAACGTGCTCATTCGTCCTATGGCCTTCGTTCCGATGGTATTGATAATACCAGAGAATATGTTCATGGCCCAAGCGATCGCAGTGATTTCTACTCTCGTCAAAGTCCTTCCTTGTCCAACCTCTGCCATCGATGCAAGGTATAGAGCGACACTAGATCACAATTCGCAGGCCGCTGACCATACGACGCAAACGAAACTTACCTCAAATTTCCGGAAATGCCAGTAAACACCATAGCCATGGAATAAAGCCAGCCAGTGAAGACTGATTCATGAGCCACCGTGTGGAGAGTGGACGTTAAAACTCACAGCCAAGGATAGGCGTGTCTGGTTTCATTTTGCAAACCCAAAAGTAGAGTCCTCCCATTGTTGGGCTATACGACAACCTAAGACGTAGCTCTGGCAGGGTATGACGACTTGCTTACTATGTACTGCAAATCTCTGCAAGGCTTAAAGCGATCAGAAACATAAAGAAACTGCATATCTATATAATACAGCAGCTTGCATCGTTTTCAGGCAGACTGAACCGCAGAACTCACATTCCATCCCCAGAACAAACCAACCGGGCCTCCAGAGAACAACCCTGTCTGAAACGCACTGCTCATTCCAGTCAGAATGCCAATGGCGCAGAACGATATCCCAAGTACTCCGAAGAGAGACATCTCCCGGCGGAATTCGGCCCTGTAGCCCAGGTCCTGAAGGCGTTGATCAGTCACGGCAACATCACATGCTTCTTCCTTGTCCTCTCCTGCATTGGAATCTCGACGTTCTGACTCGAGCATGGTGTACGTGGCACACACTGATTATCGTGAGCAGATGGGGAGACCAACGTTATATAGTGACTAGTAGAAGAATGAGAACAAGGAGAGATAAGGTATCATAAACAGCTCACTCGCCTCCAGATAAGCGACGGACAGTAAACGCCATGACATATGGCTCCGAAGGAGCACATGTGAGTACTTAAAACGTACTTTAAAGTTGACAGGTAACCGGTCGCCGAAATTACCGACCGGGACGTTCTGTCAAGTGTATGTATTGGTGTGAATAATGAGGGGTATCTTGTGATCTCTGCAAAAGTAGAGATAATGAGTTTGTGGAGCTTCAGATGTGTCACTTGACTCCTTATCGTAAATTGTTAGAACAATATTAACATGTTGAGTAAGGATTTCACCGACCTTAAGAGAAGGCGCCGCTACAGTACCAATCAGCGTGAAGGCGTGTGTCGCGTAAGTAATTGTATGTTCGTCTGGCTGTATAGAGACTTCGTCGTGAACTTGGCCAACAACTTGAAGACGAGTGCTCCAGGAACACGCTACGATAAACTTCTGAGTATGTGTCGTGACGAAGCCTGACGGACGTCCTTTCTCCTGCGATGGGGTGAGTTAGTTAATCAATTAGACGACACTGGGCATAAGAGTTCGTTTGAACACCCGTTATGATCAGAACGGCTTTTCAATCATCATGAACAAAATGGGTGTTCAAACACTGATAACACCTGCCGTTCCCCGATACGTAGGTAGTGATGGCATGAGCCGCGTGACAGCCTGCGACGCTCTGCCACAGTCACGGTAGTATCCCCTAGCCAGGTCAATCAAGAGAAGAATCTTAGCAACAAGTACACTGCGAACCTCTTGACTTTGTCGGACCTCGATCAAGAGAAAGTAACGGACTAAACGGTATATGCGCAGTCACGGCTTCGGACCGCATATGAAATATTCACTCGTCGACTGGTTTCCTCGGTCTGATGCCGAGGTGGAACAAAAAATTATTTACTTTCGATTGCCGCGGCAAGGCCCGGGCGGTGACTAAACAGAGACGTCAACAGAGGTCAACGCGAAAATTCTAGATACCCTATAACGGAAAGCTTAAGACATGCAACATCTCTGAGCCTATCCGGTAAGGTCCAGTCCTCACTGGGGCTGAGTGCTGATTCTTGTTCAACACCTGTGTTTCCAACAAGTTTTCCATAATCTTCTCCAAGATGTTGACCTCCTCTATGAAACTTCTTAGCCATGCATGCGTTATACGTACAATCTTCAATAAACCTCGAATCTCACGCACGTCGAGAGTGGCCTTCAGACTGAATCTGAGACAGTTCCATCCGTAAGGTAATTAAAGAGTCGACAGGCTGGATCACTATCACCATTCCAGACGACTGGTTACTCGTATCATCGTCTATCATGCCACACTGCCATCTGGATATACACGTGCAGCATAACCTGAACCCTCTTACATGAACTTCATCCACAGGCCCTATATCCCTACCTTTGTCTTGTCCAACTATCCGTGTTCCTTTTCATTGTGCCAACCTGACTGGTAACTTACAAGGTCGGTCTATCAGAATTCGTAAGTCACTCCAAACCGTATCCACCTCGTGATCTTCACGCTCTATCAACAGTCATCAACGGAAAAATCTCAAAGTCCCCTCCGAGTGCGTACTCGTACGCATATATGTGTTCATCAAACTCGCCGAGATGAGACACTGGTGATCAGCTATCAGAGTCATATCATCTGATCAATCTGTAGTGTTGGGCGACCCGAGGACTGACCTTCGGTTTGTAGATCATTGCACGAATCTCTGAATTATCGGTAGAGGTCAAGGTCTCTCTTGAGTTCGATCAAAGGCCGGGCAATGGAGAAAACTCTATGTGTCACAGAATGAGGTACTTCATCATGAGGATCAGGCTTTTGGTGAGTGATCTGCGCGCCGTTCATGCACATCTACTAACTTCTCGACTCAGAATTCCACACAAAGACCTCATGTCCGCAAATCCCTATTTACCTTGAGGTTCTCAAAGCTCAGTAAGCGTATATCCGATGCTCAAGGTTCTACGGCTAGCACAGGCTGAGCTGTAGCTGATTAAGCAGCAATACAATATAGGAGACTGAAGCTACGGTGGTTGAAATCCGCAATATTCAAGGTTTTTAGAATCCCCCCTCCCCCATCATCGTAGGGCGACTTGCAAGTGGCAGTACGCCATGCGCCAGTCATTATCCCCATTGTTAGCCAGTCCTCGTGCAACGCCCAATGTCAGGCGAGCCCTACCATGTTCAAATACTGTCTCACTCTCCCAGATGTCAAGACGCTCAAGGACGACTTCGACAGGGAGATACGCCACGCATCTTTTATGGACCCAAAGAAGTCGAGGACAAACTTGATAGTACTCTTGAGGAAGATTTGGGATGAGGTTATGCTATTCACCGCCAAGGACCTCCATTATAATCTAAAATTGCAGCATCGGTCTCGAATCTGGCTGTGTCCGATTGTAGCCCTTGAATGACAACAGATGGGCATGGGCGGGAACTATGCCTAGAAGATATCTACATCTGCTCTTATACGCTAACGATTTCAGCTGATATTATTCTGACAGACGACGAAGACGCATGTGACGCCATCTTTCGCGGCTGTCAAAGCTTGTCCATAACACTGCTCCCGCGGGTCCAGTTCACCCATCTTTCTGGCGGAGAAGTTACACAGGCAGGTGTACTCGATGCTTTGCAACGCAATACCTGGATGCACATTTTTAATAATAAGCAGGATCGCAAGCTGAATTCATTTCTTGTTGGCATGCCATACTCCTGTTGATCAAAAAAACACCTGACGAAAACACCTGACGAAGTTGTTCACCTCGCTCGGGTTCAAGAGTGTCATTGGTACCCTGGGTAGTCGACGACGCTGTTGCAAGATACGTCGTCGAAGCCTTCTACGAGCAGATGTTCAAGGATTGAGGGGAGGGGGGCATGGCTGACTGCACGAAGGCAGCCTCAGCACTCAACCATGTTACGCACTCCATGAAGAAGTAAGGTGCTTGAGCGGCGAATCATTTCATTCATATGGGCGTGTAGTTCATGGTGTAATTAATGTTTGGATATGGTACAGTTTTATTAGTTGTTGATGCTGGATTACCTTCTACTTGTGAAAGTTGGAATCACCTCTGATATTTGCGTCTTTTTTTCGTGATCCCTCCGGAGTATTCTATCATGTTGGTCAAATGGAACGGTACCAGGACACAGTAAATGGAATGAAAACATAAAGTCTTCCCAGGCCTACTGAGCATTGTAATAGTAAAATCATTCTCATTTCCTTCGAACACTTCCTTTATACTAACTGAGATTCTTTGCTCTTTCTCCTAAGCTTACACTCATGCACGTCACCCGAATAGTCTTCAAACGAACGCCATACACTTTCATGGTTGCATCCATACTGAAAGAAGGCGCACGAACTCCAGTCAATCGTAACGAGGGAGGGACAAGCTTGTGCCAGTCATGACCGAGTGCGTGGGTATCGTGCCCCAGCCGCCCTCCAGCACCACAATAACCTGTTTCTATGCTGGTGAGCTGTACTTGTGTAGGAGACCCGCGAGTCCGAGGAGATGGCATATTCACCTGCCCACTTAGAAACTTGCCCTTCCCGTTACTGATTGTCTCCAAGTACTGCCGATGAGCCCTGAATCAACGTCTCGTTCTTTTCGAATTTGGCGCTTCTCTCCACTTCATCTCTGGAGCCACGCAATTTCGTCACACTGATCATCAATTACGCATGAAATAAGCACTTTCAACGAATTATGCTAGATTCCATGAGTGAATCAGCGGCAGAAGTAGTGTCTGGTATGCCTTATGCAGCTTCTGACACCAGCCAGCTGTTTCCAGTAACCATGATGCACCGGCAGGGTAGTTTTCGGTTGGGGAGGCCAGTGGGGCAGGAAGCTCCAGACCTCGAGTCTCGCGGCCTTTAGCGATCGAGACCCCTTTTTTCGGTCGTTTCCGAACCGAACAGGGAATTTTGCGTCCCTGTGCAGAGGCGATCATGGGAACTTAATCCAAAGCAGTACTAGTACCTGTACTAATGCGCAATTAGTATGCATTGCTGTGCAACCCTCGCTATGTAAGTAAGTGTCCATCCCAGATCCTTCCACTTCCTATTTCCCTTTGTGCTCGATACAATATCTGCTTTATGTCCAACGACTTATCAGATAGCTGTCTGGCTGTGATATGCGCCTCCTGCTGTGGGTCAAACCGTTTTAATCGTGCATCTGATTTAAACTTGCACCAATAATTAGGCGCAATTATCACGACTTCACTCCAGCAATGGTGTAATACCCGTGAGTCTTCCTTAATCTGGGTCGTTCATATCGGTCACGACTTACACTGCATACTTAGATGCATTAGGCGCCGATTGCAAATGTTGTGGTGGCCCACGCGGGTGCTGTAATAGTTGTTTCGAATCGTCCTCGAACGAGGACAATTTTGAAAGACAACTCAGGAAGACACGGAACGCAGAGAAGCTGCTGCTCGACGACTTGTTGATGTTCAACCTGCGCCCACTAAAGACATGAACTCGGAGAGCTCTACTGACAAGCCGGTCCCGAAATGAGTGCAAGGCCGTGCTGGTTCCTATCTGCATATCTAAAACTGATTGTGAATCTCAAATTTGTTTCAGCCTGTGACATCATATGACAACTCCTGGCATTGAAAGCTGTGTACGTTCAATAGGATGGCCTTGGGGATAGATGACCGTAAGCTTGCGGACTAGACTTGGGAAACTCTCTCAAACTGTGTTTCGCCTTCTGGTTGTGGTAAATCAGAGGTACGTACTCAGTTAGAGTGGGAACGGAATAAGCAACGTAGCACATGTACGTAATGATAACTCGGGCACCCTTCAGTTGCACTTGATTCTATCTACACCTTGGCGTTTTGTCCATTGCTTTACATTTATCGGTCATGCATATATTAAACGCAGGGTGTTTGGGTTCTACGTGCGGAGGCTGCTGTACGCCAAGATGTATTCCACCAATTTGAATCCATTGACCAAAATATTTGCATAGGCAACGTACTGCCAACAACTGCTCTAGGGTGCAATATAAGTTCGGTTTCATTAGTTCCATGCTGACTCTGAACTAAACTCATTGCTTGAACAGATGCGTTTGGCGCTAACGCCAGGTGCTGCGGTGCGCAAGGTTGTTGCGGAGGTTGTTGCCGAGAATCTTTTGATGAAGACCATTTTGACGAGCAAATGAAAAGGGAGATGGAGCGGACGAAAGATACCAGCCGGCCTGTCGAAACTCAGCCTGGGCCATCTGTTAACATGGCCGCGAACTTGAGGGAGGGCACAAGAGGGGGCCTTAACAATGCTTCACCAGCGTCGCAACAATCATGATCGCAACAAGGGTTCGGAAAGCGTGAGCAAGATACGGGCATGCTAATTGTTTTAACAGCTAGCGGGTATGTTTGAGCTCTTGCGCGTGTTGAACCTAGTAGGAAATTCAGTAACTTGTCAGTCTCATGAACATGTGCTACCGTTTGTCAAGATTATACTAACTTACAGTGTCCAGTTTGCCAAACAGAATTTTCATTTCTGAATTTGTGAACTCGGTATACGGCCAACGTGAACCTATAACACAACATTATAATAGTCAGACAGCGCTGGATTTGAGGCGCTACCGTGATTCGTGGAAGAGTTGCAATTGAAGCGATGTCCAAGCAGTCACATGTCGGAATTCGGAAGACCTGCTGCCACTTCTCTGACGGTCCAGTGCATCCTGCGTCATCTACTGTGTTGAGCTCTACGCACTTTCACTTGACCAGCCGTCCTCACTTGAACCTCACGGTTGTCAGAACGCAGGGAATCTACGCGTGTCTCCAACCTATTGTGTTACGATCGACTTTACAGTCATCATTCACACTAACCCGACTCTCCATCTCTCGACGAGCGGACATTCGGATACGTCGACAAGATACTGTACGAATTATTCGGGCATCTAACTTACAAATATAATACCAAAGCATACGAATCGAGCCTAGACACTGTATTGCAGCACCTGGAGTCTGGACAGTTGCTGTATTCCGAACCCACTTAATATTGATCAAGAGACTTGGGCATAGAGATGGGGAATGTGCAGTCAGGCTCCACTCTTACACGGACAAGCGGAGCATTGGATTCATTTGTCACCGAATTGGGAGGGGACATCGTTTATGACAAGGGGTGAGTCGTCGTCCTATACACCCCTCACATGCGCGTCCACTCTTGCTCATTTCCGCAGACTCAATCAGGCGCGTTTCCTCAAGACCGTCAAATGTAGACACAGAAATGGATACCTTGTTGTCAAGATATTCATCAAACAAGACCCTGGAATAAGTCTCAGGACTTACCAAAGAAAGCTGAAAAGTATGTGCTTTCAAGACACGATGTGCAACCTACTGAATTCGAGCAGCGGATAGGGAGGCCCTTCTGGACATTCCAAATGTCTACACCTATCAAACATTCCTTGAGACAGAGAAAGCGGGATATCTCATTCGTCAATGGGCGGCAAGTAATTTGTATGATCGTATAAGGTGCGACGCGAGACGCATGTCTTGGTTGTTATGCTCATTTGCGTAGTACTCGGCCATTTCTCTCTCTAATTGAGAAAAAGTGGATTACTTACCAGCTTCTCACCGCACTCTCTCAAGCACACCTGCATAAAACACCGCATGGAGATATCAAATCAACAAACATCCTGGTTACGTCGTCAAATTGGATCTACGTGACCGACTTTGCTGGATCTTTGAAACCCACGCGACTCCCTCTAGATGATCCTTCGGATTTCTCATTCTTCTTTGATACTAGTGGACGGCGGATTTGCTATGTCGCCCCAGAACGATTCTATAAGGTGGAGAAGGAGACAAGAAAAGCATGGGCAAATGAAGAAGGCGAAATAAAGGAGCCCATGGTGACCGAGGCGATGGATGTCTTCAGTCTGGGCTGTGTCATTGCGGAAGTATTTCTTGAGGGCGCATCTCTTTTCTCGCTCAGCCAACTGTTCAAGTACCGTGAGGGAGAGTACAGTGTGGAAGCCCAACTTTTGGCAATAGGTGACGAGGGTATACGAGTGAGTGATGACCAGTGCCAGCTTTCTTTGAAAGCTTACCTGTCTTCTATGATCTAGTCGATGATCAGACAGATGATTTCATTGGATCCTGCTGCACGACCTACCTTTGATATGCTCCTAGCGGGTGCACGAGGGACCGTCTTACCCGAATGTTTCTACTCTTTCTTGCACGAGTATGTAGCTTCAGTTGGCGAGCGTCCTTCTTGTCTCTCCTTTCCATCCTCGTCATTCTCCGTGTCAAATGTTCCTCCCTCCACCTATTTCCCAGCAGCCACTCCAAATGCAACGATCAAAGTACCAAGTAAAGAGACAGTGGCAACAGCTACTGGCGCAACTGGGAATGGTAGTGTACTTCCTGGTGATAGCGACCACAGGTTGGAGCGAATTTGGGAGGAATATGAGAACGTGGACCCATACCTCCTTGACGACACAGACATCGAGAAGACTGTGATGGATGTCAAGGTTGAGTTCGGTAATAATTTTGCTGGACCATCCAAACCTTTCCAGGTATATTTTACATTTATCACCGTGCGAGCTGAAATTTATCCATCGACTTACATCGCTTGTAGGATGTCTTTCCCGTTTCCATGCACATCCCATCTCATTCCTCAAATCGGCATCCAACTCCTGCTGAAGATGGTCCCGCGCTCATACTTCTCTCCCTCGTTTTAGCCAATATCCGCAACTGCCTTCTCCCTTCATCTCGCCTACGTGCTCTAGATATATTGCTCGCTCTATCGACTCGGCTGACTGATGAGGCCAAGCTTGATCGGGCCGTACCATACATCGTAGAGCTGTTGCGTGACGAGGCTGCAGTAGTCAGGGCAGCAGCAGTGAGAACTCTGGTTCAGGTTGTGCGTGCTCTTTATGTCTTCAATTACGCTGTACTTACGAGTAAATTCGTTGCAGCTGACTCAAGTGAACGTTATTACTCCTTCGAATGCATCAATAATACCAGAGTATATCATTCCGAATGTGCGTTATCTTGTGCAAGACCCAGAGGTGTCGGTCCGGGCCATGTATGCACAGTGCATTGCTCCCCTCGCTCAGACTGCCGACCGCTACCTCGAGATGGGGCAAGCCCTTAAGGCACACGGTGTTTCTCCTGGGATCAATGGTGACACACAAGAATACGAGGAAATGCACTTCGAGGCAAGCCATACGAACACTCTTTGCTTTGTCTCCTATCTAAATCTTGTTGATAGGTATCGTACGATGTCATGAAACAAGACCTCCTCCTCTCCATCCAGGAACAATTGTCAACGCTTCTCATGGATCCTTCTCCCATTGTTAAGAGAGCGGTGCTGCATAACATCAACGCACTTTGCGTCTTTCTTGGCAGTCAAAGAACAAACGATGTCGTCTTGAGCCATATGATCACGTACTTGAACGACCGAGACTGGCTCCTCCGTCACGCGTTTTTTGAAAGCATCGTCGATGTTGCAGCATGTGCTGGAGGCAGGAGTTTAGATGAATATATTCTGCCGCTGATGGTACAGGCACTTTCTGGTGAAATGAACTGCACTCATGGTGGAATGTTTCTAATACCTCTGATTTCAGATGTGGAAGAAACTGTAGTAGCACGGGTACTTGCCGCCCTCACTAGTCTTTGCGAGTTGGGTCTGTTTCAGAAGATGCGCATTTGGGAGCTGATGAGTGCCACTCTCCCGTTTTTTTACCACCCCAATATTTGGATACGGCAGGGTATGGTTTTCACATTATTTTGATCCGCAAGAGACTCACAGCCTGCGCAACTTCAGGTGCAGCTTCCTTCATTGCGGCTGCAGCGAAATGTCTACCTCAAAGTGACGTCTGGTGTATCCTGTACCCTTCTTTGCGTCATCTGTTGCGTTCGGATGTGAAGGAAGTTGAAGAACAGAGTCTTTTGTCGGCAATGAAGCCACCGGTAAGCCGGATTTCCACAGACTTGGGTTCCCTGCTCATGATTTGAAGTTGCCACGTCCCGTTTTTGATGGTGCTGTCCAATGGGCAATGAGGGCGGAGAAAACAACCTTTTGGAGGGCACATCGTAGACCAGCATCGAAGGTGGAATCCCCGAGGGAAAGCATAGTTTCAATGAGAAAGGGGGGGAGCACAGCTGGTATTGGACGTAACAAGTCAGAAGAGTGAGTTCCTCGGTTTCAAGCCTCCGCGAGCCTAATATGTGTAAAAGGGACGAAGTGCAGTTGCTGAAACTGCAGAACCTTGGTATGACATCCGCTGATGAGGCGAAGCTCACGGCGATGCGGGATTACATCCTCAAGCTGGCTAACAATGCATCGAGGTTGGTTTTTCTTTTACTATCTGCTGGCCTCTTTGATCGATCTTGTGGTAGTTTCGCATCCAGACCAAGAACAGAACCAGAATTTGAAAGGAATCTTCGTTCGATGGGAGACGTTGAACTGCAGAAATTATCTGTTGTTCCTCAGACAGTCTTCCTCAAGTCAAAGTCCTCTACGTGCGACCTGACGCCCAGACCTTCTCGCTTGACATCCTATTCACGCAAGCCAGGTGACCTGCCAGGACGCCTCGGCACACCGTACATGAGTAGAGCTTCCAGTGTGGACCATGGAGCAACTAATCCTGCACTGGAAGATCTAAAACGGAGATTAGCTGCTATCAACGGCTCTTCGTCGTCCCTCAACCTCACCGCTACTGCTCGGGAACGCCAGGCAGTGCAATCCCCCTCTCTCCCGCCCTCAAACTCGCAGCCAGCAACTCTGGCGCTTCCTGCTCAGCCCGTGGGACATGATCGCCCGAGCAGCCCAACAGATTCGGTGGTGTCTACTACTAACTCGTCGACTATCCGAACTGCACATCGGTTGCATGTTGGAAGTACAGATGGGCAGAAGGCTGCTCCTGCGGTTGGTTCATCTAATGCGAATGCAGTAGGGTTGCTGGAGGCGCCATCTAAGATGCATGCAGAAGGTTCTCCCGAACGATCAGGAAGATCATCACCAATTTCACTTGCTGGAACTGCAAGAGGTGTGACCCGACCCCGTATGGCCTCCATGCTCCCTATCTCGACCTATGGTACGCTGGAAACCGTCATACCCGGTTCCTGTTCACATGAATTCTGACGTGCTTTGTAGATGGGCCGGAACCTGGCATCAACAATCTACTCGAGAACATCTACTCGGACAACAACCGCGAATTGCAGCATGACTTCGGTCCAAAGGTGCATGAAGGACCTGTTCGTCGACGCAATACAACCAGACAAAATTTTATTACGCGCGATGGCAGCAATCGCCGAACAGAAGCCACCCTCATAGCTCACCTCCAATCCCACACTGACTGCGTCACCGGGCTGGCTGTATCTCCGGATCATGCGTTCTTTGTTTCATGTTCAGATGATATGTCTGTCAAAGTATGGGACACGGCACGGCTAGAACGCAGTGTGACAAGTAAACCGCGTTATACGTATAGCCAGCATCACGCGCGTGTCAAGAGCGTATGCATGCTGGAGGGTGTGCATTGTTTTGCTAGTGCAGCAGAAGACGGAAGCTTGCATGTCATCAGGGTGCACGTCAACCAAAGTGGGTCTTTGCCGAAGTATGCAAAACTTCAAACCATTCGAGAATATCGAGTGGACTCGCCTGGCGAATATATTACATGCATGATTCACTACAATTCAGGTGAGACTCTGTCTGATTCCAGCCTGCTTCATGAAACAATATTTTATCAGATGTCGCCTCGAATCTTGTCTTTGCGACAACACACTCTGTCATCACCATCTTGGACTTGCGAACTATGCGAGTCTTACAACATATGCAAAACCCGCGTCATTTTGGACCCATCACTTGTATGTGTCTAGACCGCAAACGCACGTGGATTCTTGTGGGAACTTCTATGGGTGTGCTCTCACTCTGGGACCGACGTTTTGGCCTGCTTATCAAGAGCTGGCAAGTCGGCAAGACTTCTTCGGGAAAATCCACGAGAGTAAATCAATGCATCATCCATCCAACAAAAGGGAAAGGCAGTTGGGTAATGGTTGCCGTTGAGAGCTGGAAGGGTGGTCCAGAGTCTTTACCCATAAACCTCATAGAGGTCTGGGACATCAAAAGTGGCGTTCTGGCGGAGAGCTATATAACAAGGACCACATCTACACCAACAGAGTGTGTTCCTGAACCTGTGGAGCATTTGGCAGTGGAGGCCTCGCAGAACCCAGCTGCCGCAATTGCTGCTCTTGTCAATGCTAGATACCCGGGTGGAACTGCACACACCAATGCGAGCAAGAACGGAGGACCATCTCACGGCCCTCAGCGTGATGAGGCGCTTCCGGCACCCTCGCATGATATTCGTGCAATCGTAGCTGGTGTTGACTTTGGACATTCCGGATTGCATAGGTCAGAGATCTTGGATTTGTCAGTTGATACTCCCGCGTCGAGCCGGAATTCTAGGGGGTTCATGGTGACAGGTTCGGAGGATAGAAGGATTAGACTGTGGGATCTCAGCAAACTCGAACGAACATCTGTGGTGGCTGGCCCAGAGTCAGAACATGACAGGCCATCGTACAGGTGAGGAACTCCGTGCTTTACTAAAGATGTTTTGCTCACTATAACTTCAAGTACTGTACGAGCCGCAGATGGTTCGCCGTACGTCAGTAACGTTGAGACATGGGCACATCCGTCTAGCTCAGCTAGTCAGAGCAATCGACCTCCGCAAAGGATGTCGATGATTACCCACAACCAACAGAACCTTCTCAAGTCACATCAGGATATCGTGACATGTTTGGCTTGCATTGATTCCCCATTCCGAGGAGGCATTGTGAGTGCCGACAGAGCAGGGGTGATTAAAGTGTGGAGGGTCGGAAGCACCGACTAGTAGTAATAGTGACCTGCTATATCTTGTTTACTCGCTTCCCTGCACCTTGCGTGCTATCTAGATTCTACTGTGGTGCTTGTTAATTTTACCCGAATTTCACCAAATTTGTCGCGAAGGGTGACTCGAAGAGCGCGCGCCAGATAGTATCATGCCAAAAACAGACTTGGTCCTGACTCGGATGCTCAGAGCTCTGACTCGGGCTCCCCCATATCTGGCCCGTTGTAGCATCTATAGGTTACAAGTTAGCTTTCTTCGCGTTCATTCGACAGCCATGGCTACTCCAATCGCGTCTTCTTCAGAACCCGTCGCCCTCGACGGACCACACGCTGGACATGCAAAGAAGCCAAAAGAGAAGAAGGACAAAGTGGCGGCAGCAGCATCTCAGTATTCACTTGAGGTTAGTGATCTTCACAGATTTCTTTAAACCTTGACTCACTTATGAGTAGCTCCAACCACCTCCAGGTTTTTTTGATCATCGCATCAAGCTGTTTGAAGAACTGCACGCAAAATACAATGAATTCATAAAAAGTATGCGTGACATCTATCCCGAGATCAATTATCCTGATCACTGTCTCAGCTCAGCCACGGGAGGATATCGTCATTACGATGCCTGATGGTTCAGAGCGCAAAGGTACTAGCTGGGAGACTAGTCCCATGGATGTTGCAAAAGAAGTTTCAAAGAGTCTGTCAGAACGAATTGTGATCGCAAAGGTATGTGACTCCAGTTCTTGATGTTTAGATTTATGACATGATTTGCACAGGTCAACGGTGATCTATGGGACTTAGAACGACCATTGGAGGCTTCGTGCAAACTAGAATTATTAGACTTTGAACATCCAGAAGGTATGCAGGGATGTACACCGCCTTTGCGCCCTCTGATTGATTATTGCAGGCAAGAGGGTCTTCTGGCATTCGTCGGCACATGTTTTGGGTGAAGCTGCTGAGCGGCATTACGGTTGCCACCTGTGCATTGGCCCCCCAACCGACGATGGTTTCTTCTACGAAATGGCTATCGAGGACAGGTAATCGGTCATAACTAATACTGTAATGGCCAAGTATTAACTTCAGCAGAGCTGTTACCAATGCAGATTACCCCGCTCTGGAGAAGCTTTCGGAAAGTGCTGTCAAAGACAAGCAGAAATTTGAGCGCCTCGTAGCGTCGAAAGAGGATTTACTGAAAATGTTCAGCGTATGTCCCTCAACATTTTCTAGAACGTCCACCCATCTAATACCATCGTAGTACAATAAATACAAAAAGCACTTGATCGAGACCAAGATTCCAGACGGCACTTCCACCACTGTGTATCGTTGTGGACCAATGATAGATCTCTGTATCGGTCCTCATATACCACACACCGGCAAGATCAAGGCATTCATGGTCACCAAGGCAAATTTCTAGTTCGGAATTCGCTCGATATTATTCTGACCCAGCCCTTGCAGAACTCTGCATCATATTTCCTGGGTGATGCTAACAACGACTCATTGCAACGCATCTACGGTATCTCGTTCCCAGATAAAAAGCAGCTGACCGAGTACAAAGCGTTCCTGGTCGAGGCTGCGAAACGGGATCACCGCAAGATCGCTCGGGAACAAGAACTTTTCTTCTTCAATGACCTCAGTCCTGGAAGCTGCTTCTTCCTCCCTCATGGTACTCGAATCTATAACACTCTAATCGAGTTGATGAGGGTGCGTTCAAGCCTGAAATAATAGGAAGTTTAACTGACATCAGCACAGTCCGAGTACTGGAAACGCGGATACCAAGAAGGTGAGTTCATGGATTATTCGAACGACATCTGGTGCTGAGCAATCGGTCAGTCATCTCTCCGAATATGTACAATTCGAAGTTGTGGGAGACTTCTGGGCACTGGCAGAATTACAAGGACGACATGTTCACCCTTGACGTGGAGAAAGAGAAGTGGGCGTTGAAACCTATGAACTGCCCAGGTCACTGCCTCATATTTGACTCCCGAGACCGGAGCTACAAGGAACTTCCCATTCGCATGGCAGAATTTGGTATCATACACCGAAACGAGGCTTCTGGCGCTCTTACTGGTCTCACTCGTGTTCGGCGGTTCGTACAGGATGACACGCACGTGTTCTGCCTGCCCTCGCAGATAGAAGATGAGATTAGTGCACTATTTGATTTCATGCAACATATCTATGGCCTTTTTGGTTTCGATTTCCACCTTGAACTATCCACTCGCCCCGACAATTATCTCGGTACCATCGAGACTTGGAACGCCGCGGAAGAGGTATGTTTCTCTTCACGGCGCACTATAAGTGGCACACTTACCATTTCGGATGCATAGCAACTCACCAAGGCACTCGATAAGCAATATCCAGGTAAATGGGAAGTCAACCCTGGCGACGGTGCATTCTACGGCCCCAAGATTGACATCACCATCCGTGACGCCCTCCGCCGATCGTTCCAGTGTGCGACCATACAGCTCGATTTCCAACTCCCCGAACGATTCGACTTGAAGTACCGCTCCGCGGACGAGATGACCAACCCTGATAAGCCCCCTTCACGTCCTGTCATGATTCATCGTGCGATTTTGGGAAGCTTAGAACGCTTCATTGCGATCATCACGGAGCACTTTGCAGGAAAATGGTGAGTCCACGTTCTACTCGTCTTCTTTTAGCGCTTGGCTCATGACGAGTCGAGGCCGTTTTGGCTTTCACCCCGTCAAGTGCTTGTTATTCCTGTTGCTGTGCCGTATGTGAGTATCCACTGATAGAACACGACAATCCGATGCTGACACGCATCATCTTCACAGAAAGATTATGCCCAAGAGATAGCCACTCGTCTGACTGATCTGGGTCTTTTCGCCGATGTCGACAACGGAGCAGACACTCTGCCGAAGAAGATCCGTAACGGTGAAATTGCACAATACAACTTCATCCTCGGTGAGAGAACCTTTTTGCATTGCATTGTCCTGCTAGACATAGCATATTTACAAAACTCAGTGGTCGGGCAGGAAGAACTCGATAGCCGTTCGGTTAACGTACGAAACCGGGATGACGTCGGCACTAAGTCCAAAGGCGAGATGGCGCCAATCTCAGAGATTGAGCAAAAACTGTTGGCGCTAAAGCAGTCACGGAGTCTCGCAAACAAGTTGGTGTAACAGTAAACGTGTAGCAGTGAACGTAGCCTGTAGCAAATCTGGAAGATAGGTAATCAAAGAATGCGAGTGGCATCAAGTCGGCGGCTAGACACAAGCTGTAGCACAGCATAGAACAAGGCAGCTATTTTTAGAATACTAAGATCTGATGCGCCGCGGTTCCACAGGGTTCTAGACATACTACTCAGACAATCCACTACACCGAGATACCTCCCAAAAATTGATTACGCTTTCACCCGGAACAGGTAAGTGGAGATGACCAAATAAGACGTGTATCAGACATACCAAGTTCTGGATCGCTTCTCGCTCGGAAGGCGGTAAGCCATTGATCTGGTCTGGAGTTAGGCTGAGTACCTGCATTAGCATTTGCTGTACATCCAAATACGTGAGTTCAACATCTAGATCAGGCAAGGCAAATCAGGACAGACCCTTTGAGCCGGATCAATATTTAAGTCGGGCATGGGAGCCGAGTGGGGCGGTGGGGCCGCGTGTGGGGGAGGCCGATACCAAGATTGTTGCTGCGGTGGGGCTGGCATATGCGACGGGGGTTGTTGGTGCGGGTACATGCTCGGTGGAGCAGTTGACGCAGGCGGTGGGGCAGTCATTGGCGGAGGCATGTGCGGTTGAGGCTGGTGCATGGGTGGAGGTTGCTGGTATTGCATTGGATGGTGGGGCTGCTGAGAAATTCCTGGACCTGGGGGAACACCACTACCCGCGGTTGCTTGAAGCATGCGCTGTGCAATTGCCATTTTGCTCGATGGTCACTCCACACCGAAATTGTAAGAACACACCTGAAGAACACTCTGGTCTACTATTTTGTTCAGCAACAAGGCTTGGAATAATGCGTACGCATACTGCGGATGCGCAACAAGTAGTGCCCTTGCTTGATCCGGGTGGGTGATTACAAAAGCCTACACAAACAAGATCCGCATACATCATCAATTCTGTCTCACTCGCCGGTGCGAATCACACCACACCTTCATCTGGGCAAGCACTTCGACCAACTGAGCTGGGCTCATAGTTGCAAGTGTCTGACTGATGGTATCTAATGCAGTCGACCCAGGAACTATGGGAACTCCGGGTGGCAAACTTGACAAGAAAGAATTTGGGTCTTGAGATTTGGGTTGATCGCGAGGACTATCATATCGGTCGCGGTCTTGGTGCTCACGGTGATCACGCCAGCGGCCTCTTGGATCACTCCCATCGAGCAACTCGCCTCGCACAGTAGTCTTGCCTTCGAGGAAGGGATCGGAGTCGGCGAGGTCAATTCGTAAAGGGCGGCCACCGACATCGGCATTATTGAGGTTCCGCACAGCAGATGCAGCGGTTTCATGATCTTGAGGGCACAATGCGAAAAACACAAGTTTGAGTCCGTGTGTACCGGTATGTGTAACACCAAATGACAAGGTGAACCGAGAGGGACGCATTGAGAAACACAGATTAGGCGGGATTGCGAAAAACAGCCAGTTTGAAGTCAGACACACATCAAGATGTACATCAAGAAAAATGAATTGGATGTACCAGCAAATTCACAGAAGCCATAACCTCTAGGTTTCCCTGTCTCTCTGTCAAAGACCAGTCTAAAAAAAGGATTGACATGAGCTGATGTGCAGGCTAGGGAGAGCATAGGGACAGACCTGAATCCCACAACTTGACCGACCGACTTAAAGACATCGATGAGCTGTTCCTGCACAGAAGGTTATGTCGGAATGGTATGGCATGAAGGCTAAATGACTTTCCTCCCCCATGTTGTAGGGGACATTTCCCACTGCAGAGAAGAATTTGTTAGTAAAAGTAATGGAACACCGAGTGTGCACATACCGAAAACGACCTTACTCATTGCGAGACTCGAAGAAAGCAATGTAGATTTGAGATGCTACCAGAACGGTGTTGAAAGTTCGTGACTTTAGCGCTCACAATTATTTCGGACAAACAGTCACGGGATGTGTAACATTGTGACATCTTATGACAAAGAGAGTTTTGTATTTGTCACTATATACCGATATTTATATTTAACCCGGGTTCGCCCGGGCTCTCGAGCTCCAGCAGCTGGGGCTTGTCAAATGCACTTGTTTCTCGGTGGAGCTTAAGTACAGTACTGAGGTCCTATCTCGATGCAAGACTCGCGAGTCATACGTAGAACTGATCAAACAAAGGAAAAGTACTGTTACAGCTATTTAGACACGGTATGCGGCCATGGGATCATGATGGCTGTTTTGGCTCGGGGGTGTACTAGGTATGACCGCGTTTAATCTCATGAGTTACTTATGACGAATCGGTAACCTGGCTGATTCATTTTTGCTTCTCGGACTCCGAGTGTTGTCTCGACTCATGAGTAAGACGCATGACTCGACGCTGCCGCTCTGTATAGAGTCATGGCCTGGGTGAGAGTCACTGTCACTGCAGCCTTGCCAATGGATCTTCAGTCAAGGACCTTGATGGACCTCAAGGATTTACGGATGTGCCGCAACTTTGAGGAACCGACTCGGAGTCTCGAAATCAAGTCAGATCTGCGGAGCATAGCCCCGCATCCAGTTTGCTGTGTCAGCTATGCCACAATTTGGAGTAGCACAGCCTTGTATTCGAAGTAGCGTGCCGATCGGCATCTTGCGACATATAAAGGGTCAAGTGAGAGTGACCGACAACAACAAAAGATTCACTACACACATACATGACAGTCACCACTTCTACCCATCGCAAGCTGTCTCACTCCCGGAACACCGACGAACAATTCCAAGCCTTGGATCGCGCCTTGGCAAGGAGATATGTCTTTCGTCTGCTTCACGAACAAAGATCGCGTAGAATCCAAGAGCAACCTCAAGGGGACGTGATATTCAGACCAAGGTAATTGCATTCGATGTACAGTAATCGCAAACATCTCTTCTAACATTATATTTAGAGTGGAAATATGTGATGACCCATCTTCCTCACGTATCACTGCCACACTTGAACTTCCTGGCATGAAAGCAGACGATGTGCGAGTCACACTTGAGCGCGACAACCTTCTCGCTGTTTCGGGGGAACGCGTGTCCAAAGCACCTTCCGATCAGTTCAGGTCTGTCAACTTTCCTGTGAGGGAGATCAAGTACGGAAAGTTTCTTCGTACACTGGATGTTCCATCCGGTACAATGGTGAGTTCTATGGATTCATAGCTTCTTCGTTGCTTCTGACCCTATTCATCCAGATGAGTACCATATCAGCGGCAATGAGTGATGGCATGCTGCTTGTATCATGGCCACGTTCTCCTCCTGGCGCCAGAACCCGTTCTCCGCAGTGATCGTTTCGCCACGCTGTAGCATCATGTTCTACCATATATATTCTTCTGGACTACTCTCCCAACTCCTACATTATGATTTGTATGCTATGCACAACTTATAACCGTAGATGGGTTTCTGGTTAATACACGGGACAGGGGTTAATTGTCACTATAGATATCTTCCACTAATCATGCTTCTTGCTGCAAGTTTGATTGCCGTCTTATAATGACCCGTGGACTTATGGTATACACCCGTACGTAGAGTCACCGTTCCTGTGTTGTATGATAACACTGGAGGTGCCTCATTGGCAGATCACGTACTCGTTTGTGGCAGATTCAGACTAACAATGTATCAGTACCATCTTGGGTTTAATCCACTTTCAGAGAACAATGTAAATGTGTGGGATGAGTCACTGTGATTCTGCTAATTTCACAAGACTGCGCTTTGCTAATGGAAAATGCACATCGACGGCTTCCGTCGCGGGCTGTCTCTCCATATAGCTACCACTTATATTCGTCAGCTTTTGCGGGTCCTGCATCATGACCACCTGGACATTGAATTCAGTGTACTGCTCCGATTACCTGTGCGTACGAAGGAAAGCTAGCAAAAAAATGAGCTCGGAAGCGAATGCCTGTTCGGCGGGCGTCTGCGGCGTAAATGTCGTAGAGCCATCGAAACTAAAATACCATCTTTATGAGCCTGCGCTTTTAGTCAAGATGGACTGAGTGTCATTTTTATCCGACGTTAGTGCCATCAAACACCGTCCACTGGTTCCGCAGCATGTGCTACAGCGTCTGTATCGCTCGTTGAGTTAGTTGGGTGTGGTACCGATAAGTCCAAGTACTAGAATAGGGCGAAGAGGGACTGCCCACGGCTTGGCGCTGACGCATACAGATCGGGTGTTATTAGCATGACTCAAGGGGGAGCGGTGTAAGGCTCAGACTTACGCACCGCATAACAATCACCCGTGGTCACCTGCAATCACTGACTCGGACAATTAAATCCATCTACTGGATATAGCCTGTGACAAGAACTCCAAAGGATCTGCGTCTGTCAGCAATTGGAAATTTTCCTGAAGTGCCAGAGGGACGCTCACTCTGCCAGAACGAGCCTCGTTGGATGTTTCGCTATAAAATATTGCCATTGGCGGGAGCGCGGCACCGAAATGACTCGAGTGCCAACATCATGATACCCAACTACAAGCGTAGCGTGAACGAATATAAATTTAACGCAGGGTATTCAGTAATCAGCACGTCATCCAAGACGGGGTGGAATGCAACCCGGAACTGCCTCCCGTCAGCTGCGGAAATTAGTGCTTGGCGTAGAGCGGGCAGGACGTACAATTCTTCCTAAATTGTAGCACCCTGTGCCCGTGCAAGCGCGCTGATGCCTTTACTACGAAGACGTGTCATTTGTTCTGCCACAGAACTGATTAACATCCTACATACCACATGATGTGGAGACTTGAAGAGGGGCTATTAGTCACGATGGGCGTTAGAACCTTTGGGCGCTTAACATACTTGTTATTCAGGGGTGGGAAAGGGCATGCTGAAAGCGCTCTACGCGACAGCGCCAGAAAACAGCTTCGTCTCGTTGGCAATCACGTGTAGCTCCACAGAACTACCGCCGGCGGTTTGATAGTTGAACGTTGATTGTTGGGTCGCCACCGAATTTGCTAATGTTGACTCGACCCATTCTGGACTGATCCTCGAATCCCGCAATGAAATCCCTGTTCGGGAGTAGTTAAGAAGCCGAAAGAAATCAAGATGGTAATAAACAGACACGATGATAACAATTTTGATTGACAAATGGCTAGTTGCGTGGACTTCTATGAATATGACCTGTCGCAACGATGAGTAAATATGTACGGCCGTCCTTGTCGCTTGAGAAACTTACCTCCGCCATGAATCTAGGCCAGCGCAAGCACTACATGGACGCATTAGAGTAGTGAGAAAATAGTTACACATTTGAAACGGCCCTTCTTTGGTACCGTAGGGTGAGTAAGTGTTTGACTTTTAAGCAGCCCTCTTGTCCTGCTCCTCCCACATCAACTGGGCCACGGCCCGAGTCAGTGAAAATATCCAAGTTGAAGACGATCACGCGTGCATCGATGACCTGTTGTTCTCCAGATACAAAGATCAGGGTAGTAGGTTGCATTGACCACTACTTCCCCGTTCGCATTGTTCTCTTCATACACACACATGGTGTTTAGACGGACAGTTGCACGAAAGCGCAGTCGTCTACAGGGGACTCGGCACACGTATCCCAAAAAATACCACCGTATTTGGGTATGTCTGTTTCCCGAGATATGTCGTATACACCAGATCGACTATGGGGTGCAGCGGAGGAGATCGAATAGTCGTCCCCCCTTGCAAACATTATTGTTAAACCGCCTTCTGCGGAATGGTCCACTATTCCATGGGAAGTCGCTAGTAAATAAATTTCCATAGATAACCAGAGCAGTCAGCGAATCTGGTGAGAACAGAAAAAAAACACTCGGGTCATAGTACTTTAAAGATTGTTTCAGGTCCATAGTGAAAGATCACCCTGCTTTCAGATCCGACGGTACATTACGATGGGTGTCAGGACATTTCGAATTCGGGAACGTTCGCGGTAATGAAGAAGTTGATAAAGCGGCAAAGCTGGCCGCAGAGTCAGTAAAACAACCATCGCAAGATTCGCAACCAATTATCTCCGCGGGCCGCCACAGGTACACGAGCACCTTCCTCTCTCAGCGCTCTGCCCTCAACACCAAAAAAACGCGATAGATATCATCTGGGTCCGTCTCCGCCAGAAATCGCCGCACTCAAACGGAGTTTGGCGCATGTACCAACCAGACTCCAAAGACATCATCCATTCCTTCGTTAAACTCCTGAAGAAACTCTCATCATTGAACCTTCACTTGCGGTATATTCCGCTCAACAAACACCCGTACCGATCGGGAAAGCTGCATCCCCCCTTGCAATTGTCCCCAATCCGGAGGGGCAGTGTATCATCCCCGTTCGGCTGATGCACAGTGCATAACATAACGTCCAAACGCCCTGGGACACAGACTTAGAAGACGTACAATATGTAAGCGTCTTGGCGCTGTTCATTAAGCATTACAGTTACCGTGCTCACCGCATCAAGGACTTTAGGGAACCGACACTGACATCATGTATACATAATGATAGAAGTAATGAAATGCTTAGCTTGCTGTAATGTACGAACACATTAAAAATGAATAAGCCACATCAGTGATATAGTTACAGTACTCGAATCAATCGCATCGCATGGGACAGGTGCAATCAGGAATCACTCAACGAGCTTGTGGACCGAGATGGGAATATCCTAGAGGAAGAGATGCATCATATACGAAGGAAGACCACTTGTCTTCCAACATCAAATCCCCCGACTGTCCTCGTTGGGGACCGTGAAGTGAAGGAGTGCGCAGAGAACGAGCGTATAATGGCCCGGACATCTCCTGCTGAAAAAATTCCAACTCAGGCAGCCTGATCGCTCCTTCCACAGGTGCATAGTCTTGAATCTCGGAAATGTTGATAAGATGAGGCTGATAATCGTTCCGTTGGTTTTGGGGACTATTTCGAGTCGCTGTGGAACTTGCAAGTTGGATTGGATGTTGGGAAGACCCCGAAACTTTCTCGGAAAGTTTTGTTACTAGTAGTGTCCGACCACCAAACACCTCTAGTTCGTCAGGTTCGTCCACTGATTCAGAAGGCCTCAAGGGTGGTTTGTGGCTGGTGTATTGAAGAGGGTCCATCCTCACATGGACCGCTTTTTGATAGAGCCGAAGTAAAACTGGCTTCACAGACATGGGAATAAGCTCCAGTGACTGACATACCCTTGCTAGAAACTCACCAGCGCCTTTTTGGCGCGGCTACAAGTCTGCGCCGCATCGCGATATAATAAACACGCCTTTTCTAGATGGTCAAATGGGTCCGGATCCAATTTTATGCCGAGTCTTCGGATGGCGACGGTGCCAACGATAACCTCAACAAATCATTGTCAGCACAATCCGCCAAACAAAACATAGATTCGCGTACTGCTGATGAGAATGTATGGGACCATATTCGCCACATTCGGGAACACAACACGGGCTGTAGCTCAAATATGTTGATAGTGGCTGTAATCAGTTCACAAGCACATTGGTAGGCAACCATGAATGATCGGCCTACAGGACTTCGAAGTGGATCCGAAGGAAAGTCTCCCATGGCCTGTGCAAAGAAACCTCTGTGCAAGAACATGAGCGCTTCACACTTCAAGTCAGTCAATAGGGATGTGTGATACCACTACGACACGCACTGAACTCTCTGTAACGTGATTGAGCAAAGGCGCGCATCTCCATGGATGTACGGTCCGAATGAGGCGAATCCGGAGATGCAGACACAGAAAATTCCCGTATTTTACGATCCAATTCGAGGATGGTTTGGTAGTTAGGTGGCTTTACAGCCTGAGTCACTTCAATGACTGGTGCTAGGCACTCCATCGTATACCGAGAGCTCCAGTTGCCAACTTTGCAATGGATTAGAGCTCTTTCCCATGCAGTTATGCTGGCGAAATGGCCTTACATGTAATGGGAATTTCTCCCAACTGGTACGTAGCCTCGTCAAAGTCACTCGGGATCTTGCAGTCGACGACAGCTGGCATGATCACGGGAGGGCGTCCAATGGTCAGGCTTTGCCAAAGAGTTTGGGAAAAGAGAGCCCAGAAATATGAGCGGCGTTCGTAAGCTTCTTTCCCCTCAAAACCCCATCGTGAAGGATCATTATCTACATGGTGACATTAGCCGCGTATCAATGGTTTCCTTGTGACATAACATACGGAACCCAATCTAATGATGCTCGTCAGAGGCCTGTCTGATAATTGTGATAGCTGTAGCTCGAAACTAACCTGAAGTGCGACTTGGCCAGCAAAGTTGAGAAAGGAATAACAAAGCTCCACGTTGCTCTCGACGCCACTCATGCCATAGTACATACTCATAAGATGCAATACCTTAATCGTGACTATAGACCGCTCCGAAAATACAGATTGCAAACACAAGGCGGCGCGTGCTAGTCTTTGATAGTGACGAGCTTCAGCATTATACGGGGGAAGGGTGGGATCAACCAAAGCTCCAACCGCTAGTACACTGAATAGTAGGGCCAAGTCGTGTGGACAATAAGGTGGCCGCTTCGATGATTTTATCCTCGGCCTGTATATCAATGGGATGAGATCATCAATAATTTGCTGTCGTGAAACTATTTGGAGCGTCCATGAGAGAGACTTTAGGAAAGTCTCACATAACGAAACAGCGCGCTGGATTTCCGGTAGGTATGATTCTATCGTCTCTTGCATGCGTTCTCTAGGGAGCCCTGGGGGAGTGAAAGGGAAAGCCTGGTCAAGTTTGCTGATGTGAGGTGGCAGGTAATCAACCTCGATTTCTTGTGTCTCGGTTAACGATGACGAAGTTTCAGGGACAATTCGGTTTTCAGTCTGTGTGGTCGTTGTTAACTAGGCACTCTAGAAGAGTGAATAAGACAAACCAGCAATAAACTCTAAAGACTCAAGTAAGTGTCTCAGCATGTCATGGGAAAACGTCTAGTCCGCACCTCAGAACCTCCGGAAGGTCCGAAGAAAAAAGTAGCACCGGATTCTGGATTACCATGAAGGTGTAAAGAGCCTAAGGCATCCATCGGACCATGTATGTTGGATTCTGCGGTCATAGGTGTGGTGTCAACGCTGCTCCCGATATCAGCTTCTTCATTTGACCATATTTTTGTCAGCAATGGATGTGGCTGAGTAGAAGTATTGGCCTGCAGGATTGCAAGAGCGTCCTCAAGTGAGCGCATTCGCTCTTCCAGCCTGGCGGCCTTGTGACGTAGATATTCTTCGGCAACGCCGACGAAGCTGATGGAGAAAATGCCATCTTCAAACTTGGTGCACTTGTGCATACGACACCACATGCTTACCGGCTACCTTTTCCTGGGGGCATCGTGCCTTTGTGTGATTTGTATGGAAGATTTGCATGTTCGACGTCATGAATTAATTCTTACCATTAGGGCAAAGCATACTGCATCCTCTTTTGACGCAAGTAGAGCATGGTACTATGGGTACGATCAGTCCGATGTCCAGGACAACTTTAAAGTGAAAGATTTACCTTGCCTGTCACATCGGGCTTTCAGTCTGAGGGGTTATCATATAAAGTAAATATCCCGACAAAGAGAAAAATGTGATGGAAAACAGACCTACGACACTCTGCGCATGCTATCTCGCCTCTCGTTCGCTGTCTTTCCTTGCTGCTGCTCATCACAAAGGAATTGAAACCAATGTCGGAGTTTTGACTAGTCCCTATTCAAAATGTCGCGGTTTAAATGGGATCCGGATGCAGAGCCTCATCATTAAAAATAGGATCAGTTCCTTGGCGAATTCAAAACGGTGATCGAAGATTGCTATTGAGTTCTCGGATACTGTTATTGTGAATTATTATGGCATGAAGGGATAGAGTTCGTATCCTATATTTATCACGAGATCAAGTTATTCGGCAAATCATTTCAGCGACCACGATGAAAGTTCGTTCCGCATTAGTACTGTCAATGTGTTGACCTCGCTTCATATCAATTGAATCTGTTACGACTATACTAGAGTAGGATCTTGTCATCAACCCTTTCTCAGCAGAAAATGATGCAGCTAATACTAATAGTATTTAATAGTAGGTATTTCCGGGCCCGAAATCAAGGTCGCGGCTATTACCGAGCTTCAAGCTTCCTGGCAGGTCGCAAACACGCATGGTCCTCATGGACAAGAATAGAACCTCCGCTCTCCACTCTCTTTGCTGGCACCATCAGATTGGTGAATACTAGTGACTCCCCTGAAGGTTACAGGCACTCAGTAAGATTGAAGCTACCGAGGCTTGGATCTATTGTACTATATTGAGAATGCGACCATGCATAACCCACGAGGTTTTGATCCTAGCATCTGATAAGTTACTAATCGCCTTCAACCTATCCCCTTACGACAGCCAATATAATACTTTTACCACCGATTGGACTTTGAAGGGTACAGGACCCAAGTCGGCAGAATAAGTTCGTTGTCAATCTTTGAAAGGCCCGCAGCGATGCTTCTTGCTATTTTGTTGCTCGCGAAAATGTTCTTTGATCTACTCACAGTCACTGAGCTATGGATTGTTATGACCCGGAAACAGTATAGCGCCGTATTGCCACAGGGAACATTCAAATTTCACGCGACCATCGCGACGCGCGCTCTGGAGAAACTTCCGGCGGTCATCATGCCACTCCTGTAATTACGATTACTTACTCAATGTAAACTTGAAGGCAATATCACTATGCCCATCTAGTACAAAGTCAAGCGGTCCAAAAGCGCTTCAGGCCAAACATGTTTTTGGCCTTATCTTTACACAACTTACTCCAAACGAGCTGAAATTCCGGGGGCCGTGTTTGGACGTCCGAGTCCTCCACGGACCAGAGGTAGCTTATGCATGTGTATAGAAACCAATCAGTGATCACTTGGGCGCTGTTGCTTATTGACAGATGAAGTAAATCCACACCGAAACGTCTGGACTGCCAGGGATAGTTATTGCGGGGTGTTGGTCAAATTTTTGACCGTCGTTAATTTATTTGAGTGACGACGAGATAGAATTTTTTTTTTCTCAGTCGTGGTTGAAGACTGCCAGGGCGAGTAATGTACGCTGTAGAAAATCACATTTTATCAACAAGTTAGGATCGTGTATAGCAAGGAAAAACATCACATCAAGGTGGCTCAGAGTTTTAGTCGATTAATAGACGATATCATGTTCGTATGTGGGGAGGTCGACAGAATTGGCAGACTAGTATCCCTGAAAAAATGTAATGTCAGCAGTGAGCATAACACAACGCTTACTAGTGACCACTTGCTGATGCGGTGACTGACCAAAAACACATGTTCAAAGCTCGTGCAGAACTTTAAAAGAAATTTGCAATTTTAAGGACCGACTGAGGTCGTATACTGCTCAAATTACAGGTTTCCCAGTTGGTTTCCAATGTGAGACGCCACCGCGTTCAGGGTATAGTGATTTTGTCTGGTTACGTTACATATTCAACTGGATAACACTCGTGAAGAACGTTGTAACGAATTTGCAATTTCAACACCCGAATAAAATAGGTCCATGGAGAAGGCATCAATCAAGATATAACAGTTTATAACCCTGTGATTTGCGGTTCGGTGACTTGGAGATAGGAGATAAGGATAATGTGATTAGTACATAAACCACCTGCCTCTTGGAATAATGTGTTATTCCCAATCTATGATATGCATTGACGCGTAGACGGTTGATGTTGCCATCTACGACACTGCTTATTCAATAAATTGTTTCGCTGGCGGGAGGACTCTCGAGGAGCATCCTTAAGACAAATGTATGGCATTGAGTAAAGTAGGCGGTTGCTGTGGCGGCGGCGGCGATGGCGAGTAAGATGGATTGTCTGCTTGAAGATGTCTTACCGCATGGTGAACGACGATGGTCTAGCTTCGATGTCGGAGCTTCAAATCCCTTCTCCATCTTGCCTATTAATATCTGTGCAGGATTGGGGGTGATGTTCGCGGGAGCATGAGCGCTATAGTTCAAGTGGTCGTATCCACAGCCGAAATGAAAATTATTTGCTTGTGAAGTTGGAGGAAGCCAGGTGAAATGACAGCACGTTTATTTGCATCAGCGGCGCGGTGTTATGATTCAAACAATTTCATTGTCAGTGATGCAGGTGTACTCACCTTGGCAAGATTAAGTTCCGCGCTGGCAACGAAATGATTGGTACTCACAATGATTCCCCAACGATAGCTAGCATGGGGACTCGTTGCCAATACGTCGGGATCGAGCGAAATATGTCAAATAATTGTCGACGTCAATGACTTAATAACGTACTTGTGTTGAAAATAGCGATCCGGGTGTTGCTGTAAGTTTCTGTGCGAAGGAGCAACGAAAATTCGTACTCCCGGAGAGTAGCATATGTGTAGTCATACCTAGTCATACACCTTCTTAAACATCAATTAGTGGACACCCAGACGATTTCAAATATTCAGACGCTTCAATTTTATCTAGCAAAACCCCTGTTGCGTGGTACCAAAGAATCAGCGCAACGGGGGTAGTAAGCAGAGCAAGCGTACATCTCGTGCATCGCTTGCTGTACAAGGCAGACTGTCATTCCTGTCTGTGCTTCAACTCGAGCTATCATCAGCACAGTCCACCTGACTTGCTCCAAGTTGGTTAGACAGCAACAAAGGAGCACTAGCCTCGAATTTGCAAAGCGGATACCCTCTCAATAACGCGGTACTAAAAGTGAGGCTTTTGCAGGCATAGACTGCACACCCTGGACAGACTGGAAAGAACGAATAGAGTCCTGTCCTCTTTATTATGCTGACTGTCTGGAGAATGAGCACTAAAATTTGAAATGTCATAGAACAGAAACAGTACATTTCTTGTGTGGTTTGTTTCCCTTGAGAAGGGATGATATTGTTGCCCAGCATGTGATAGACATTGAATCATTTTGATATTACCCCGAACCGTCGGACGACACTGATTGAATGGAAGGAATCTTGCTATCATTACGACCTCGACGACTGGGAAAATCTAAAACCGCGCACATGTCACATGTGGGGCGGTGAATTGAACGGCAAGCAGTAACTTATAGGCTCTCGGAGAGACGGAAAAACCTAAGACCACGCGTATGTGTAAGGCAGCAGTTTAGACGATATATATTAACTTACGAGTTCTTATGGGGATGGATTTACAGCTATGTAGGATTGGGTCAAAGTATCTCCGTGGATTTGGTCAATGCCTTCACCAAGTCCACCTTTTGCTGCTTATCTTATCAGATATGATGCAGTACAGGCGTCAGACGAACCCGAGTTCTTACAGGCGCTAGCGGTGAATATGCGAGATGCCAAATGGGAACAGTATGCATAAACTGTTACAGCATGGTAAACGTACGCCAACATTTGAGGAGGTAGCCGAACCCAGAACAGGGATGATGAGTGTGTCTGACCCACATCAAATCGTAACGAACCGGAGTATACATCTTGGCGATTGCCACGGAGACTAACAAGTGGGCTATTAGTATTAGTAGTCCTGGTGAATGAATAAGTCATGTTGGATTCGCTGTGAGGAGGGGATCGGATCGTGACGAAGGGCAACCGACGAATCGATGTTTTGAGAATCACTAACGTTATTCTGGAGAAGATCTTCGGGAAAGCGGATGACATGGGGGTTTGGGTGTATTTGTGTTCGCAGCGTGGACCCGTTAAGTCCGTTAAATGTCAGGTCCCTTGGGGGTTGTCATCTTTTTTCGGATCGGCGGGTACATGCGGAGGCACTTCTTCATTCCCTCATTCCATCGTGTTCCATCGATTATATCGATTATTGAGATAGTATAGAGGACTGCTAGACATCGTTGGAGACAGTGTTGAAAGTAACGCCACAGCAAGCTGCTGAGATAGATACTTAGCGTGACATGTGACAGGGAAGTGTGACTGTACATTGTGTTGACTGTTGGCTTGTTTTTTCGCGCAAGCAGGCAAGACACGACAACCGTTGGCGACCTGTCACTACGCCATTCTAGCCTTTTAGTTCAGGGCATCACAGGATAACACAAGAGACTTCAAATTTACTACTTTAACGCTTCAAGTTGGTCTGTGCGTTGTTCTTTTGCCGAGTTTCGTTCCCTGGGAACAGCTCCGCAGCAGTCGTTCCGAGTTACTTTTGACTCGGAGTCGCAGGACAGGTTTTTTGTTGGTAAGTGAAATCCATTAGCATAATCAAAAGTAAACGCAGGAGCATGCCCGCGCTTTCCGGCCGGTCAATAAAATCTCATCATATCCATTTTCTCGTTTAGCATTTGTTATCACAGATCTTCGACGCTATCTCTCGATCCGAATTCCTCTAACTTGGTCAGAACCTGTTGTAAAACGTAAGCTCCACTTACCCCCTCTACCGTCCCCCCATGTTAACTATATATTCCCTTCTAGCACTAACGTCTGGGTCGGGCGCTAACGACCCTAAACTCGTGCGTCTATCATGCATGCTGTAGTTGGACACTCTGTCCTCATCATCTAATAACTTAGACGACTTACAATGAACTACCCCCCGCAATTGGCGCCGCAGCCTGGTTCGTCTCAATTAGGTCACAATCAATTCTCCCAACGACCTCCCTCCTCAAACATGTCCTTCGGAATACCCATGAACACCAACCCCGGCATCTCCCAAATGAACGGTGCAAACATGCCCATGAATCCCGGCAACAACATGGGTGTACCCATGAACCCAGCCATGTCGATGAATCCGCACAACATGGCCATGAACAACATGCCAATGAACATGAACATGAACAACATCAATCCATCATTCCTCACCACTTTTCAGAACTCCCAAAATTCGCAGAATGGCATGATGGCTAAATTTCCAAACTACCAGGCCTCCCAGCAGTCTATGCCCCCTTCTACGCCTAATCTTGGCTCTACGCATGGCCAGGGCCAGTCCATATCGCCATCGCAGCTCATGTCAGCTTCCCCGTCGCAGCTTATGGCTCAACAATCGCATTCACAAGGCTCTAATTTGACGCTTACCCCCGCGCAGCTCCTTCAACAGCAACAAGGCGGCATGAGCCAAGCCTCCATGGGCACCATGCACCCAGCTATGAGCGGAATGGCCGGGATGAACATGGGTGCTGGTGGAATGCAGAATTTGAATATTGGTAACCCCATGTCCAACATCAGCGGAGGTGCGATGAACATGCCTGCCGGCATGCAGAACATGGGCGGGAACATGGGCATGTCCAATATGATGAGCGGTATGCCAAACCTCAGCAACCCTCAGGTACGCATGAACATTACGGCTCAGCGTTGGGCGCAGATGTCGCCCCAGGATCGTGCCATCTTCCAGCAGCAACGGCATCAACTTGGACCGTCAAGCGTTCCTAATCAACAACACCACGAGCGGGGCCCAAGCCTGACGCACGACCGCCCACCGAGCCAGCATGGGAGACATGACCGTGCTCCGAGTCAATCCCATGACAGGCAGCCCAGCCAGCAACCGCAAGATGTCTCTCAGGTCACAGACCGCCCTTCCTCATCCGCTTCTATTCGCTCCCACCACTCCCATCATAACCTTGACTCTGGCCTGATGCCCCCACCATCCTCTCGACCTGGTACTTCCAGCGGTGGCATGGGTGTTCCAAACGTTAATCCACGGATGAATCAGCAATCCATGAATTTAAACCCGCACCTTAACATGACGCCCGGTGCCAACATCAATCCTAACATGAATGTCAGCAGTAACATCAACCCTCACATGAACCAGGCCTCGAATATCAACCCTGTGATGAACCCGACTCAGGCGCAGCAGAACATGAACTCTGTCATGCACATGAACATGTCCCCGTCGAATATCAATCCTGCGATGAACCAGGTGCAGAATCTGAATCCACACCTAAATCGCCCTCCGACGAGAGCAGATTCTGCGCATGGACTTATTGCGTCGCCAAAGCAATCACCGAGGATGTCGGGGATGATGAATCTTGCTGGTGGCCCTCCTGGAGGCATGTCTGGTAACATGGGTGGCCAGATCAACCTTGGAATGACGAACATGCCCAGCGGTGCGATGGGAATGCATGGTGCCCCCATGAGTGGCGCCCCTGGTAGTGGCATGAACATTGGCATGGGCGGCAATATGAACGCAGCTATGGGAACAATGGGCAATGCTGGTGTAGGTAGCATGGGGAATGTACCCAGCATCGGCAGCATGAGTAATCTTGGCTCAGCGAACATGAATCCTAACACTATTGGCGGCTTGGGAGCCGGTGGCAGCATGCTAGGCGGAGCGGGGGGAGGTCTTATGGGCCCTCCAGTGATTCCTCAATCCATGCAGCGGCCAGAAAGAGACCAGATGATGCAGAGAGAACGCTCGAGCTCGCTCCATGGACGTGAACAGGTGAGGAGCGCACCTCCGTTCTTCACGTATCGTGAACTGATTTTGCAAACGTTCTTTTACCCGTTGATGTGTCGTCGTCCGTTGTCGTGCTCCAGAGTATGCCTCCGGCGTCTGCTGCACCGTTTATGGGTCAGGGTCTTGATAATGTCAGTGTCCAGGGAATGGGAAATATGACTGGTGGTATGGGTAGCATGCCTCGGCAGCAATCCCAACCGCCGATCAACACACATCAGCAATCGCCTGCCTGCCAAAGACCCCCAGGCCACCGCTCCCCCATGCCTCTTGTTCGGAAAGCCGGGGAGATACCCGCCACACCGGCGCTTTCCGGCACCCCAAACCCCGCCGCACCACATCCAGGCGCAGCTGTGGTCCCGAAACTGCCCCCTCATCTTGCAGGGCTCAATCCCGCCGTAACCAAGATTTCGTTCATCCCTTACACTGTACACTCGAAACCCGAAGCAACCACCGATGGCGAGGACGAGAAGGTGCCTGTCGAAGGTGCGACTGATTCTGAAGACGCTGGTGCTTCCTCGCAGGTCAAAGTCGAAGATCCAGTGAAACTGCTGACCCCATCGGAGATCATCACATTGAAGGAAATTATGAAACGTGATGCAGCGTATGATGCACTACACCGTACCAAACAAGCACGTATGGCCCAGGAGTTGCGCACGCACGGTCCCGCGTCGCGAAGCGCCTGGTGGGAACGTGATCATGTTCCGGCCATGGGCATGAACCGTAGGCCCGAACGTTTCGATGTGAGATATCCAAGAGCACCCAATGCGGACCGGGGCTCGAATATTAATTCGAGGAAGAAGGGTGTGAGGAGAGAAGGCATTCGGATGTGAGTTCTTGCTGTGTCTTCTTCTTGTTTGGGGGGATTGATTCCCGCGGGTTTAATAGCCCTAGGAAACTTCCTCCTCAGCTGGCCAACCGCCCTGAGCAACTCGTGCCGATCAGACTCGAGTTCGATGTGGAGCATCATAAGATGCGCGAGACCTTTGTATGGAATCTGAATGGTAGGCCTCTTGCCTAGAATGGCATTCGTTGCTGACGTCGTTGTTTAGATCCCGTCATCACTCCAGAGCATTTTGCGCAGACGCTCATTGAGGATTATGCGCTGCCCCACAGTTACCAAGGTGTCATCACGAGAGCGATCCAGGAGCAGCTGAGCGACTTCAAGGCTCACATTGCCAGCGTGGATGGCGACTGGAAACCTCCATCCTCAGCGAGAGAGATGGCAACGATAGATGGCTATAAAGCAGACGAAGAAGACGGGAATGACGCAGACGTGCGGGAGACGGACGCTGAAGACGTTATTGACGACTACAATCGCAAGCTTCTGGAAGATGACGACCTGACCATGGTGGACCGGGGTAGTCTTGACGACGAGGACGTGAAATGGTGGGAATCGTGGCGCAAGCGATCACGGCAAGAAAGCGCATTTACTCGCAGCATATCCTTGAGGAATCAACGTAAGCGTCGCAAGGTAGCCTCGGTCAAGGTCGAAGAAAGTGACGCATTCGAGACTGACAAGGAAATTCCACACACCACGGATGAGATCGAGGTCAATGAGAAGACGGTGCATGAGGATTTACGCATCTTGATCAAGGTATTTGATTGATTCCCGGTTGCGTTTCGTGAACCAGTGCTAACCTTGTAATCTTAGCTCGACATCATCGTCGGATCTATGAAGTTAGATGATCAGTTTGAATGGGATCTTGAGAATGTGGATGCTTCCCCTGAGCAATTTGCGGACGTGTATGCGAAAGAGTTGGGCCTTGGTGGGGAATTTAAGTGCGTAGGGTTGCGTGTCCGTGACTTTATCGCTGACCTCCTCTCTAGAACGGCCATTGCGCATTGCATACGCGAACAAGTCCAAATTTATCAAAAGTCCCTATTCCTCGTCGGCCACCCCTCAGATGGTTCTACTGTCCAAGACGATGACCTGCGCATGTCCTTCCTGCCCAGCCTCGCATCCGGCGCTAGAGCAATGGATCAAGTACAATCGTTCACACCACTGCTCAACTATCTCAGCGACGGCGAGATTGAACGTAGTGAGAAGGAGAGGGAGAAGGAGCTCACCAAGCGCAGGAAACGGAATACACGAGGACGTCGAGGTATCGCTTTGCCTGACCGGGAGCCTAATCGCACATACCGCACACCTGCCTTCGGGTTCCCAGAGCTGGATGCTGCAACCCTTGCGTTGGCCGCCGCGAACGCGCCGACTTCGAGACGTGCTGCAGCTGCGGCTGCTTCTCTCACGATTGCCAACATGGTTGCCTCAGAAAATGGCACGAGCGTCATGCCGCTGCAGCTGCCTCCCCAGCAGATCATATCCACAGCTGTCGCTGCTGGAAAAGAGAAGAAACCTAAAGGGTTGTTCAAGGCACCTTCTTATCCTACTTCCGTACTTCGACCTCGTGCTCAGGTCACTGCTCCTACACCGTCGACAGCGGTTGAATCGACGTCGATGTTACCTTCATCGTTTCTTGATGCTGAAGCACCTACCTCCTCAGTTAGTATACCCGCTCCCGATTCGCGAGCCGTCGCAAAGAAAGCCAAGGAGCTCGAAAGGGAGGCTAAAGAAAAAGAGTTTGTCGATGGACAGCATGCTAATGTGATCAATGGGGTGTGGCACTGCTCCAACTGCGGCTGTCCGGAGAGCGTTGCTATCGGAAGAAGAAAAGGTCCTTTGGGCGACAAATCGCAATGTGGCACATGTGGTGCGTTGATGCTATTGGCTAATCAATAATACACTTCTTCCTGATGCTTCACCGTTATTCAGGCAAATTCTGGCATCGACATCGCAGACCCCGCCCTGTAACATATAACCAAGATCCCGATTACCATTTGAGCCAAAGGCGCGAAACAGAGCAGGTTAAAATCGGGGTGAAACGAAAAGGACGAGCGCCGAATTCTCAGGTGGCTGCTGACGGCCAAGATACGCCTACTCGACAGAAATCAGACCTCTCCGTTGATATCTCTGCTCGATTGCCCGTGCCGGCTTCCGAAGCCATGTCACCAGTATCGACTGCCTCCAGTGATACAGAAGCTCCTCTTGCCCAACGTGTCACAAAAGTCAACGGCGCCAATCACGCAAGACTTGCGTCATCATCTGGGACTCCTCCTCCAACAAGCAACGGGATTGCACGTCCTAAGTCACCCAGGGAAAGTAGTGCTCCAATTTCAAACGGCTCATACGTGAGCGTTTTCCCTCTGAGACCAGGATCTTATTGATGCTGAATATTAAGTGAACAGGCCGCTCCGACATGGCTAACTTCAGCAATTCGTTCGCTTCAAGAACAATACCCAGACGACAAGTTCGAAGCAATCCTGCGTCGACCTGCCCCGCGTTCTATACCAGAGTGGAGGATGAAATGTCTGGATTGCCCCGGCAAGGTTCGTCTGCACCACTAGGTCACTTGACCAACCGAGACTTAAATTTGGTTTGCAGCTATATAACTCTGGGCCTGGGGATACGTTGCAGAATTATGAAGTCCATCTTAGAAACCGACAACATCGCTTACGGGTGAACGCTCGTCTGACGCAGGCGCCAGCATCATAATATTGGACGGTTTACATTGTATTGGCTGGCTTGCGCTATTTTAGTATTTTCTTTGTGCCATTTGTTGTGCTCATCTGCTATCTGTATAACGTATATACCTTTGCTTGTAATCGCTATTGGATTACTTAACCCAAACTAAACCCACGATGAAGTTGTCCTCACCACCTGGATCGATCAAACGCCCATCTCATCAGGATGCACATGGGGTCTTTGTGATGGCCCTTTATCTTTCCACTGACCATGTCTGACATGATAGTTTGGCGACCAGAAGATGATCCAAACATCAGACCTCTGCTTCAAGAGGGCCAGGTATACAGACCAGACATACTCAACGTGATCCTACGCTCACGTATATTCGAAAGACCATCCAGAGCTGAGGTTCGAAGAAAAGTGCGTTGTATCTCATCGTGCCATACGCCATAGCTATTCGCAAACGCTAAGAGCATGATTGTCACAGATATGCCCATGACACATACACTACGTGAATGGAAAAACATGGTTTCACAGTTACCAAAAAATATCATCTTGAGACTGCCTGGGTGGCTACATACACTCATGGACAGGGAGGGCACGTTCTAGGTATCAACTCTGAGATGGATGCGCTCCCTGGAATCGGACACGCTTGTGGACACAACCTTATTGGGATATCCGGAGTAGCGGTAGCCCTCGCAGCTAAGGCTGCTATGGAGAGGCTGAACATCAATGGAAAGGTGGTTCTGCTGGGTACACTTGGTATGTCGTGTCTGCATTCGTGATGTCAACTGCGGAATAACACAGGACAGCCGAGGAAGGTGGCTTTGGCAAGATCATGCTGTATGAAAAGGGGGCATATGACGAGATGGATGCGTGTCTCATGTTAGCTCTTTTACCAGTGATCCATATCAGATGACCAGCATTACTTAACCTACTTTGGAGGTGCCATCCCACACCTGGCCCCCGCCACTCCATTAGTTTGACTAGCTGCTTCTCTTTTTCTCTCACCACTGTAGAGTATCAAGGTCATACGTGAGCGTACTTCATACTCTTTGTTAACTAGTGGGATCTAATTTTTTACATTAACAGTGCTCACGCTGGGTTGAACCCTTGGGAGGGACAAAATGCACTTGATGCGGCTGTCCTAGCATACAATAACATCTCTCTTCTTCGTCAGCAGATTAAACCTACTCATCGCGTGCACGGCATCTTTAAGGGAAAGGATTGGGCTCCAAACAGTGAGATTTTTGCACTCTCGGAAGAAACACTTGTAAGATAATATTTGGAAAATCAGTCATCCCGGACCAAGCCATCATGGAGTAAGTCGATCTCAGGAATCACTTGCTTCAAGCACCTTAGACTCGAGTGTAGGTGGCTAGTCCGCGCTCCCACCACGCTGGAGATGGAAGACACCAGACGACGTGTTACTGCCTGCTTCGAGTCAGCCTTCACTACCAACATGTTCAATTGATCGAACAGCATCGTCTCTTTTCTCGTCACAGGGCAGCTGCACTTGCATCTGGATGCAAAGTCGAAATTACGGTTACATCGACACTCAACGAGATCACGCAAAACAAAGTACTTGGTATGAAATCGCGGAGTACAGTGACTTAAGTATTGAATGTTATCCTAGACCTTGCTGACGTTGTTCTGAAGAGCTATGGTACTATAGATTATGAGTGGGGTATCAAGAGTGCTTCTACTGATTTCGCGAGTGTTTTGCACACCCAGAAAATGCGACAGAGTTGATGTTTCGAACCAAAAAGGGGAATATTTCATACTGTGTGTCTGACCTCCATCAGGAAAACCTAGGTGGACTTAATTTGACTTAAATCATCCTTAAAGTGCCTTATTTGACTTATTCGCAACTTAAACTTGAAGTTTCGGTAACTCAAAATAAGGAGAATCAGTAGGTTATTTTCCTTAAAATAAGGTGAGTGGCGCATTTAAGACATGTAAGGACACAAAAAGGATGCCATTAAGGAGTGTGCAGATCAGACCAGGAGCTTTAGATAAGGCAAAATAAGGAGGTTCGAAAGTTTAAGGAAGGTGGTTATAGCATCCAAACAATAGAGCGTGCTCGGGTATAGTATGCATGTGGTGGAGCAGCTGGTTGAAAGAGCAGGAAACGAGGGGGAATGATGATATCGCGGTAGTATCTGTCAATAGGTTAGTACACCAATTGGGGTGATTCTGAGAGGTACTTACTCGAAAAAAATGATGTGTCCTCGAGGCTCCTGTTTAAATGAATAAAGTCAGCAGTTGAAAAAAGAGGAAATAGATACACATTACATATACGAAGGTGGGAGCATTTGTTGACTGGGGCAGTGGAACCATCATCCATTGAACTGCGATGATTGAAACGTGGGTTCTTCATATGGTTTTCCAACCACTTGAGAATCTCTTGGATGTGTTCATGGGGTAGAGTCTTGATACTGTCCATGTATGCCAAAGTATCTGTCTCCCAATTTCCAGATGAAAATGCTGTCCTGGTATGGCTCATCTTATTAGTCACTTCGTTAAGTGTCTGTACAATCTTGTGAGTTTTACCACCGTTGTCAGCAGGGTTGCTATCAACCAACAACCAGTCTTTGACTAAGACGAGAGTGCACTCAGCCTATGAAATATAGTTAACATTCCCCAACAATGAGATAAAAAAAACTTACTGCCACAGCTGTTAGCACCAGTGCAGTCTGATATCCAGGCTTGCCAAATTCAACCAATGAATCCACCCTTACTTTCCCGGCAACTGTGGTGAGGTGTGCTGCAAAAATGTGTAGTATATATTCTGACAAGAAGGCACTGGGTTGCTCTTCATTGTCAGGATCTTCATAAATGAAACGGCAATCCTGGAGTTGATACTCAGTGTATTCCTTGTGGGCTTCCTGAGTCTCATAATCAGGTGTTGAAGTGAAAAAAGCCATCAAAACAGTGACGGCTGTTGAACCAAATGAAGCTCGCCATTTGTGGATCCTTTGGCTTACCTGGGAGAAGTGAATCAGTAGCTGTTATGAGTCAAAAATTGAATGCAAACCAGTTGAAAAGACAAGTCTTCAATGTCAAAACTACACCCTCCTTTGTTATGTGGATACACCTCATAAAATATTGACTCGAGAACAGACTGGAGCTCAGTCTCTGGTATGGTCCATCCATGGTCGCTGTTACCAACCCAATACATCACATAGGGAAGGAACTTCATGTGCCATATTCCGTTTTCAAGGAGTCTGCTGGGTAGGTGCGCATTTTTCACCTTGCCTCTCTTGAGCTTCGCATGAATATTTTCTGATGCTACAGCCTCAGGCTCAGGCTCAGTCTTGACCTCTGCCTTGATCCTAGTAGTACGGCCTTTGGCCTGCTTTGTTGTGGGTTTCTGCTCTGAGACATCAACTGACATCTATCCAAGTATCAGTTCGTCCCATCAAGATTGACCAATGACTTACAGAGCTTGTGCGTCGTGCCATGCTAGCCTTATTCACCACCATTGCGGAATCACTTCCATCATCCTCCTCATCCTCAAGCATCTTGAAGTCCGAGTCTTCGCCATCATCCAGGTCTTTGAGGTTCTCCAGTTCTTCATCAGCCTCCAGATCCTCCAGAATCTTGAGTTCTTCTGCAGCATCTGGGTCCTTGAGTCCTTCTGCAGACAACTCTATTTCATCTGGGACTGGGAGTGAGCGCTTCTTGCCTCTTGAGGTGACTTTTGGTTTCTCCTTCAGATGCATGATGTTCTAACTTAGGTAAGTATGTGTACACAGCTCAAATGGCCACTGACCTTTCCCCTCTGCACTTTTGGTGCTGGCTCACTGTATTCCTCAGGTTTGTCATCAAGGTCCACATTGGACTTGGTGGGTCATGCTGTCTTGCCAGAGACTCACATGCTTGGTGGTGCACTTGGTTTCAGCTGAGCTTGTGACACAACTTTCTCTGCCCAGTCAGGAATGGGCCCTGTGAGGTCAGAACTGATCACCTGCTTGAGATTGGTGCTGATACGGTATGCACAGATGTAATCAAAGTAATACAGAGTGAGTTCTGATAGAATCAGCATTGTAGCTAAAAGTGACTTACAACTTTTTAATTTTCCCATCGCCAATCATTGTTGTGCTCCCAACACGTGTGTCACTGTCACTGGTACTGATTGTGACTCCACCATTGGACACCTTGCGATTAGCATTCATGCTGTCTTGAAAACTCAACTTCAATGCAGCATGTTTCTTTTTTGCTGGCTGACTGATCTCATTATCTTCAGCTGTGGTTGTTTGAGCAGTTATGCAGGGGTCAAAGTCATCAGAACAGGTAAGCAATTCAAGCACTGAAATGATTGGAACTCACCTGTAACTGCAGGTTGCTCAACCGCTTTCACCAGATTTGTGCTCTTTTTGCTGACAACCATGCATGGCCTGACAAGCTTTGGAGGGCCCTTCACTTGAGTCTTCTGCTGGATGGCCATGGCATCTTCAGCTGCAGCAATCATTGTATGTGATTTCTCCTCTGCCACAGCATGATTAGCCTTCTCAAGTTCTTTCTGGTTCTTTTCAGCAGCAACTTCTTCTTTAGACTGGTGCTGGACTCGGTTTGCCTCCCAGACAATGTTTCCTGGGTGCTTGTTGACATTTCCAGGACGCGTTTGTGGATGAGACATGAGGATACCAGGGACGAAAAGAGAGAGATGCTAAAATGAACGATGAAGGACTTAGAAAAAAACAACCAGCTAACGTGTTCAGTAGTTCAGGGTGAGCCTTGGTTGGTTTTCTGTCAACTCAATCTGACCCAAAATGAATAAGTTCACACAGTGCCATTACTTTGATTTGCCCAACATCGCTTCAAACAATTCTGTTCATCATCTCCAGTGAAAATGACCTTACTGAATTGTTGCATTCCTGGATGCAAAAAAACCTTCAGAAATAAGTCAGGCCAAATGAAGCATGTACACTCAGCACACCCCATGCCTTTGCGCAATCGTCCGAGTTTCCATCAAGCAGCTCCCATGTCTTGCTCTCCAAGTCCTGAGAATCCTGCCTTTGACAGTCAACAGGACTTTGGCAATGCACATCTCTTGGAAGGTGCTGATGAAGCATTCATGCCGGAACAGGGTGTACAGTTGGGGCCTCTATTCCGGACATTCCACCTGCATCTCACAGGTAACAAAATCATGCAATTCATTTATTTAAATCTAACTTTTAACATACTAGGACGCAAGTGTGATGTCCACAGCAACTTCATCGACCAGAATGCCCTCCCACCACCTCGAACTGAAGCATTACCCACCGACTGGACCCCATATGAAAATTGGGTCGCATTTGAGACAGTGGAATTCCTCTATACACGTAACCAAATGTCTGGAGGGCAGATTGACACCCTTCTTGACCTCTGGGCAGCCACACTTATCAAACACGACGACAGTCCTCTGTTCACTGGCCACCATGACTTATATGAGACTATCAATTAAACTCCTCTTGGTGATGTTTCCTGGCAGACTTTCTCAATGTCCTATAGTGGAACCAGACCAGCTGAGAATGTTCTGCCATGGACGACTGCTGAGTATGATGTGTGGTTCTGCAATCCATGTCTACTGGTTCACAATATGCTTTCAAACCCTGACTTTGCTGCCGAGATTGAATATGTCCCGTATCGGGACTATACAGATGATAATAAACATTGTTACAAGAATTTTCTCTCTGGTGATTGGGCTTGGAAGCAAGTGGTATGTTATACTTCACGCCTTGAACCTACTGTTCCTTGAACTAATAGTATGTTGCTATACAGGATATTATCACACAGGATCCGGAAACTCATGGATTGATGTTTGTGCCCCTGATCATTGGCAGTGACAAGACTACGGTCTCAGTTGCCACAGGACACACTGAATACCATCCGCTCTATCTATTGATTGGGAACATTTTCAATGGAGTTCAGCGCGCACATTGCAATGGTGTGGTATTGGTGGGCTTTTTGGCCATTCCAAAAAGTGAGTCAGCCCCTTAACACACTTTTAAATTAATCCTTCTCACTACTCACACTATAGGCACAAAGGAACATTTAGATGATAAAGACTTTCGCAATTTCTGCCATCAGATGTTTCACTCCTCACTTGCCAAGATTTTTGAGCCTGTGAAGTTGAATATGATGGTTCCCAATGTTGCACGCTGTCCCAATAGCCATTATCAGCGTGTTATCTACGGGTTAGGCCCATACATCACTGATTATCCTGAGCAGGTGGCTCTTTCTGGAGTAGTCCAAAACTGGTGTCCAAAGTATGTCTCTTTCACTATGAATTTATTGACTTGTGCCTCATACTGCTTAAGATGCTTGAATAACTGCAAAAATCTCAATGGTGACGGTGAACCTTTACTCCAGTGCAGACATCACACCGACCTCATGGTTCAGGAGCTCCCACACGCCCACCTCTGGCACAAGTATGGAATCATCCAAGAGGTCATGGTATGTTGTTTGGTTCTCATTCACATTAACTTCTCAAAAATTTTCAGCCTTTCATGAATGATTTCCCTCAAGCAGATATCCACAAACTTCTCTCTCCAGACATCCTGCATCAAATCATCAAAGGCACATTCAAAGATCACCTTGTTGACTGGGTAGAACAATACTTGTTGCTCACACACCAGGCTTCAGATGCAGCAGAAATCATGGACAACATTGATCAAAGGTACAGTTCTTTTTTTAATAAATTCCTATATATGCATTGGACTCAAAGTATTCTAACAGGATAGCGGTTGTAGCTCCTTTCGCAGGTCTGCAGCGCTTTCCAGAAGGGTGTGGATTCAAGCAGTGGACCGGTGATGATTCCAAGGCTCTGATGAAGGTATGTCATGTCGAAAGTTCATTATGATTTGCCAATTAACATTACAACTATCTAGGTATATCTGCCCACCATCAGCAGTCATGTTCCTCAGGATGTAGTTTGCGCATTCAGCGCATTCCTTGACTTCTGCTACATAGTCTGATGAGACACCCTTATGGAGGATGATCTCACCCAGCTTCAAGATGCGCTCAGTCGCTTTCACCAGTACTGCGAAATATTCAAGACCACAGGAGTTGTACTCAACTTCTCATATCCATGCCAACACTCCCTCAGTCACTACTCCCTCATGATCCAGCTCTTTGGTGCCCCAAATGGCCTTTGTTCATCAATCACAGAGTCCAAACATATCAAGGCAGTTAAAGAGCCCTGGCACCACTCCAGCAGATACAAAGCATTAAGCCAGATGCTTCTCACCAACCAATGCCTTGACAAAATAGCTGCAGCCTGGAGTGATTTTGAAGCTCGTGGCATGCTTCGAGGGTCATGCCTGTCCAATGCATTGTGGGCACTTAGAGAGAGTGAGTGTATGCTCGAATACATGCTTTTTCAAGTGTTCTAACTGATATCATGCAGGTAATGGCAAGTTGCTGGACAACAGCACAGATGAAGATGAAGACGACAATGATGCACTTCAAGCACGTCCTGACTGTTTATGCCTCAATGAACCACAGAATCAGACTGCTGAGGGAGACTTGGTGGACATCATTGATGGACCTACTGTCCAAGCTCATGTAGAACTTGCGGCAGCACCTGGTAAGTCTTTGTCTTTAGGTCACACAAACTGTTTGCTCAAAATTCCTAGTGCCGGGTCATTCACCCGATGTCCCTGTGCTTATGCTCAATCTCAACCTTCCAACCCTCCCTACATTAATCCAACAATTTCTTCATGACCAGCTTCATATCGACAACAATGAGCCACCTGAATTTGACCCTGCAATGGCACCTACTTACATGGGCAGGGTTTCTGTCTTTAGTTCGGTGGCAGCATCATTCTATGCCCCCAGTGACCTCAGTGGCACTGGAGGCATGCGATGCGAGCATATTCAGGCAATGCCATCATGGCAAGGGGGTCCTGCTAGGAATGACTGTGTCTTTGTCAGTATGAATGACAAAGTCAGTTGTGGCTTGGATGGGCTTGCTATTGCAAGAGTATTGCATTTTCTCGGCTTCAAGTATTGGATGAAATACTTGTGATGTGCAGTCATTCGCTGGTTCTCATACATCACAGACAGCTGAGATCCTGACACTGGGATGTACCTTGTTGCACCATTGACCAACGATGATGGGACACTGGATCTCTCAATTATTCATATTAATTGTATATTCCATGCAGCTCATCTTATTCCCCTCTATGGTTCCAATGTCTTACCTCGTGCAATCACTCTTCACGACAGCTGCAACGTATTTCGCGCCTTCTATGTCAACAAGTATGCAGATCATCATGCATTTGAGGTAGTGTGACATGCAGGTTTGTTGTTGTCTTCTGTCCCCCCCTTGTGGTTTGATCATTTTGCAGGACTACCTATACCCTGCAGCATTATTATGAGGACTATCTACACCCTGCAGCATTATTATCTAAGTAGTGGGACATGCAGGTCTGTCATCATCTTCTGTCCCCCCCTCATGATTGATAATTTACCAGGACTATCTATACCCTGCAGCATTATTACAGACTATCTACACCCTGCCAAACCTGGTTATGTGCCCGCTTCATCACGCACCTCCCCTGGTTATGCACCTGCTTCATCATGCACCTCCCCCAGTTATGCACCCACTTCATCATGCACACTATCCATACCCTGCAGCATTACCACAAGACTATCTACACCCTGCCAAACCTGGTTATGTGCCTGCTTCATCATGCACCTCCCCTGGTTATGCACCTGCTTCATCACACACCTTCCCCTGTTATGTGCCTGCTTCATCATGCACCTCCCCCTGTTATGTGCCCACTTCATCACGCACCTCCCCCGGTTATGCACCCACTTCATCTTCTCACCTCTGTGCTGGTATCAGCGTGGCCTTGCCCATTCCACCACACTCAGTCGCAAACTCAGAGAACCCAGCATAAGTCTCAGTCAATTTTCATTATTGACAAGTGATGAGAACATCGAGGGCATTGCTGACTCACTCGCCACAATTAAATGAAGTGGCGGTGACGGTCACAATCATCCATCACATAACCTCCGATACTCAATTCACCACCATGGACATTAACACATGCACAGAAGATCCTATGGACATCAATTATTGAGCTAAAGATGAACAGTTCAATCTGGTGAGTTTTTATGTCTATCCCGCTGCACCTTTAATGTATTCAATTTTCGTCATTGCAGGCAGACAACATGGACATCAATGACACTCTGATGGATGAAACGGTACGCTCACATTTTTTTTTTGCTCATTCTAATTTTCGTCATTGCAGGCAGATAACATGGATGTCGACGACATTCTGACGGATCAAAAAATGGTATGTTTACGTTTTTTCACTTGTTCTAACTACATTTTCGTCATTGTAGGCTGACAACATGCACATTGATGACACCGATCAAGTCACTCAGGATGCTACGGTGTTCCTTTACTCAACCAAGGTATGTTGATCTTTTCATTTTGCATACCTTGCGCTTCATTATGTGTCACAGGCTATTGTGATCTTCAATGCAGAAGCCTTCGAATCATATCATTTCGCAGCTCTCTTGATGTAATCCATGGCGCAAAGACATGTTCTTGGATCTTAGTGATGCTACTCATGCTATGGTGCTCAACCATTTTTTCACTTAGCTCTCATTGTATAAATACCTACCCTCAGATTGTTACATGCTTACTTTGCTTGCAATTTTTTTTTTGCTTATGTCTCCTTACTCATCCTTAAATTCCTTGTGTTCCTTAGTTCAGAGTGTGATAGAATTCATTAAGTCCCTTGAGCTCCTTTACCACCTTATGATGTACACTAAGTCAAAAAAGGCACAAAAAGCCCACCCATGTTTTCCTGATGTCCATGACCCAGGGCAGGTGATCTTTGCTAATGAGGTTATTGTTCGTCAGTGATGCCTGGTCTTCACCCTGGTTTTTGTAAGTAGTGCAGGTTCTGAATGAACCATGCTAATCGGTTTTTCAAGCCATCCTGACCATTCCAGATGGCGGGAACCATACACCAGACTTTGACGTGCTTTTGTCAATGGTAAAATATTGATGGATAGAGATAATTTCTGATGATAAGTCAACAATTTTCGGATCATTGAATTATTGTCGGAATGATTCCTTAATGAACAATAGTTCCCTGGTAAAAATAGGATATTCTTGCTAATTTTTAACCTGTCAATTATTTGACCATATGTAGCCTATATACAATGGATCCTCCTTATACACCTTCTGCTCCTCACTGCAATGATTACAGCCATCCAACAGGCCTGTACATGTGTGCCAGACCTACGTGATCTATCCAGCTGTCATATCCACATATCCGGATCTCAGATCCGACCCTTATCTCATCTCAGATCCACATCTTATCTCCCTCCAACATCTCATCATCCAATCTGTTCCACTCATCTGGTCTGGTCCACAACTCATCCAAATCCACAACCAGCACTCATCTCCTTTCGGTAACCCCCTAACTCCGGTATTTCGGTTATCTGTATATCCATCCTGCTCCCTTATCCGCTACCTATGTTTCATTTCCATTTCATGATTTGTGATCCGTTTCTACTTACTGTTATGAACTCAGATAGAGCATCATTCCAATAAAGGAATCAAGATCAAGGTTGATCAAGGACTAAGCCTTATTGAGTCAATGCCTCCCTCAGGAGCGATCGTCTAGACTCCTGCAGGATCTAGAGTTCAAAATGGGACAGATGGCTAGCCTCCTTCCCAAGGAGCTAGAGTTTGAGTATCAAAGAGAACCGAGTAGATTCAAGTTAGAGAAAATACAAGTGGTAACTAGGGTTTATATACGTAAGGGAATCGTGCACAGACCAGGCTGGGCAAAGGGTAATGACTACTGAGAAAGGAAGGTTCATGGGAAAACAATGTATGAGTCAAAGATAAGGAAGACCATGAGGAAACAGCACAGTGAAAAGGAAGCATTAGAAGTACAGCCATATAGGAGTCCACAGTGATGATGGGAAAAAGAGTGGGGCACTGTAACACTTACCAATAGACTATTCACATGCTTCATACATAGCCTTGGACTCTGCTGATTGATCATTCCATTAGATACCTATAGTACATAACCTCCTGTAACTTTCTGTAGTACCTCAGTTCAAATATCATCTTAGTTCTACTCATTCCTGTCCTCCAGACTTGAGTACCTCTACTCTCGTCACCCTCCAAGACTTAGGATTGATTCCTATAGTCTATCCATATCCACCTCTGTCCCCGACAGTCCATTACCATTAGTTTCTAGTCTGGACTCATCTGGATTAGCCTTACGATACTTATCCCTCATCCAGAAGTCATCCAGATCCGTTACGCTACTCATCTGACCTTCCGGATGCACTAGTCTTGCCTTCCTGAAATAAGGGGCAATACTTGGGTAAGGGGCACAGCACACGAGCTGAGGCTGAAGCCCTTCAGATCCAGTTACCCTTTGAGTACGACCTTAACACCAGCAAAGTCCCAAGCCATTTCAACATGTTGTAGGGATTTCATATTCTGTGGGCTTGTATAGGCAGATATTACTTAGTGTTATGTTCGCACTTTTGGTGCTTATGTAATCATCATAGTTTTCACCACCTACCAGCACCAGTCTGAGACTGAGAGTTATTAGCATGATTTCCTACCCTCTCTGAGCACTGAGCTTGGTCCAGAAACCCTTTAGGGTTGAATAGCAGCTAGGCATAGCACATTTAGCCCAACATTAGAAGTCTACTTTCCAGTTCTCTTCTTGTTGTGTTTCCCACAATGTTTTGCAACCACCAGTTGTGAATTAGATCGAGATACATGGCTCCTCAGAAGGCTCCAGCAGGCCAGAATGCATCACAGGGTGTAGTGAACCAGGCAGTTGTCATAGGGATACAGAAGGATGCATTGAAGAGGTATCTCAATGAAGGCACCAGTGACATGATAGGGACCTTGAAATGAGTGCAAAAGACAGTCCAAGGACAGTCTGCCACAAGGGGGTTTGTAAATCCTTTCACACTGAATAGATCTTCAGCAGTACACCCTACCAACCAGCAGGCAGCAGCTGTAACACACCTTGTACCTCCTGGGTCTCTTCCTCCTCACCCTCCACAGTCCTTCAATCATATGCTGCCCCACCACCAACAATATGATGCATATATGTGCCCTACCAGTACCGATCCCAAGCTGGAGCCATTAGATACAAGGGACACTCCATCAGAGAGTGATGCCGTACTGATAGATCCAGCTATACAGGAACAAGAGTCAGCCATACTGTCCACGGCATTGCCATGAGACCACAGCACCAATATCGAGCAAATGCCACCTCCGCCTGCAAAGTTCAATCAATTTGCTCCCACAAAGAAATCACTTGCCACCTCAGCACCTAGCAACAATCCATTTGATGTGTTCACCACTGGCACCAGACTTGAATCAGCATCCCCAATGTTGACCACATCTTCACTCACTTTGTTGGATGCCCTCACAACACCATCGTGTTTGTCATCTGTGGCTCCTCAACTGTCAGCAAGCAATAGACACATATCTGCAACTCCTACCAAATCAATTGTGAGCACACACGCAGCTGTCGTCATTCCCAAATGGCTCACTGATACCATAAGATGTCTCAAGAATGATGTCAAGTCCCACAAAGAGAAGCTAGAAGAGACCAAAGATCTTCTTCAAGAACAAACTGTGGAATTAAACGAGCTTCGTCAGCTGATTGCAACACTACACAATGATCAGACTCAGCTTGGAGAAGACATCGACAAAACACGCATATCTCTTGACTCTGTCCATTTGAACATTGATGTCATCACCAAGTCATTGGAAGGTAGTGGGGAACCGTCAAAAGTGAAGGTTGCACATGCAGCAGGTGAGAATGCGAAGGATAATATCTGGAATGTGAGTGACCAATTCATATTAGTATGTACTTCACATATTCACCTAGTACACCAACTGAAGACTGGAGTTCGGAAGACCTTCTTAAAGGCAATAGGTGTGATGAAGGTGAGCACGATCAAGGAGTATCATCCAAACAAAGATGGATCGCAAATCACAGGTGAACAGGTTTGACCAGACTTCAGCAAGGATTGGAGCAACAATGCATCTTGGCACATGCACCTTGTCCAATATGTTAGGAACAACATTCGATCTTGCCACCCAATTGTCTCTGCTGAACTCATCAATTCAAAGACAGACGACAACATTCTTAAGTGCTTACATGAAATTTTCAAACATTACACTGCAGACTACCACACTGCAAATAAGCTCTCATTGATCACCAGAAAGGCTAAGGGTAAGATTGACCCACAGGTCACTCGCAGGGAAGCACAGAAGAGAATGGCAAGACAAATTTTCAACTTGATGATGTTGTCACTTGACTAAACTTTAAATCAGAAACTAGAGGAATGAATCAGTTCACAGACAAAATCCGATCTCACAAGTATGGAGTGGGACTTTGCCTTTACCTTGCCATACCAGAGCACTGACGAGAGTGTGCAATCAGAAGACAATCATGGAGGTATCGATCCAGACACTGATGAGGAGAAAGACCTTCATAAGAAGCCTGCAAAAGTCAAGGGTAAGAGAAAGGCCCATCCAAGGAAGCTTGGGTGACTCATTGTGACAAGTACCAAGCATTGTTGGTGCATATCAAATTGATTATGTGTCATTGATGGTCTGAATCACTAGCACAGCTGAATCAAGCCATGGACCATTTGAATGACATTGTACTTGAAAACAAGAAAGAGAACAAAAAACCTGGTCGCCATCATCCTTGAACCATTGGTGAACCAAGGGATAGAAACTTGCCAGATGTTAAGACAGGCTTGAAGATACCAATTGGCTTGATCGACGCTGGTCGGTTGCAAGCGCACCCACAAGACCCATCAAGATATGATAGAACTATTGGTGTGTTATTAATGTTGTTTGTATTCAGCTCAAATTAACTGTCAACATCAAGTCATGACTCCTGACTCAGATGACAAAGGCAACACTGCCAAACCTCATGACTGGCATGACAATGACCTTGCAGATGACAAACAAGAGGGGCTTCTCGTTGGCAATGAATTTGACTAGTAACGATGGTCAATTGAGACTCAGTATGGACATACACTGTATCAGTAGAAGCACATTTCATTCAATCATCACCAACCTTGACATCTCCTTCTGGGTTGGTCTATTAAAAGACTTGAGTACGAATGAAGTAGACAAAGATAAGAGCAATGTACATGATCATATGCAACTGTGATCCAAAACTTCTGGTCATGCACCTCAATGGGAGCAAGGACAAAGTGTCCAGACAAGGCAGTGAGGGGAATGACCTCTGAATCAGCAAGATGTTCTGCAAGCCATACAGTGACACCTAAATCTGTTGCCCTAGAACATATGATAAGCATCTTCCATGGACTGTTAAAAGTTACATACCAAAGTGCCCATGGAAAGTTGGGTATATCATCATCTGAAATAAATTGCCGTACAACAGCGAGATCAACAATAAGAGGTTCCACATCAGCATCAAGTCAGTCATGCGAGACCTGCAGGAGGTACTGAATCTCTGCAGGCTCACATTCATGAATGTATGTGTAGTGTGCTGATTTTCCTCAGTGAGCAGTAGCAGCACCATACTGAAGTTTCTTCAGCCACACATGAGAGTAACACTTGGCATGACCCATGAAGTTCTCGCCTTCTCCAATGATGCTAGTTGAGGGCTTGAGATGTAATAGTGCATGCCACTTGTGTCGTAGGTATTCAAACACAATCCGATATATCTCACTGCTGATGGCCGATAAGCTGAGTTTTTTCAGGTGCTTGGCAAAAATCAATTGGTCTGCAAGGTATTCAAACATGAGATGTTATTGATGACATGACACAAGAGGATAATACTACATACCTTTCCCAGCATTCTTTGTACCATGCCTGTCTTTTTGCTGTGCCTTGAGTGACATCTGGAGGAGCTAAAGAGAATCCTCATCATCCTCAGTGCGGTTAGGAAGGGCTTCAATATGGAGGATCTTGAGATGGAAATGGTCAGCACAATAGCAACAGACACGTAACAACTCACAAGGTCGTAATTGAATGTAATACTCCACCATCATTGCATCAGCATTGCCTCAAGCTCACCTCCCTTGTGCTGATTGTGGTTGACCCTCACAAGCTTTCCATTGTGTCGTTCAAAGGCAAAAGCCCATGTGGCATAACATGGACCAAAATCATACATCTGCTCTGCAAAATGCATACCAAAATGATAATAGGGTGTCAAATGACACCCCATGCGAGCCCAGCCCTGCATTCCACGAGATAATGCAGTGCTTCCTCTGCGAACATTGTTTGGACTGATGGACTGCGAGGATAGGATGTGAATGGCAGCAGAGAACTTGAGGATGACACCATAGTGGTGATGCAAGTTGTGGTCCATTTTGGCAGTGTTGACATGAGCAATTTCGGTGTCTGATGGATGCTGATTATGAGCGAGGAGAAGCTCCATCAGCCATGAGCAAAGTGTCTTTTGCATTGTAGCTTGTGCAGCATGATTTTTCATGTTAGATGCTGAAGGAGGTGCATCACGGTCAGGTACTTCACTGTTGACTTGCCATGCATCATAAAGTGCAATGAAAAGAACTAAGATTTGATTGCGCCATTGGTCAGCCTTAGGAGACCCTTTTCCATGTTAAGGTCATACTCAAGGGATAACTGGATCTGAAGGGCTTCGGCCTCAGCTTGTGCGCTGTGCCCCTTACCCAAGTATTGCCCCTTATTTCAGGAAGGCAAGACTAACACATCCAGAAGGTCGGACAAGTATCATAACAGATCTGGATGACTTCTGGATGCGGGATAGGTATCATAGGGCTAATCTGGACGAGTCCAGACTAGAAACTAATGGTAATAGACTGTCAGAGACAGAGGCGGATATGGATAGACTATAGGAATCAATCCCAAGTCTCAGAGGGTGACAAGAGTAGAGATACTCAAGTCCAGAGGATGGGAATGAGTAGAACTAAGATGATATTTGAACTGAGGTACTACAGAAAGTTACAGGAGGTTATATACTATAGGTATCTAATGGAATGATCAATCAGCAGAGTCCGAGGCTATGTACGAAGCATGTGGATAGTCTATTGGTAAGTAGAAACAGATCACAAATCATGAAACGGAAATGAAACATAGGTAATGGATCAGGGAGCAGGACAGATATACAGATAACTGAAACACCGGAGTTAGGGGGTTACCGAAAGGAGATGAGTGCTGGTTGTGGATTCAGATGAGTTGTGGACCAGACCGGATGAGTGGACAGATTGAATGATGAGATGTTGGAGGGAGATAAGATGTGGATCTGAGATGAGATAAGGGTCGGATCTGAGATCTGGATATGCAGATATGACATTCCACCTGCGAGCTACAAGGAGATCGGTGCCGATGCCACTGAGACATTAATAAATTGCAGTCTGCTTACTGAGGGTGGTAGTCAAGTTGCCTCAACAGGCCACATGAGTCTAGAGAAGAAATCCTCAAGTTTCTCCATGGGTCTGATATGTCTTGTTCCATTTAGAAGACCGGACTTGAGGATAATGATTCTATTGAGATGCTTGACCATAGCTGATAATGTTAGTACAAAGATTGTACATTGATACCATAGCGACGCACTGAGGAAAACTGCATGCATGAATTCAACAACTGAACTGCAGGCTGGCATCCAGCCTGGAAGGTAGTTTAGTGTTGACCAACAAACCCCTCAATTGTCACTGATATCTTTGGCTGTAGGAGGGCCTGCAGTGCATGCACAAAACGAGTACTTAATGTATCTCCATTCATCTCTATACTGAAAGGCTATACGTACATAAAGACATGATTAGTGATTGAGGATCATAGAGCGGATAATGGCTAACGTACTTTTGGGGTCAAAACAGCTGGGATGGGAAAGTGAGAAGAAGGGTTTCTTGCAGGTCAGACACATGAAAAATTTTGAGTTATGGCCTTGAAGACCACTGGTTTTATGGCTGGAGGGAAGATTGGAGACGTTGCAGTATAAGTGCGAATGTGAGACTTCTGGATCCTCATGGCCATTGACCCTGAATTCTACTCCTGTATGTAGTTAATAACTAGGTTGATGATTAGGGTAAAATTTCACCCTTTTCAAGCTGGAGCATACTCTTGACAAAGGGCTCAATCAGGTAGTTCATCTGTTCTAGGGAAGGCTCATCAGGTCCAGGAATGACCATGAGAAGAATGGTCTCTTCAGCAAGGTATCAAATCTCGCGTGGGTTGTTGCAAATGACAGCGTAGAAAGCCCCAGTCAAGTGATAACTGGATTTGCCTTTGACAGTTTGAAACCTGATGAGATAGGAAGTGACAGAATGATGAAAGTCTTCTAGAAATATACGTACCAGTCTATGTTGATTTGCCAGACTAAGCCACAGGGCAGGGACATGAAGCATTGATATAGCTTGTGGACATCAGCATCTTCTATCTCCCAGGGCCCACCTCATCGGTGTTCTAACCCTGCTTGAATCATGCGCCAACTGTATCCATCGTAAATATCTCACATTGGCTTCGAGGGGTCTGGAAACAAGTCATAGCCTTGACCAGGAATGGGAGGTACAAGACCCGGTTTGTCCTCCAGACCACGCCAATGCTGAAATTGCTCCCACTTGCCAGGCCGTAAGAAAAGGCACTGTAGTGCACGTTCTGGGGGGACATATGGTACAAGCTTCATTGGTGCTCATTTTAGTGTGCTATCAGAGAGGAATTTCTGTGTATACAATGTGCCATCACAGTCATCGATAGTGCACTCAGGAGACTTGAGTTCAGAAAGTACAGAGGGATGATGAAGCTTCCAGCAAACATCACAGACAAAGAAATAGATGATAAACTGGTCCATTGACAGACCAAGGCACTTGAGGAGGGTAGGCAGTGTGCAAGCAAAATTATCTAGGCCCAGATATTCAATATCTGGGTTTGCTTGTTGAGCTGTGTCGAGGAGGCATTCCTTGCCTTTGAGGTCATGGTACACAGCTGCGTGGGTAGCATTATAGAATGCTGCTGAAATAAAGGCCCAAATGTAAGCATTACGGACCGCTGGGTGATCGTTCATACAGGGAGGGGGTGAGGCATGAATGTCAGCATCTTCATAGATGTCTGAGAAATCAAAATTAGCACCCTGTGAAATGAAAAGGACCATGTTGATGTCATTCAGTTGCTCATCATTGTTGGGGCAGAATTCATCATTGTGGTTGCCCTCAGCTGGCATTCCAAGTTCTTCATCAGAGTTCACTGGATCTTCAAGGTTCAGTTGTCCAAGGTGTTCGAAGATTTTGGCATCAGGGTCAGAGCTGAATGCACCTGGGTCATCGTTGGCAGGATAGGGCTCATCCCATCTTTCAAAAAGATCATTGAGCTCAGGAAAATGAGGCTGTGCTCCGAGTCCAAGGTTATCGTCAGCGTCCCCCACATCATTGTTGCCATGGTCTGAATTGTTGTCGAAATCAGCCCCTGGATCATCTGGGGGCTGGTGTGCATTTCCTGCATGCTCCAGACTATCAATAATGGTAAGGTCCTCTGATAACCCATATGCCTGACCCAAAGCATCTGCTTGAGGCACGAGAAGCTCATCTGCACGCTGATGCCTGGTAGCCGTTTGAGTGGTTTGAAGCTTTTGTCCACTACCATCTGGGTTGTACTTGCAGTTGAAGCTCTCGCAGGTACACGAGACATAGGATTGCAAAGGCATCGGAGGCCTAGGAGGGACTCAGAGCACTAGTTAAAGACGATGACAACGACGACGACGACGATGCGCGTGCACGTGAATGACAATTGCTAACAAATTCTAGATCTCTAAGTCTCGCACTGATATCCGACGGCGAATGAATGGTGGATATAAGTCCCGAGATTCTCGCCTCAGATTATCGTCAAATTCTCTTATAATCCCACATTCTCGCCGGTAACTATTTTGCGTCAAAGTCTGGTGATACCCCAGGATTCACGGAAGCCGCACGTTCCGAAGTATCCCATGATGCCTGTTTGGTAGTATCGAAGGCACTCGCGGCTGTTGGCATGCGAGTGTTGACTGACGAGGCATTTCTCCAGAGAGTACGTGTTACGCGGCATTCAAATAACTTCGTTTTGATCGCGTTTTGCAGGTGAAGGACACGTTTGAGGAAGATAAGAAACTAAGAGTGTAACTGCTAACCTGTGATAGGCGCCCTGTAGAATCAGAAGGAAGAATTTGTCAAACATAATTTGTTACATTAAGTTTGTTCTCTTCAATTCTTCAACTAATCTCCGATAATAAACACATACATGATCAACTCGTCTCAAAACGACTCGCAGAGCCTAGGGAAACATGGTCAAAGTTGCCAGTGTAAATTTAAACGCCGTGACTCAGTGTGGTACTCCGCTTTTCTTCATTAGATAATCGTAAATTTCGGACTTATCATAAACCTGGAGCAACGGCAACAGTGTGTAACTTCAAAGCAGTCTTAGCTAGCTATGTGGCCATGGCAGGACCTCTCACTGCGATGTTTCACGACCATGTTCGCACTGGGCAGGTTGCCAGCTGAGGTCAATCGGCGTCCCGAATCCCGAGATCCCTGACTTTCACAAGATCTTCTAATCGTGGAAAAAATATTGTGCGACTAGTGCCTGTCCAGAGTTTCCGTCAGTGATTGCCAGTCTGGAATTGACTATCGTTCCAACTCCTTGTTTCTGACATGACAATAGTTCAGGCTGATGTTCTTTGGCGGCCAGAAGATGACTATAAGGTCAAACCGACACTGGAAGAAGGGGTCATTTATCGACCAGATATCCTTACGGTCATAGATACTGTTATCGATAGTCTCAGTGGCGAACTACGGGAACTGAATCTCGATATTCATGGTGGGATCATGACATTGTTTTGCTCACAGGAAGCACCGATGTACTAATTCAGATGCGCAGATCATCCAGAGCTTAAATATGAAGAAAGGTGCGCTTATATCTCGAATCCAAATTGCAACCAATCGCCAGGCAATTGAACTAATTGTCGGCCGCTCAGATACGCCCACGATGCATACACCTCTTTCCTAGAGAAGCACGGTTTCGAAGTCACGAGGCATCACCTCCTTGAGACTGCATGGGTTGCGATCTACACCCACGGGCGGGGCGGACACGTTCTAGGGGTGAACTCAGAGATGGATGCACTTCCGGGTATTGGACATGCGTGTGGACATAATCTCATTGGCATCTCGGGCGTCGCTGTCGCCTGTGCGGCAAAAGCAGCGATGCAGCAGCTCAATATCGACGGGAAGGTGATTCTTCTTGGTACACCTGGTATGTCACTTTCCCCTGATCGCGATGGATCGATTACATACCCTCAATAGCCGAAGAAGGCGGGTTTGGAAAAGTGAAGCTGTGGGAGAGGGGAGCATACAAAGAGATGGACGTCTGTCTCATGTTCGTGATCAGGCCTGGCTGACCAGTGTTATTTTCTCGTCAACTCACGTTCATGACAGGTGCCACCCTGCTCCTGGGCCCCTTCATTCCATCAGTTTGAGCAGCTGTCTTGCAGTTATACGTCTCGAGATAGAATACTCAGGCCACACGTGCGGTCTCCCAATGTTCATCCTTTGGCTTGAACTCTGACTTGTGCCCTCACAGTGCGCATGCTGCACTTAGTCCCTGGGAAGGAAAAAATGCGCTAGATGCAGCTGTTCTAGCATATACAAACATCGCTTTACTGCGCCAGCAGATTAAGCCTACGCATCGTGTGCATGGAATTATTGAGGGTAGTAATTGGGCACCGAGCAGTAAGTGTCTGTCATTCAATGCTGGACATACATTTGAGAGCGTGTGCGACAGTTATCTCGGATAACTCAAAGATGTAGTAAGTGTGGGTTCTAGCTCCAGAGACTCGATGCAGGTGGTGATATACTTCAGTTATTATATCCGTGCGCCAACTACCGTTGAAGCGGAAGAGACGCTCAAGCGTGTTGTTCCCTGTTTCGAGTGAGTCACTATCCGGCATTCACGTCACCTCGATCCCAGACTTCGCGCAGAGCAGCAGCACTTGCAACCGGGACGCAAGTCAAAGTTACCAGAGGATCCACTGGGAACGAACTTGTGCAGAACAAAGCCCTCGGTGTGTTTTCTTGATGCCAACCCCGTGATTCCTCCTAGATTTTGCGCAGGTGACGAACTGTCTGATGTGGTCAGGAAGAAGTACGGCGTCATTGATTATGAATATGGGATCAGCGGTGCATCGACTGATTTTGTGAGCGTGCTTGTATAGTATCTCAAGCAGGTATACTGATTTCACCCAAGGGAAATGTTTCATATTGTACGTCTTGCTCGTAATACTCGGCAGACACTTTGAAAGTCATTATCCACCAGTAATGCCTGGTTTACATCCCGGGTTTTGTTCGTACAGTTTTCCTTCTGTCACTGATAATTTCTGACTCCAAAACCACGTCTCAGCGATACCAACCGTCCCGGAAGGTGGTAACCATACTCGGGCATTCACCGACTCGGCACGTTCGCAGGCCTCTCACGATGCTTGTCTCGTTGTCTCAAAGGCCCTCGCACACGTTGGCATGCGCGTGATCACGGACGGTGGATTTTTGCAGCAGGTAAGATGGATTCTGTCTAACCTTCTAATTACTACAACACATTGTACTGCAGGTGAAAGATGCTTTCAAGGAACAAAAGAACAACATGACGTGACAAATGAAAGCAAGACGCATACACCAACACAACTACATAGTAAGACTTACAAATCCAATGATTTCTGATCGTGCTTTGACTCCAAACCAAAACTTGTTGCTCGAGTTGTTCACCACTTTTCGTGGGCAGGACGCACTGTTCGGAAGAGAGTGAAGACACAGTAATGGCAAATCGCAACCACGCTTACGGTCGATTTCCCAAGCCCAGGCTGAACTATCTTGCTCGGCGAGGTGCAAGTAGCTCTGAAGGGTGTGATCAGTTCAGATGCGTATTGCCACGATAGTGCTCCAACCTTTGCGATAGAATTGGGATCAAGTCGAACATCTTGATTGGCCTCCCAAGAGGGGTCCTTGCGTTGAGATTTGGTGCGGTCAGTGATGATGGCTGTTCCTCATTAGATGTTACTTTATAGATGCTGACATTATATACTTACTGCCGTCGATAATACTCTGAGAAACACATTTGAAGGTTCATAAATACTTTTAGCACCAGAAGACGAATACTCACATGAGCAACCTAAGAGTCAAGACATCAGTCCACAAACAATCCCAAGGTGATGCGGAAGACACCCACATGTATATTCTGCTTGCCGAACTCCTTGGCTAAGCTCTGCGACAAAGCCCTTATCGCAAACTTGCCCGCAGAAAACGCAGAGGTTGTGGTGTTGCCTCGGATAGAAGCCGTTGCGCCGGTGAAAATAAGGGTGCCCCTTTTACGAGCATTGCCAGCAACTCCGCCCTCATTCGCGGTCTCGAGCTCGAGCTTTGTGAACTCGAGAACGGCCGCGCGTGCAAAGGCAAAAGCCGCCAAAATGTTAGTGTCGATCGACTCACGGACTTCGTCTTCGGTGATATCAAGGAACGGCTTCCAGACACCGTAGCCCGCGTTGAAGACCGCGACGCGGAGAGGGGAGGATGGCCAGTGGGACTTGATGGAAACGAATGCTGACTTGATGGATGCGGGGGTGTAGTCATTGAGAGGGAATGCTGCAGCCTGTTCCAAATGACCTGATCAACATGACTGGATGGGAGTGCGCATATGGATAGGAGTAAGATACAGTACCTCTGCGCCTGCTTGGTTGAGCTCTGTAGCGAGTTTATTGAGATATTCCGGTCCTCGGGAGATCAGAGCTACTCTGTAGCCAGATCTGGCGAAGAGACGGCTGTGTGTTAGTCCATACAGTATCAGTACAAGTTGATGAGAAAAGACGTGATATTATGTACGCGGTTGCAGCTCCAGTCCCTGTAGCATGAGACGTCAGCCATACGTGTTTTTACCCACTGAGAATGACTTACCACTGCCATCGCCGATACCAGCAACCACGAACAAAGGGCGGACTGAAGGCATCTTTTAAGTTGATGAAGTTATGAGAAGGAAGGAGAGTAATGACAATATCGTACTAACTGCACGATATTTATACATAGCCCCTCTCACTGTGATCAGTGGTTCTTTGGCGCAATCAGTCGTAATCATGATCACAGCTGATCATCGCATGATCTGTCATCTTGGCATGACAGAACGATTGTTCATCCACCTCGTCTGAATCATCTGCATCAATGACGTCAGACTGAGCATCTCCAATTGGCCTTGGGTCTATATTTGATACTCAAATTGGTGTTTAGATCCAACAGAACTCGGAGCCGTTTTGATATCCCTCAAGTACTAGCGTTCAGGTCAGATTGCTCCTTAGAATGACAAGTCTGGCTTTCGCATAATCATGCATCAAATATTAGACCACCGTTTACTGGTATGGTGTCATCGAGTTACGTGTAGGAGCTAGAATCCAGCCAACTCAGGAGGGGAACGAACAGTCCGGTTTAGGACACACGCCCAATCAGTTACCAGGAAGACGTGAAAGAAAACAAGTCTATTTCGGAACTGGCGAATCTAACAAGATACCTCAGTGGTGGTCACCCAGCGCAATATGTCCAGCCTTGCTGTTCTGCCAAGCGTCACGACGTTTAGCCCAAGTGTACGTTCCATATCCTGGAACCTAATGAGCTGGTTTGTGAATGAATGCATCAAGTGTTACGCACCAATAGCAAAGGGGACTATCCAGTAGGGAACTTGGGCAGCAAGACGCCTGTAGCCGTTGAATAGCCAGCCTTTAATTATGCCTTTTGAGCCCCGCTGCCTGAATGGAGAGACAGCTGCCAGTGCCGAAATAAGGGGAGACAAAGAGCCCGCATCATGGTAGGAATCCGACGAGAATGGACGCGACAAATAGGAAGCACGAGCCGAAGTTAGTGACTTGTTTCAAGAAGACAGTGGGATAGATGACGCACTGTAAACAACAACTCCTCTCTGTTTTTGCATGCTGGTGTCACCCCACCAAGGGCACTGTGGAAAAAGAGGTAAGAACAACAGTATGATGCTTGCCATTGGCAGCACGACAACTCACAAATGATTTAGCTGTAAGCTCGAAATTAGCACAACTGTTCCATAGCAAAAAAAAAAAAGAGAAAAACATACGTCCAGGCATTCCATTTAGACGTGCAGCGGTGGGACGCATGATGGGCGAAGTGGTACACCGACGTTGGCTGAATGGTAGGTGCGGCGTTGGATGTTTAGACCCGATGTTTTCCGGCAGGAACAAACAAGGACAACTAACGCCAGATTCTGTCACGTCACACATATGTGACATGTTCTGAAACTTGCTTTATTTTGAAGTGTTTTGACCAACAACGACTACCAAGCTGAAAGTACGTGTCATATGTCATAAATTGTTGACCTCAATGCCTGAACCATGATTGACTAGGTCACGTCCACTCCTTTTCTTCCAAGATGATGAGCCACCAGACGCTGTACAACATGGCGAACTATCTTGGTGTCCTCGCTATGATCACCGTAGTCGCATACCATTTCGTTGCTGTGAACGCAAGATATCTTGCCAAGAATGGGGCCAGCAGTTGAACGCGCAGAGGGTGTTCGAATCATTGTGAGGATTGCGTGTGTAAAGTGTGTTGTCGACTCAATCCTTTCCAGCTTGCATCCGTCCGCTGATACATATATATTTAAGTTGTCCTTTCATTAGCTCTATTGTTCCGTCAACCGTATCGTGACTGCCCTCTCCAATCTATGGCCTTATAGACATTGAACGACAAAACCAATATGTCCATTGAGTGTCTATGCAGCATGTTATCCTATGTCATCTTGGCCCTCTCCACTGATCCGGTGCGACCTCCGGGGTTACATCATTAGCAATCATAGGGTCCCTCCTCTGAGGCTGATTTTGCACAACCTCAGGGAATACCATTTCAAGATCATTGTCCTGCTTCTTCTTACAACAACAATACGAGCATGCAACAGGGTCTGTCAGTACTGTCTTCGTGAGCGAGCCATTTGGTACGAGGCGGCTTCCTACCGTCGCCGCAGATATTGCTGCAGATACCTGCAGCAATGTTCAACAGTGAAAAACGAATGGGATTAGTATCCGAATCACTCACAACAACAGGTTACAAGGCTGAGGATGATATCGCAGCAGTCGGACATGGATGTATTTTCTAAGCAAAAGTTGCCGACTTCAAACATGCTTAACAACCGGTCGTGACGTCCGTGGGTATCGATATCTTTGATCGGTTTCTTCCAGGATAGGTTGCTCATTGGGCGTGCATTGGACCTTGGGAATCATTGTGTTCCACTACCGCAATGCTGCAGTGCGTTGCGACCATCAAACTATGTACATATTTCACTTTTGAAAAAACCTCCTAGATCAAGAGCAATCTCACGCTGCATAACATGCCCGTCCTCTTCTCTTAAGACTTGGACCCTTGAGTCCTGGTTCGTGCTCGGCGGCGTTATGAGTGCCAGTGTACCATGGCTTGAAAAGTTCACGGAGATCTGCGGGTACTAGTATTGGAAAGCTTGAAGTTCGGCGCTATAACTCAATGACAATGTGTTATAGGCTTGATACGTACTTCTGATCAACGCTTAATTTGACATGTCGTGCGAGTGGGTTATGTAGTGGTGCTGTCGAAAAGTTAGTATGTTCAAGCATCGGATGATCGAGCTTTATGTAGCCCCTTGGACCCAAAGTCGGCTCCAGCCTATAATCAAAATTCCATTCCCCAAGTCGTGGATATATTGATTCTCTCGGAAGTATCCATAGAAAACAGTACGGGGTATCGGTAGTCATAACTGTACATGCTGAAAGTATTGTCCTATAGGGTACTATCCTCAATAAACACAAATCGGAATAAAAAAAACCTGTACATGCTATTTAGTAACAGGCGTCGCAGTATTCTCCGCGGAAGATGAGGTTTTAATCCCAAACAAAACAGCATCGATCAAAGCATCCAAGTCAGTGCCGCCTAAATCCCTTTCCTCCTGGTCAACTCGTTCCTTCATCTCTTTCGAAGCTATCCAAGTGGGAAGGGGGTCAGCGCCACCTCTAAACTTTGTCCAGTATGCAATGAGGAGTTTCATTTCTGGACGATACTTGCGACCCTTCCGATGTGCGCTCAAGCTGACTAACATCGCAGCATAGGAGAGCTGATACAGTAACTGCAGGTCATCATCAGATGCGCCAAGACGGGCTACTTGGTTATTCAGCGCAAGGTCTTGATGTTCCATGCGTGCTGCAAGCCAATCTGCAATAAGAGTATGGTTTGAATCAGCTAGGAGGAGTGCAAGCTCCGTTGCAGCGTCAACATAGTTCTTCGAAAGCGCTCCGTAAGCAGCTTCCATCTCCTCTTTGAAGTAACTGCGTAGGACTTTGGAAGGCCGAGGCCACTGGACGCTTTTCTCCTCAAGAATCTTGGTGTTCAAGCCAAGTATAAACGTACTTGGGGCAAGCCCCTTGTTACGACCTAGGATGCCATGGGTAAGGCACACAGACTGACCATCGTGACCAGAACCAGTAAGCGGAGACGATTTCAACAAACGTGAGGGGACAGCTAATATCCCTCGACTGACACGTGGAGAGAACCCAATGTAGGCCCCCCATAGAAGGGAAGCAGATTGGTTCTGACGGATGGGTTCGTAAAGACCAGTGCGATTATCTGGTCCACGCTCTACGATTGTTGACGATTTTTCTTTGGCTACGGGCTGCTTCTCAGACATTCCCGAGTCAATAGTCCGCCTTTTCGCTTTGAGGATATCTGTAGGGTCACTAGCGATGAGCCTGGATTTGAAAAGGCGAAGGCGGATGTCGACGGGATGCTGCTTCATGGCTGGAACCTCCTTACTCAAAATGGGCCATGGATCATCGCCCTCTATGAGGGGAACCAGAGTTTTATCAATACCTGTACGGCTTGGACCAGTCCATGCTGCCCATCGATTAGAGCAGTAATGCCGATTACGCCATGCAGGCCACGCATAACGGAACACAGCAAGAGAGGATGCGCTGGCCAACAAAATAATGCCAAGCGAATCGCTGTTATTGCCTGTACAGATATTAGCAATGCTACGTGACCCAAACACATGGGTCACATACCGGCAAGGAATGAAAGGACCATGCAACCTAACGAGGCAATAAGAGCCAACGCTATGCCTGTCCACCATAGGTGCTCCCGACGCCCAAGACTGAACCTGATTGTCCAGAGTCCCTCGCCCTCGCAGATTTCGACGAGAGTGGTAATTGCACCTTGAACTAAAGAAACGGCCACAGCAAGACCAGTTGCAATCCAAAATATTTGCATGCGCTCTGCAGCAGTAAGTTTGCTCATAAGGAATGCATCACCAGCGTCGGTACTGGGGGAAGGGGATGATGAAGGGACACTGGTAGGGAGGGAAGTAGAAGCTGGGGAGGCCGCAAGTTGGGCATAGGGCGGTGGTAAAGCAGTGGCGTACGCAATTGCGACATTGATGATGACGTTGAGTGCAAGTTTGATGGTGATCATCATGAGGAAAATCCTTAAGCTCTCGGGCTCAGAAATAACTTGCAACCTGACAGCGAGAGTTTTATACCGACATCGTGCGGCGTGTCCACATGCTGTAGCCTGAAGCAAGAGTTTCTTCAAATTAATATCTGAGCAGTGCGAGAACCCTTGGGAGACAAGGAGTTCCAAGAAGTTTGATGGCTGTGTACTAGTAACAAGGCAACTAGTACCCCATGATTAGCCTTCAAATCTTTGTGTCAACAATTTTCCAAAGATGATCCCCTGTACGCACCTGGTAATAATTTCCTCGTGGACCCAGTACCCTTTCAAACCATCGAGATCGCCTTATGCTCGGTCAACAACCCACCAGAAGTGAATAGGGCGGAGATCTGATTGAACTTCTTTACCTTCTAATAACTGCGAACACACCCCAGCAGGCACTCCTCCTGGTACTGCCTTTCCGAGTCTGATAGATATTACATATGGTGAGGTCACTGCTGCATGTAAACTTCTAACAGGGCGATCATGATTGAGGCACGAGTTATGCCCAGGATAGTACAATGAGCATCAAGTCTGTCCCAGGGGCAGGCTGTGGGAGGCTGTGGGACGGAACTTGAACTGGGAAAATGGAGGCGAATCTGAGTTAGCTGAAAGAGTCGCGGGGGTCCATATGATTACTGACTGTGAGCTATCGCGATCTCTGTGTAGCACGCGTGATGTGCGTGAGATTGGAAATATTTCCTTGCATCGAACCGGGAATGTTTAGATCTGAAACACTGCGAGGGCTGCTTCGTTACACGATGACGGCCAGCAATTGAGTGGTGGAGGATTCTAAATTACCCATTGGTAGCGAAACATGATTTGGGAAAGAATCGAGAACTGAAATTTCTTTCTGCGAGTCTGGAACTAATCAGTGGCGAATATGTGGTATCATTGGAGCGGTGTATCCGCGACTGCCTGCGTGTCGCGAGCAAGGCAAGAAGTGGTGAAGAGTGACACTGAATGGCTGACTAAGCTACGGTACTGGTGCCTCGCCCAAAGGTCCAACTCTATCATGTAGTAAATTTAGCATACCTCCTAAAAAGCTGTCATCGCCATCGTAAAATACTTTCACAGATTAATTGCAGAAATTCGCTGAAGCGCCGTCCTGTTTATAAACTGCCGCTTGTTATCCTCTACGCCCCGACCACGCTTCAAAACCAAAACGCTCGAACCAGTCCACGTGACTCACTGATGCGAAGAGCGCAACTCTTCGCATCCGAGTCACGCGAACACATCCTTCATTATCTCACCGCTGTCGACAGCTGTCTCATTTTATACCAAAACCTTTCATTACCATCGACCCTTTCTTTCGTTACTGGCACCCATTCTCGGTTCGCCGTCTCCGAATCTGTCTAAACTACTATGCGACTCTCGTTATTCTGTCAAAACGATACCCCTTCCTACCGTCACTCATTCAGTCTCTCGTACTCTCTCTCCTTTACCACCACCCTACCCCGTCAGGCGCAACGCCACTTCCTTCTGCCTCCGTTTTTTTTTTGGGGTGGAACGATGTTGTTAGTATGCAGCTGACCAAGTCAGCCCCTACCAACACGTTGAGGAGAACCTGCAACTGCCTCCGTCTTCACACAACCGTCCGTCCCTAGGACCTCTGCCGTTTTTCGAGTATATATACCGCCCATGTACACATACCTATAACGAATCCTATACTCAGATCCCCGCTCCAAGAACGACCGAAAGCCTCTCAGAAAGTCCTCGTCTCTAGTCCCTCTCTTCGTGTTACCTACTGAACACGTTTCATATCCGTCTCGTTTCGTTCGCAATTCACTGCCGAACTCATACCCAGCCTTACACGCTCCAAAATTCTGGAGTAGAAAGGGCTTAGGGCTTGCACTGGCATAACTTGCTGTACTACACGATGCTGTTAGTTCTCAAGACGCTTGCGATGAGGAGAAGATCTTCAGTCCATTCTTGCACTGGCGAATCTTTCGGATATGATTTACTTCCGCCCTGCCTTTCCATCTTCTGAACTACGAAAACGTGAATCAGTCGATCCACAGCATCCTACAGCATTTCACACTTCTAAGAAAATGGTTATAGACGACAGTATATACATTTACACTACTGCAACTTGACCGGCCGCTATGCTGTCTTTGAATACCTGCAAGCTTGACGAATCATCCTCATACACCAAAGTGCTAACCTCTCCATGAGGAATATAACCCTGATCAGCGTCGAGGAGGACGTATCTGCAATCGCCATTGTTAACGACGAGCTCTGTCAAGCTGGTAAGCTCAGTAGCCCATCGTTGCCAGATGGTCGACCACTGCCTGACACCAATTGCTGAGTCCGGTACGTAGCATGCGCATGATTGCAGCTCAAGTCGCTGCAGGGTATTTTTGTGACGAAGGACAAACTCCTCAACGCCATCAAAGGAGGGCGCATGATCGAAAATGATATTTTCGAGCACGAGGGATTCGAGGGATGGATAGTAGAATGAAGAAAGCCGAGTAGCGAGGCTGTGATAGGCGCCCTGGGGACTACGTAACACGATTGATTTCAGAGTGGGATTGGAGGGAGGCAAGAGTGCTCCAAGTGAACCGTTGATGTTATTTGAAGCTGACCAAGTACTGACTTCAGCATTGGATACAACAGACACAGAAATATGCGACAGGGGCGAGTCTGTAAGGGACGAGACGAAGTCGTAGCTAGTAGTAGGCAAAATGACGTTGTTGAGAGACAAGGTGGTCATACGAGATGACTTCATGCCGTGATGAATGGCGTGAAGGAGGGTGAGCTGCCGATTTATGAACCAGAATGGGTTCTCGCAGACTTCTCTCCCCGACTCCTGGCAGAGAAATGAGGGCCAAAAGTTGAGCACGACGCTTTCAATCCTCGGAAGTGCGGTTATTCCGCAAAATGCATTGGTCAGTACTTCTTCAAGCTCACTGACAGCATCCGCAGAATCTGTGCGCACGGCCCTAATTAGACTCTGTGGAGGGTGGACGAATGGAGACTAACTTGCCTACGTTGTTGGGTGGAAGCCGGAAGCGCTCATTGTCACGAGAATCGTAAACAACTTCTCGAACATGAATAGCAAGGCTTGCGTCACCGATGATCTGGGTGAAATTCTGGGCACTCTGTATACTATTTTTGATGTGAAGCTTGCTGAATGCACGGGGAGTGACCAGCTCTCCAAATGAGCGGTTCAAACTGCGTAAATGAAGAAGATCAACTGTCGTGGAAACGTCCTGAACGATGGCACTAATGAGTTCTATGGGTAGATCTCGCATTATGAGGGAGGATGGATTTGAGGGGCTGAAACTGGTTCCGTTCTTATAATCCAGGAGTAAGCTGCGTGTGGCAAGATAGCAAGAGTTCCAATTTAGATTGTTCAAATTCGTACGCGTCGGATGTGCATGTGAGACTTATCAGAGTAGAATACAGCAATTGATTCGTCACAGTCGACAACTGGGAAGCCATTGATCTATCAATATCCCCATCCTCTCCGATCTAAAAATAGGAACACACCCAAATACTCTGATGCAACGCATAATCATGATTGAGGTTCCCACGCGCTGCGCATTAGTCATCATATGATACCAACGAAACAAAATTTACTGATGACATCCTGATGTCTTCTCCGGCTCTTCATGATCAAGAAATTCAGATAAGTATCCCAACTTGGGTGATAAAAATACTTACTACTGCGCTCCGTGCGATGAAGAAGTCCTACTACCACCCAACCTGATTTCGATCTCGTCTCTTTGCTGCCCACCATCGCATTCACACTCCCACCGGGTTTTTCGTTGAAGCCAGTTGTGCGTTTGATAACTCCAGTAGGGCGGTCAACTGCGTGCATCGGTCAAAATAACAGACTATGGGAATCACCTACACTACCCTGATAAATTGTGACATTCATTCATTTCCCTCTACAGTCGCATGCTCCCCTTTCTTCTTCAAGAGCGGCGAGGAACGCGTGACACCGAGTTTCTCAGCGCTAATGTTTTCTATCCGGAAAAGTTCATACAGTCCATCCCACCGTGACGTTGAGGATAGTTAAGGACGACAAAAAGAGTTATGAATGCATTCGAATCTGCTCGTAAATTCGCATCTGAAGGAAAGGGAAGTTGACTCAGCTGGAAAAAAACGGTGCTCCCTCAGTACTGAACTTGAAACACAATCTTTATACATCATCCTGAGATAACCAGATGACCACGGTATTGCCCACCCCTAGTAATGAAGCTAGCACAAGGCCACAGTAAGGGCTGATTCCAAATAGTCAAACCATGATAGAGGAAGGTGGCTGTCCTTTCCGAGTCTAAATCAAGTGGACAACCTCTGAAGGATGGCGCTTGAGCTAGGGACATGGCCGAAGTAGCTCAACGTTCAACGGTAGAATCGAGATCTATGTGCTAGAGCGTCGAGGTATCATCTGTGCAGTTGGTCTGTTAGATTGAAAACATTCCATGCCTTCATCAAATCTAGTCCAATAATTTTCAGCTGCTTGAATTTGGGTGTTGCGAAGATACTAAGCTCCGTATCTTGACTACATCCATTGGTCGCTGGCCACCATGATGGCCAGCGATGTTACCGTGTGGAGCAAGGTCAATTACAATGTTGCGTGATTTGCAGATTTTACACAAGAACAAATAAAGACCTGTTATGGCAGTCGAGAGAACCTAACACAGTGAAGGAAAAACGTCATCGTGAAACCCGGGACATACCACTCCCACGGATACCTCTTTCCTGTTAGAGCAGGTGATGACTGTACGGACTTGTACGGACCTGCTTTACCGATCACTGGCATGTCTTCGGAGCGATGCAATCGAATTGGTCAAATCTCTTGAAGATGAAGGATATCATCACTGAAGCAGGGTCGTTACTGATGAGTTGGGAGAAACGTTCTCGAGCTAATCTCATTCGTGATTCGCCTCACGGGCAACGTGCGCTAAAATGGTGAAGAAAACAAAAACTGGCTATTCCGGACCAGTTTGCTCAAGACTTCGACACTATGAAACATAAGTTCGAAGCGCATCCCCTTCCTCTCTACCATGATAACCACCTCGTACAACTACAACACGCCAATGAGATTCTGAATGGCACTATGGTTGAGGTACAATTCGGGATCCAGCATTGGCATATTAAAGAGGTCGATATATTCCAGGCGACGCCGGAAAAGGTAACGATTCTCAAGCTCGGTCCAATCCACATGCGTCCCAGGACAGCCGGAATCAAAGAGATTAATGCGTTCAGAGGCATAAGAAAGCTTGGCGTACCGTCCTGTATCTGTAGTGACCAAAATAAAATGGGAAAAAAACGACTCGGTCCGCACGGTCACAAGTCGGCAACGCCGACCCCTAGTAGTAAAAGGCCAGCTTACTAATAGTAAGGACATATGCGGTGCCATTTCCAAAAAAAAGAATACTAGATGGACTCGCACTTGGTGAATTGTTTTAGTTCAAACCTCACAATCATTAATATATATTCCTTTTCAGCAAATAACATTTTCTTCCAGCACGTCCAAATCAACCCTGGGCCTTGGATATGACATCAGAAGCAGACCTCAAAGCCTTTATCGGCCGCCATCGTGAACTGCTCTCAAAGGAACGCGACGCAGAGATCGAGCGAAGCGCTTTGCTGCTCACAAACTGCGGCCCAAAACTTCTGGAGCAAAAAGGGCTCGCGTTGGGGAGTCTTGGTGTGGTTGGAATCAACATAGGCCTAGGCGGGAAAACGTGTGGCGTCGTTCATTTTCTCCTACCTTTCCGTTTCCTGATTGCAGTCTTACGAAAAAGCGCAGATTAGTCGAACTGGAGCGTCCTACGGCGTTTCACACTTCGCAATCATTTCCTCCTCATAACTTCAGGTATGTCATTGATCCCATACGTGTAGATCTTGTAGTTTAGGTCTCAGAAAGACCCGGAGACCTCGCTCGCATCGAAGAGAACGTATCCTCGAATGCTGCTGTCAAAAAATCTGCAAAAAGTAAGAAGGCTGCATCTGCTGGCGCTGAAAGCTCCCATGCTGCAGAAGGTGTGGTATACAAAGTATGACCTTGTGCAGTTCAGTTGGGCAGTCGCTGACTTGCACACTCCAAAATAGGTGTCAGATACCCGCATCGTCATTGCAGTGGACCCTTCATATTCCAGATCAGACGATCTTGACCTTCCTGAGCGTTGTCGAGTGCTCAAGTTGGCCAATAGCGTCACTTATGACAGGTAATTGCGTCCTTTTTTTCATGTGAGTATTCTAAATTGCACCGTATTCAAGAATGGATAAAGCACTTGGCCAATTGGAAAAAATCAGCATTCCTTCATCGAGACAGGCAACTAAACTATATAACTCTCCTCTCCTGATTGCTAACAGCAGCTCAAACAGTCCAGCGACAAAGATGACTATGAGCTGACGCCTCTCATCCAAGTTTTACTTGGAATATCACCACCCTCTAAAAGATTCCTATTGCAGAGCTTAAGTTCTTCGACGAATCCCTGAATCCGAGTCAGCAAGAGGCTGTCAAATTCGCTCTTGAATCCCGGGAAGTCGCTTGTATCCATGGTCCACCTGGTAAAGCTACCGGACCTCCCACTAATATAATCACTTGATGATGATAATAGGGACAGGGAAAACACATACCTTAATTGAAATCATACGGCAACTCACCTCACCTTCGGAGCATAGCGTCAATGAGAAACAGAAACGCATCCTTGTGTGTGGCGCTTCCAACCTATCTGTCGATAATATCCTAGAGCGTCTTCTTGCCATACCACCCCCTGAGAAGGGCAAGAGAACATCCTTGACAGCTACTCGCATAGGCCATCCCGCGCGCGTAATGGCTAATCAGGGCGTCTTAGAAGCAACGCTAGAAGTGAAAGCCAACAAGAGCGATCAAGTGACTCTACTTCAGTATTTGATAAGGTTGCTGGTGCTGAGACTTTGAGTTAGGCCACACTTGCAAAGGACGTCAAATCTGAGATTGAATCAACGCTTGATGTGCTTGCTGGAAAGGGGAAAGGCTCCAAGAAACCAAGAGGTTCGGAACGGAAGAAGATGTGGGAAGAGGTAAAGGCTCTCAGGAAGGAGTGAGCACAGACCCCTTGCTCAGACTCGGCGTGCGTACTCACTACTAGTTCAGATACAGGCAGCGCGAAGGCGGAGTTGTTAAGACTGTCCTTGGAGAGTCTCAGGTATGGCCTGTAATACTATCATGGGCTACGAGGACGGTTATTGATTAACTGCAGGTCGTCCTTGCTACATGTCATTCAGCTGGTAGCAGGCAGCTCCGTGATCACAAGTTTGATGTAGTCATTATTGACGAGGCAACACAAGCGCTCGAAGCAGTAAGTTAATTCTGTTCCAGACGGCAGTCATTAATATACCTGCAGGTGTGCTGGATCCCGATATTCAAGGCGAGAAAGCTCATACTGGCCGGCGACCCGATGCAATTGCCACCTACAATTCTCTCTATCGACAAACATAAGAAGACAACATCTGGGACTACGACACTAAAGAAGAGTGCAAGTATTGTGAATGATCAAAATAAGTCGCAAGAGTCGACAGCATCAAAATCTCAGCTGCCAGAAGAAGACGAAGGCACGAGTTCCAGTGATGCAGATTCCGAAGCGGAATCGGTCAAAGGAGACAAAATCATGGCACAAGACGCCACAATCGAAGTGTCCGAAGGAGGATCGCAGTCGAATCCAAAGCCTGTCAAAAAAACTCAAAAGGAGGCGAAGGGACGGACTGGCTTGCAGCCACCCCGTACATTAGAAACAACGCTCTTTGACCGGCTTGAAAGGATGTATGGTCCAGATATAAAACGCTTGCTCAATGTTCAATACCGGTAAGATACAAGTCATACTCAAGTTGCACTTAAGCAGCTTATAGCGCACATCTCTAGCATGCACTCGCAGATTTGCCAGTTTCCTTCCAAAACACTCTACGCGTCAAAGCTCGTGTCCCATCAATCTGTAAGATCTCATCTCCTCAAGGACCTACCCAGTGCTAGTGTCTTTACCTCCTCTGAAGACGAGGACACCATCAAAGAAATACTGGGAACACCAGTCGTGTTTTATGACACTGCGGGTTGCGAATACTTTGAGCGAATAGACGGAGATAGCGACGAAGGCAGCCGCTGCAACGAGAACGAAGCAGCCGTGGTGTCAAAATGGGTCGAAAGGCTGGTGGGAGCTGGATTGCTGCCATCACAAATTGCTCTGATCACTCCGTATGGGACCATTCTTCTGAGCTGAGACATGCAAGTCGGACTTATTATTGTGAATCAGGTACCAAGCACAGGTTACTCTTCTCACTTCCTTGCTTAGACCAGTGTATGGTCTTGAGCTTGAGATCGGGACCGTCGATGGAATGCAGGGGCGAGAGAAGGACGCTGTCATTATTAGCTTAGTGCGCAGTAACGACAAGGTGCGATTTATCCTCTCTACTGCACTTTCCATTGAACGTTTCCAGCGCGAAGTTGGGTTTCTGAAAGAGAAGAGACGTATGAATGGTGTGTAAAATTATTTCCATGGGGATATCATCCTCATTAAGTCATCCGACAGTCGCCATGACCCGAGCCAAGAGGCACTTGGTAAACATGCAAATGTTTATCCTCATGGTATTGACTAATCAGGACTCGCAGTGTATTGTGGGCGATTCGTCGACTGTGAAGCATGGCAGCCCGTACTTGAAGAAATGGCTTACTTGGCTCGAGGCAAATGCGGATGTGAGGTTTGCGGAATTTGATTCCATTTGATCGTGGGTCTGGCCCCTGATTAGCTGCGGTGCGAACATGATCATGTAAGACTGATAAGGAATCAGTGTATGAGATTCTGCTATTGATATGAGTGTACATGGGCTGTATATGTACGTCTTTGAATAATTGACTAGGCCAGAATGAGTATGAGGAACATATGGTGAAGGCGAAATGAAGCGGTCAAGGCGAGGGGATCGCGGAGTCTGAGCACAAGGTAATATCGTAAAAGGGAATGAAAAAGGAAAAGGATGTATCCGCGTGTCTCGGATGAAGCTCTAACGGAGGCACGTGGACTTCGAGCATCTTCGTTTTGAAGTCGTGCCAGTCGATCGGTGCGTAAAGCATATACAATCCTTACAATCACAATCTATCCCTGTGATTGCAGTTGTTGGGCGGTACAATGCAAATATACATTGAATCGCCTTGCAGAACGAATGAGTCTGTCGCATTATAGGACTCCCAAGAGGGTTCCATTTCTCAAGATCTCACCAACGAAAGCATTATTACATGTAAGCCTGTACAAGACTAATGCAAGAAATGCGAAGCAAACTACAACGTGGCGTACAGTACAACAGTCAGAAAATGAAGGCAATGTCAAAATGAGGGAGATGATGGATGAATAACTTAATAGATACTTGTGAGAGTACGCCAGGCGGAGACCAGCCAGCCACTCAGTACTCCTCGACATCGGTAAAGGAAGCGTAATCAGATAATGTTCGCACATCTTCATACTCCAACACAACTTCCCGCATCGCAAAGCGCATGATCGGCGTCAGAGGCACTAGTTTGGGGCCAATCACTTCTTCCTCCTCGTTTTCCTCATCAATCTGCCCGAGCTCCCGCGTGGATATATTGACTGGATTCATCGCCATCATATCGCCATCTTCTGAGGACGCACCAAGTGTGCTGCCGCTCCCGACATTGATAGGGCTGGGAATTATACCCACCGGTGGGCTAACGGTGATGGACGCTATTGGTTCCAGGCGGGCTGGTAGTTCTCCTTCGTGCGTCACTGGGTCTGTCCAATGTAGATTCAGCACCCGTCCCTTAACCATCCCATCCACCGCGCGCACACCAAGCTCCCGACAAAGCAAAAAATACGGCAGGTGGTTCGTCCCCACCTGACTCAGTTTGCTCATCACCTTGAGCAGTTGCATCGCGCTGAAATCGGCAGAATATTCATCGCTAACGCTGCCGGGGTCGCGGAAGGAGTTTCGAACAGGAGGGTATGTCTTGAAACCAGCAGGTCCGAGGTTGGCATGCAGGGCATCAGGCCCTGAGGAGCGTGGGCGGGCGGCAGGTGTGCTGGGCGTTGTAGGGTCTTGGCCACCGCTGGTCATTGTGGTGGCTTGTGAGGAGTGGATGATGTGAAGGTTGAGGACTGCATGTGCCTGAAGGAAGTGGGAGCTTTGCTTGACTGTGATACGAAGTTCATGCCTGCCAGCGTGATATAGTGATGTGTACTTACTTTCAAAGTTTCCACCTGCATTGACTGTGAAATATCCGTCAGCATTCCGCTTGAAGAGACAAGACAATAACAATAACATACTATAATCATTGACATAATCATGCCAGTGCGCTAACTTGCCACCAAATGCATCATACAATGAGTCAAACGACAAGCTTGCGCGTAAGTTTTCTGGAACGCGAGGCAGCATCTTCTCGACAAAAAATGCACGTGTCTCTGCCTTCGTGCAATCTCCGATGGTGATAATCTACATTCATAATGATGATCAACTCCTGAAAACCACGTAAGGTGTCAAGACGTACTTTACAGTGTTGCATTACGTTCAACTGCCGCAGCCATGCTTGATAGAAAGGATCGCTGGTGGCGTGAATTACATGACATAACCTGTCTTGCTTCGTGAGCACCAGCATTGAATCTAGGAGGCATTTCATCGCGTCAGATGACTGAATCAGCGCGGGGCTGCAACGGTAACTTATCAGTGCCTAATATATACCTTCAGGTAGGTGTACCTACAGTTTATGTGCTTCGTCGAAGAACACTACTGGGATCCTCTTGATGGCCTTCCCATGCTCCTTTTCGCGAGCATTGGAGTTGGCCACCATCGAGGTTAGTTCATGGGTCTGCTGTCCATCGCATGGCTTCTTGCCTTTACGTTTGAATAACCACCGAGATTTATGCGAGGGCGAACTTGAAGGTGATGCGCTGTTAAGTTTTGTCTTGTCTGAGGACACATCAGAGTCCTTCTTACGCTTTCCATTTTCTGGTGGCTGTTCGGACGGTTCAAACTCGCTGTACTTGAGAAGCGAACTCTGAATCAAAGAAGTCAGTGAAATACGCATTAGCAGGGGAAAATACACACCTGGAAGAGCTCCATAAGTCTCGCAATATCGCTCGTCCTGACTTGTGAACCAGAGCTTCCAACAGGAGAATCGTTAAGCCTTCGTTCGACGTTCAACCTGTCGTGCTGTGATAATATCAGGAATATTATTCTTCAACGCGATTGTTCATCGAACCTTGAATTCCAGGCCCTCCTTCCGGAATTCCTCAAATCCAGGCGTCGCCTTCGATATTTCATCAAAGTACCGCTCCATTTGCCGCGACATACTCATGTACAGACTCGTCATATCCGCAAAGCCAGGTATGCGTAAATCGAAGTGAAGAACATGATATATGTTTCGCGAAAGAACTTCTCGCAGGAGTGCAGTCTACGATCTTTTGATAAATGTGCGATCGCACTGATAAGCAGAGGAACCGACCTTCCCAACCGAACTTGCACCGAACAAGACTGTAAACGAAGGCTCACCCTCTAGGATACGTTCAATCACACGGATCTCGGTTTCCCGCGGAAGAAAGCACGGGAGGCGAGTGAACGCGTGTTTTGTACGCAACGGAGACCGCTCGTGCGAATCGCGTGTCTCGTTGATTTCGTTACGGGCTTCCTCAAGAAGGCGCTTTGACTCGCTCAGGGAGCGAAGCGTCTCCGACGGCTGTGAATAATCATAAGTCAGTCGGATTGCGCAGTGGTCGGAGACGCACATTCAGAAGAACACCAAATACTTCGCTCATACCAAACAAATTCCTCCGTCCAAGGTCAGCGCTGTATGCAGCAGAGCTCCTGCGATGGGGTAAGTTTGAGCGGAAGAGCCAGTGCATGGCGTTGGAGGAATATTGGGGGCGTGGGCGAGGAACGGGAGAAGCAGGGCTGCCCTTGGTGGTTCTGGTGCGCATAGCAGTCAAGGGGTGTGGGGACGCTGACCTTATAAGGAAGAGAAGTAGTAATAGTTGGTGTGATTAGAGAAGTGAATGAATGGCCAAAGGGCAGTGGCAGGGTAGTTATGAGTGTACTTGCAGTCAGGAAAGAAGCACAAAGGGACCATACATCTTACGCATGTTTGTGCTTGCGTGAAAGACAGGAGACTGCCCAGCTTGCGCAGCACTAAGTCCACGCATCTACATCGTTTGCATGAGCGCGGTTGATCCACGTTGTTCGCGCGAGGCAGCACATCCCAAAAATGGGTCCAGTGATATGGAAGTGTGATGGCGGGAACACTGGAGCCTAGACGCCACATGCGTCTAACTGATTTTTCAAAGCTTCAGATATGATACTGTTCTTTAAGCAAAGAACCTTGGGGCTCGTCATTACTTCGAATCCGATTGAGTCATGAGGTGAATATAGGAAAATTAACACAACAATTTGCAAGTGGGCCGGACTGATTGACATGGCACAAGGATAAAGACGAGGACAAAGAGCAATGCAATTCCAAGCCATAGTCAACGTTGTGTAGCACTATCAAAAGCGGCATTGACTGTCTACCACGCAAGCGCTGCTTACTAAGGCCCAAGGTACTATATGGTATTGCAAAGTTCACACTCAAATTCAGTGGGGATAGGTGCAACGCCAATATTAATATGCATATCATTGATTAAATCTAGTCATACATACCTGATATGAGCTCAGCACTGTCCATGTCTGATCGGAGCTTATGCATATGATTCACTGATACCTGTCAATACAAGGCTTGACATGCACTCTGTGGAAATGCAGTCTGCCAAGCTACTGTCTCACTGCATGAGAGGTGAACAAGCCCTACGAAACCATCGGAAAAGTGAATAGTGGCAGTGACCGTGTGCGAATGCTCAGCGCGTTGAGCGATGAGCGCTTGAGCGACGATCACGGACATGCTTCAAATTACATGCAAGCGAGTGGCCCATCAAAGCAGGTGCAAAGGGGAATCTATCGTCGGTAGGGTAACGCTCCTCCGAGTCGTGTTAGTGTACTTGCGCACACGACCAGCTGTCCGACAGCACTTGCCATCTGCAGCGGTCACCGATCAGAATCAAACATAATAGACGTCCTCGTTTTGCGCATGAGAAAGGTCTTCAGCAGCGACATCGAATCATATAGGATTTGGCAACAAATGCCATACACTTGGCCCTAACAACGTATTAATGGGACAAAGCAGGATAAAGAATTAGATTACCTCGCAACAGCGATTTTTAGGGCGGCGGCCTCTTCTCAAAAACTTTCTCAAACAGTTGACAGTCTGATGGAACGTCATTATTATTCCCATAAAATTGTTAGGTTGAGGTGCTGCACTCAAAGGAGCTCCCAAAACTCGCCCGAATTCTTCTAAGAGACGATAACAGGTGTCTCACTAGAAAATCACATGCCAGGATGATCAAACGAAGATGCTTTCTATGTAGGGAAAATATCATTCATGCTTACGGGTCACTGGCTACTGCCGTCCGATGAACCCAATACCTCAACCTCATCATCAGACTCAACAAGGCGTCCACGTCTCGGACGTGAGGGGCGGATAGCAAAAACGCCATCGAGCTCATCCTCGTCTTCGTCAGAGGAAACTACGATGGGTGCCGTTCGCCCCGGTCGACTGGCAAGTGATGGCTCGTCTTCCTCGGAGAGAAGATCAACATCTACCAGCGAACGGCGGTCTTCATTATCGCTGTCATCGCTAAGCTCATATATGTGTGGCAGCTGTCGTATAGGGCCTGGAGGAATTCCGGTGTCGTGCTCGTCATCGATGAAATCGCTTTCATAAACAGCTTCTTCATCTCCGTCGTCTTCGTCGTCTTCCTCATCTTCCTCTTCATCTTGCTCATCAAAGCCAACGCGCCAACGGAACACTGGCAAACCTGGGTACCAATCGGCAATTGCCAAACCATCATCTTCGTCATCTCCCTCGCCTTCTTCGAGACCTATCCAGCCTGGGTCATCTTCAGGGTCAAACTCTTCCACTCCCGGGCCAAAGTCCAAACCGAGTTCATCGTCCGACCAATCCTCCCCTCCTTCGTGGCCAGGATACCGCCTACTGCATGACGTACACACACCATCCCAAATCTCATGCATGCAGTCCAGACATCGGTATATCCCTCCATCCTCCATATCAAGCATACCGACGTCTTCTCCGCGACGGGGTTCGGCATCTGCGTCATCTGCAAGTAACCAGGGAAGGAAACCATGGACCGACTTCCGGAAGATGCCATCCCAAGGATCTGCATCCCCAGGCCGGTCAACGTTAGCTTGCGCCTCGGGATGAGGAAGCACATTGGCAAGACCGCTCTTCCCAATGAGGTGTGCTAGGTTCTTGATAGTCCATATTTCTGCGGGACGATCTCGCACGACTGCTCGGCAATGTGGGCATGTCTTTTTCCGTACAATGGCAGGTACGGCAGGTCTATTATCAGCAGGCGGAGCGTTAAACCATTGAACAAGGCAATCGTAGCAAGCCACATGACCGCACGGAGCGAGTGCATAAGGCTTGTACATCACATCGAGGCAAATCTGACATGTCAGAGCTTGGCAAATGTTGTTGAGAACACCTTGATGCGCAGCCAGAAGCTGATACGATAAAACATTTGAATTAAATATTAGCTGCTATGACGAAGTGCGCACCTCGCCCTTCTCTGCTAATTCCTTTGTCAGTTGCGAAATCCTGCCTTCAGGGACAACATCTGAGGAGTTTTGCGAGTTGACATTTGGGGACTGTTTCGTATCACTAAAATTAGCGGTTTCTGATGAATCGTTTCCTTTCTGTACGGTATCATGACGAGGGAATTGAAACAAATAATTCATTAGACATACCAGGGTAGCTGATTGTAACTTCCCTTCGAAATTCTTTTCGGCAGCGTTCTCGTGACCAAGAGGGTTTGATGGAACTCCGACTTCGACTTCGACCCTGCTGTTGCTTCCTGGTAGCTGCGTGGAGGTAAATCGAATGATTTCATTGCGAGCTGACACTGGCAACCGCTGAGGCTGTGACGAACTGTCCTGCATATGGTGACGATCTAGTTTTGCAACTACTGGCTCTTTCTTTCTCCTCTTCTTACGTTTCTTTGTGTCCCGTCTTGTGCTCGTTTCTGGTGACTGATCGACCCTGAGTCTCTTGGAGTTTGAAGGTGCTGACTGGGCAGCCTCCACGTCTGACGTGGATCGCTTGACACCCTGGGTTAAACCACTGTGTTCCGGCATAGTTAAACGCGTCAAGGGGAACTCTGTGTCTAGAACACGACAGTCCGGAAAAGACAAGATACCTGATACTCGGCGCTCACACGAAAGGATGATGCTTAGCTAAGTCTTGGTGAAGGAAATGTTGCAACTTACACGTGATCATGGGAAAAAACTCAGTCGCGATGTCGTCTGGTTAACTTGCAATAGGCTACACAGGCCTGGGGCTGCTACAAGGAGCGGATCTCATCGAATCCGCTGTGAACGGACGGCATCCCGCAGTGCTTGCAATGTCGTTCTAAATCTATGTTGTGAAGTCCTCGTGTCGACGTCAAACGTCAGTACTTTGCAAGTTCGCATGTCAAAAACACCCAGTTTTACTGAAGGGCCCGCATGTGTTCTCCTGACGTACCAGGTCTTTTCCCACCAAGGACCAGCCATGTGCACAAGGTACTTGGACACGTCGGAAGCTCGAACCTCCCGGGCCAGCGGCTACAACTCCGGCTGTAACTCCGCTTCTATGTAGAAGTTAACGTTGTCTTGAGACTATGCATATGGCCTCTATGTCCGATCAAAGTGCCTATCAATTGAGAGCGTACACCTATTATAAGGTTCAACCGAAGCTAAACGTTTGGACCGTTATTGCCATCGTAGACGGTACTGGTATCTCAGCACCGCTTTATCAGCGCAAATCCAGTATGTTTTGCGAGTCTGACATATAGACAGTCAATCATCTCATGTCCTTCAAGTTTGTGCTTTTTAAAAACTTAAATCAGGGACCTTAAACTTGACGTGTCCGCAGTATTACGTGTTCCTGACCCATATATTCTAGAGTCTAAATTTAGTTTTATATTTCAATTTCCCCAAAAAACAGGAATTGGTATCAAACGCGTATTTAAATGGTAGTTACCTTCCTCAACTATTGAAATTTCTATCTCCGACTCTCCGAGGGAGAGAGCTCGAGGGCTTGCTTCAGTCACAATTGCGGTTGATTCCCGCGAGATTTCTCGGGACCGTAAGAACTGGAATGGTTATACGAACAAGTTTCAGATCTCAATAACGTTATCGGCGCGATCCGTGCCGCTAAGACTAAATAAGATTACACTTGTTTTGGGCGTCTGATTAAGGCTAGGGTTATTAATATTACGAAATTCTCGACATTCCGAAGCAACGCCTCCTCCTCCATTTTCGCACTGACATGCCCTCGTTTGTAAGAGTCGAGGAGGACCAAAAGTTGGCTGCCATATCAAGCCATCCTCAGTATCCATTCGCACTGTTCGCTGGCTTAGACAAAGCTAGTCCGAATAACAGGCAGCGTCCACGCGCTGCCCCGACGCCTGCGCAGAGGCGTGCCCGTGACGACTCTGCTGTCGCTGTCAGATCAACGACATTGTCTATAGAACGCTTACACCGACGGCATGAGTCACATGCTGTCCTTTCTGGGCAGATCTCAGATTTACTGTCAATACCGGATCCTCATCAACATCTTCCGAAGAAATGGACCGGTAGCCTTATTCGCCAACATGAGGGTACCGATTTTATAGCTCAAAATTCCGTTCAAACGTCATGCCTGCAACCCCTTACGGATAGCAAAGAAGACGCGTGGGGCACCTACAGGCACACCTTGCAGTTCTCGTTGGCAGGTTTGTCAGGTTCAGGGGACAATAAAGCACACAAACGTCACGGATCTCTTGTATCTCGCCAACGCTTCTTGCGTAGCAGTAATCGTCTTGTTTCACCATCATCACTCGTCGATATGCAAGACTCGTTGCCTCCCCCTGCCGCGTCTTCTTCTGATACTCATATACCCATCCACAATGACCGTTCGGACCATGAAAAATGTACCCCGCTGCCGCTTGAAACAGACTCATCGTATTCCCCACCTACACGTCGCTCACTAGCATTTTGGCTCATTCTTTACTTTTGCTTCAACCTTGGACTTACCTTATACAACAAAGGTGTCCTCATCCACTTTCCTTTCCCATACACCCTCACTGCGCTGCACGCTTTCTGCGGGACCATCGGAGGGCTCATATTGCTGAAAAATGGTACATTCGTACCTGCTAAGCTCACCGACGCAGAAAACTTTGCGCTCGTGGCATTTAGTGTATTATACACTATTAACATCGCCGTCAGCAACGTATCTCTGAATCTGGTCACTGTTCCGGTGAGTGATGGCATACCTTGCACAAGCTAGCAGCTGATAATGAGTGCCACAGTTTCATCAAGTAGTCCGTGCGGCTACGCCAATTTTTATAATTCTTCTCTCGATCTTCTTATTTGGCACCCGGAGTAGTAATCACAAGATGATATCTCTGGTCCCCGTCATAGCTGGCGTTGGTTTTGCGTGAGTCATTTCTCGCCTCAGAGCTTCATCTACTTATTTCTACCTAGGACATACGGAGATTATTCGTACACAACGAACGGACTCGTTTTGACCGTACTTGGGACAGTACTTGCTGCCATTAAGACTATCTACACTTCTGTCCTACAGTCGGCCCCATCGTCGACCTCTCCGCAGCCACGCGTGAATTTTGTCGTTCCCCCGCGGTTAAAATTGCATCCGCTAGACCTATTGACCCGGATGGCGCCGCTTGCATTCATTCAGTGTGTTTTCCTCGCATACCTGACGGGGGAATTATCCCGCGTGCATACGTGGAGTTTAGACGAGATGACACCCGTCAAAGCGTCGCTCCTTGGGATCAATGGCCTGATTGCATTTGGTCTCAATATTGTGAGTTTCACGGCGAATAGGGCAGCAGGCCCTCTGAGTATGACTGTCGCTGGTAAGTGACCATTGTTGTACATACACCGGCACATCTGCTGACGAGCTTACAGCCAACGTCAAACAAGTCCTCTCTGTATTTTGTGCGGTCATTCTATTCAAGCTTACAATAACGCCGGCAAACGCGCTTGGCATCCTTCTCACGATCGCCGGTGGAATGTGGTACGCAGCCGTTGAATATCAAGAAAAGAGAGGTAGATGGAGGAAGTAGATCATGACTGAGGTGATTTTTGTGCTAGAGGTGTTCATTCTTAGTGACTGCATTTTACCGTAGCCCCTTCGCTCTTCGAAATCATTAGCCATGCACATTGCATGCGCACATCCCTCTTTTGGCACTCATACCATATCTGTAATATAGATACACATCACCTCTGGTGCACAGCAGCGCACATGCCAATTAAACGGGCCACGCTAGTTCAGCTGACTTCGTCTTTTGCTGGACGTGTGGTTATGTCCGCACTCATCGAACGTCACCGTTCGACATAATCTTTACTAATGTTGACATAACCGTTGAGCTGTTCACACAACTCGACTTCCTGCGTCGGCGTTAACAGAAGGGACAAGGCTAGAAAAACACCGCACCTGCACCAGAACCTCATATCCGTGATTCATTACCCAATGCCGCATAAAATCGTCATTTTTAATACACAGCTGCAATTATATTGCGATGGAAACTATACAGCTTCGTAAGTCTTATATGTTGGTCTTCTGCACCATTCCTTTTGCAATCCTTCCAGAATTCAAACTCGCTCCGCTGGAGCTAATGCAAACATTCTCTAAAGAACATATCTGACGTCACACAACGTCACAACTGGAGTTGCCGCTCCATTGCCGCTAGCGTTTCGACATCGAGAAGCATATACAACTGCTGTGCCCATCAATAGCACTAGAAGCACTTGCAAATTTATCGTGTAACTTTCACAAAGTCGATTACTTAGCAGATTGCTGTAATTCTAGCACGTGAGGCTTCCGGCGGGTACCCATCAGGTAATAATGAAAATTTGAATCCGATTATCTTATCTTATCTTGATAGATGTCAACTAATAATGTGAAGAGCCATCAGAGGATTATTTTTGGCATGTTGTCTTGTAATAATAGTATTTGATGGTAGCGGCGGCCGTGTCGCCGATCCCTGACACCGCTGGAACTTTTTGTTTACCGCGCTATCCAACCAGTGTCTTCTGTGTATCATATCTCAATACCGTCCCGCCAACCATCAGAGTGGTCTAGGCCTGATCGCTAAGGGAAGCTCCTATTATTTTTGGCGTGTTGTCCAGACAGGTAACAGTCCTGCATTTAATGGTAGCAAAAACGATAACCTGCATTCTCCAAATGACAACGAGAGTGAGACAGACATGTCATGCAGTACGATCTTGACAGCGAACTCGTCAAATGAAATACAACTCATTAGTATATAATAGATTGCCACAGGGGAACAAGAAAATAATTTCACGCGCATACAAAAATACAGTGTACCTGGACATTTTTATCTGACAGAACCTTCGTGGAGTCGGGGTTGTACTTGAGCAATCGTAGCGACTTAGATGGACGAAAAGAATGCATCAGATCACCTCATTTAAGTATATGATTCTATGAAAACTGATCAAATGCTATCAATGCCCCATGAGCGTGCCATACTTAAGGTGCTGCAGGACGTGCTTCTAATGGCTGGTTTTGTGGCGCAAGTTCCAAATGTGCGAGCGCCGTATCTGTCGGAAATGGCCGATACCATGAGGCATACGGATCTTCAAATCGATGCACTATACTCATACGATCCATTACGACAGGAAGCTTGTGTGCGGTCATGTCCACTGCGGATATGTATCCTTGGTTCGAATGTAGTCAGTGGGGTGCTTCGGTTTATGGTGATAACAAGACAATAAGCTTGAAAGAGCATAGTGCAGTACATATCGATATATTGAAGTTTTAAAACCGGACCAACGTGAGTGCTATTTAGTATTCTAACTTGAATCAGCTGCCTGTACATTTCCTAATGGCCATTAATATTAGTGCTAAAATCAGTCGCCGATGCCGCCGTATCATAGATTATGATACTCACACTGACATATGTTGGAATGGCCACGAAAGCGTCATGAGTACCCCTTATTGTTCTTGCGTCTGTATTCTGATTGCACGGCATAACATTGTTCACTTTCGAAATAGACTCGGCGTTGAATGAAGTCCATCTAAGGTCAGTGAAACACTCGCACGGTGCGAGGACAAGCAATGTGGTGTTGATAACAGGTTGGCAGCTGCGGACAATATTGTCAACCACGGTGAACGTTGACCGATGACAGATGGTGTTTGTACCTTTATCGTGACTGAAACAGAAAATGTCACGCCCTGAATGTACGGATATAATAATGACCTCTTACCCTCTCTTATCAACTCAGGAGTCAATGATACTGGAGGAATTCAAAACTATATCTCCAGCGAGTCTGACGTTCCCAGGGTCCAGTACCGAATATCTGGTACGATACCCCATTCCAGCGTTGAATCGTGCAATTACCGCTCAGTGTGATTTCCCGACGGTATCAAAGGGACAACATACAGTCCATATGTCGCCTTAGATACGGCAAGGCTGCGGAGAAAGTAACGCTTCTCCCGTCGACTCCGAGAAGCACTCAAATCATCTGCACGAGCATGCGTTGCATGCTCATAGAGAGCTTCCGTTGTAGGGAGAAGCCATATTCGGCGGAGGTTAACGAGAGACGGGAGTCGCGGTACCTGTAAGATAGAAACAAGCCTTTAATAAAACTGTGACGCACCTGTGGTCATCGGCGGCCCATAGTGGCACATAAGCCGGTGGTCAAGCCATCGAAATATACAATTGAAATGAATGAAATTCTATATCAAAGGGTCGCTGTGCCTAAAGTTTGGGTTGTCTAAGTCCGCCAAGAGTCTGGTTTTGGATGATAGCCAGCAAAGCATACAAGGTTTCAATACGCTACAGGGAAGATATCAGCTATGATAGTAGCGATGGCGAACACTGCTTACTGGTACATCTACCCCCATATCCTTGGCCATTCTGACCACCTCCCCAAGAATCACCTCCACCTCGATAGGCAGCCCATTCTGGGCATCAAGGAGCATACTCGGGAGGGCTGTATGGGCAGGATTTCTGTGTAGCTCTGCAGTACGTGATATAGTATTATCAATGAGGGAAGAAGGCAGACCCTCTTCGTTATCCGGGTAGCCCAATGCACGCCCTAAGAAACAGGTAAGACATGTGGAGAGATCATACAGTTCGAAATTACCAAGGGTAATCATCTCTTGTAAAATCGCATGTAGAACAGGAATGATATCAGGTGCTGTCTGAGGTGCAACGTAAGGACTATACGATTGGCCCTCTTTAGGTGGAGGTCGGAACATTGCTGTAGGAGGGGACCCGGTGAGGGTCGAGAAGGAAGAGAATGCAATATTCCAAAACGTCTTGGCGAATTTCTTGCGCTGGATCTCTGTTGCAATGGTCACTTCTGAACCTCCTGTTTTGAACATGGTTCCAAGGTCTGTCAAAATAGCATCTTCTTCAGGAGAATTAGTAGTTGTCAGGTGGTCTCCATGTCTGTACATTCCAATGGTAATATGATCCTGTGTCCGCACGAAATCTATGTCAGAAATCCGGAAGGGCTACTCGACGTATGAACGATCTTTGCTCACGAAGTCGGTGTGTTCGACCACATTCTTCTCCACCAAATTCGTTCCAATCCATACAACAGTGCTGATGATTTTTGGTTCACCTTGATCAAGGGCCTTGACACTGTGATACAAGTCTCGCTCCACTCCGAGTCCGTTTTGGAGTAAGACATAAGTAGGCTGAGGGTGCCTTTCACTATACGGACTAGAAAGCAGTGGTTCTAGGACCCGAGATGTCTTTATCACCTCTGGAATCGCCTTGGTTGTCAGGATCACATAGGAATACGGCCTATCAGCAGCCTCTACCACCGACGATACCACTATAATCCCAAGATGCACAGTGATGGTCACCGCAGGGAATATATTGGTCTTGCTTACGACGGTAAGGTTTCCAGCTCTCGTGAGTGCCATACTTTTTGCTCCTGATGTTTATGCCCTTGGCTAGAGTCGGATTAGCTCTGAAGTCAAATCTCGATGAGACGATGTAGTGATTCACCATTGACAATGTCATAGTTACTTCGGGCAACAGTAGTGACTCGCGCAAGCTTACTGCTTTGAAGGATGTAGGCGTCTGGTACGAGTGAGATGAGCCTGAGTGTCAGTACTGTTATTGTATACGAAATATCCAACTCAATGGTTGGGAGGAATAAGGATTAAGCTTCAAGTTGCTCGTTACTTACAGATTGTTCCAACTGCTCCCAGGCCAACAAGCAGGACGTCTTTTGTACTCATCTCACAAGAATGACGGATCCCACTACGATCTGCAGTTCCAGGATTCTCCGAGCCATGATGGGTCGTGACGCGTGACGGCTTGCTCACATGATGCTCACACACGGCCAGACCAGACTGTCTCTTCCCAGTTCTTCTACTATGATCCGACAAAGTCTTTGGTCCCCTTGAGAAACCAGATAAATTACAATTATGGTCCAACTATGTGAGTTGTTAGTACTAGGTTGTTGTCACTTAATACTTATTACTGTTTATTGTCTGCTTTGGGGTAAGGTCCAATATACTATATAGACAATACACACAATATACTACGGCAGTCCGTTTAATATCGTAAATGACAAGAGTATAATCAAAAGCCGTTTATTATTGCTACACTTCACGGTAGAATGACTGCATACTCCCAGTCTTCCGAGTAGCAAATGGTGATATGGGAGTCATAGGGTAGGTACAGGTATCCTCGGTGATATCGATCTGGACTGGTGCAAAGGTCACTGTAGGACTTGACGATTTGTCGAAATGTGTGCCTATGTTAGTCAGGCCAAGGCCAAGACGGGTGATAATAAGAAGAGGCGTCGTGGTCTAGGACAATGTGAGACGAGAAAAAGATAAGCATAAGGAGCCTACAGCAATTTGAACAGTAACATTGAACGCCATGAAACCAGATGGGCTGCCAGTCATATCCAGAACGAACATTATAAAAGTGCAGCTGGCTATAAGTGCACCAGATTCGATGACGGTAAACATGGCATCCTTGTAGGCATTGCGGCCAGTCAAATCAGATACTTCTCGTCCCGCAAGCCAAAGACGATACGCGATTCCGAATGTGACACAGCTGTTGAGAAAAAGACCCAGCGACCAACTGGCTTTGCCAAAAGCTTGGACATTATGTGAGAAGAGGTGCTCGTTAGGCTGGGCTATCAAAAATACGGCTATAATAGCACAAGCTATGCAGAGAAGATAGATAATCTTAACACTTGGTCTAAGAGCGAAGCAAAATTAGTGAGCTTACTGATATGTGCAACTTCCAAAATCAACTAGCAATAGAAACACTCATAAGATAGATGTGACAGATAGGATGGAAAGATATCTTACCGAGGGAATGACAAACTTCCAATTGTGGTTCCAAACAACGTAAAGCCTCCAGATCTGTGATTATGCGTGTTACTTCAATAACCCCACAAGCCGAATTTTACTCACTAGCAGCAGATCTTGAGCGAGTACCTGAAAGAAGGAACGATGAAGAGCGATTAAGGCCAGAAAGATGATACGCACATTGGAGACAAACAATGCCAAGTTCGTCAACATAAATGTTGTTGGCGCGACGAAGTACGAGCTGCTTCCATTAGAGATGGATGTTATGGAAGGGGTTGTGAGCCCCTGCAAGGATAGAAGAAGGGAGATGATGTTGTGTGCCGTTGAGACTAAAATGTGGAAAATACACGATGCAAAAAGGACCCTGGTCAAGAACTAAGCACCGGTGAGTGATTGGCGGCTGTCTCGAATCACGAACCTATGCGACTTTCTGTCCCGATTCGCCAAGATATATATACATGCACCAAAAAGCACGCAGCTATCAATGGAAATGAACATAAAACCTTCCCCGAATATTTGAACCTACTTGATTCCTACGAGTGAGAATTTAGAATCCAATGTCAACGCTCGTTACACAGAGGAATGCATACCGTAAACCATACTTTCAAACCATACCGAGGTTATAAACATGCGGTCGGGGGAAGCCATTTTTGTCTGTCATAGTCAGAAGGAATGCCCAATGAACGGAACTCAGCGTCTTATAACTTGTCGGTGTGCCTTGGCAGCCTTGTTGTGTCTTGAACCAACCTCCCACTGTTCTCCCACTGTTTCAGGGATATCAACACACTACCGTCAATTGACAAAACAATGGGAAAGTTAATATGCATGGACCTTTGTAAAAACCTTTCTGTTTGTTTTAATTTCTTGTGGTGTTTCAGGGGAGAGTTGTCTTTGTTGTTGAGGTTGCAATGTTAGACTCGGAAGCTTGGTATGACCGTGTCGCCATGATCGAGAGGTTTCTGGACATGTACAGCGAAGAACTCGGCGGGAGAAGGCCGTAGATATTCACTGTACTGTTCTGCCGTCTGCGTGCACATTCAAATTGTGTAAAGCCTGGACCGTCGTCGATGCCGTCATCAATGTTCAAGTACTCGAAGTTCTTTAACTTACATAGCATTGCCTAAAGTAATTAATTAAGTGTAAGCTCACGTGATCTGAGGTGGTACAAAACCCTCCTTTTTGGCGCTGATCCCTATACTGAACCTCCACGTTGTAACATTAAGTACACGCAGACGAACTCTACACATTTTGTACATCGCAGTAAACGTACCCTAAACATGGCTTACAGAGGCGATCGAGGACGGGGTGGCTTCGACAGAGGGAGGGGGGGACGAGGAAGCCCTATTCCCAGTGACCGGGGACGGAACTCACCCTCGGGCTTTCGTGGTGCTGACCGTGGTGGCAGGGGTGGGTTTGATAGAGGGAGGGGTGGACGAGGAAGCCCCGTTCCCAGTGACCGGGGACGGAACTCACCCTCTGGCTTTCGTGGTGCTGATCGTGGTGGCAGGGGTGGGTTTGATAGAGGGAGGGGTGGACAAGGAAGCCCCGTTCCCAGTGACCGGGGACGGAACTCACCCTCTGGCTTTCGTGGTGCTGACCGTGGTGGTCGAGGGTTTGACAGAGGCCGGGGAAGGGGTTTTGGTGCTCCAAGAGAACAGGGCGGGTTAGTGCTACGTTTGGAAGAGTGCCACGCTCAAATTTCGTTTACTAAAACTCCTCCATGCAGTGTATTTCTCGAGAACCAACCAGCTACCGTCGACGCTCGAGTAGCTGACGACTCCGACAAGGCGCTCGTCGCTCGTTTGCGAAACACTCAACTCGGGAATGACCCCGATAGTATGCCCTTGCGCCCAGACTTTGGCACTGTTGGGGTTCCAATCAAACTTCGCACCAATTTCTTTCCTGTGCGCGTTCCCAAGGGACCGCTCTATGAATATGACGTCGCAATCACACCTGCGGCTGGAACAGCTAATCGTCGCGTCAAGCGTCGCATATTCCAGCTCGCGGAGCAGACTACTGCGTGGCAGCACTCTGGGATGCGTGGTACCGTCGCACACGATAGCAGTGCAAAGCTTATATCGGCTCGTGTTCTAGCACAGCCTCTTACGATCAAAGTGCCATATTACGACGATGACCAAACTGGGCCTCCGGAAAAGGGTGGAAAAGAATACACACTCACAATCAAGTTTATTCAGGAAATCAACACACAGGATCTCATGAGGTGAAGTAGGTCATGTATTTCAAAAATCTCTCTTACGTATATCTTGCAGTTACTTGAATGGGGATAACCAGTATCGAAACTACAACACCCTTCCTGTTATCTCCGCGTTGAATCTCATTCTTGCCGCGCATCCATTGCGCAGCGGCATCAAAGTCGGTCAAGACCGCTACTTCTTCCGCTCCGCTGCTGTTCCAGCAAATCTCGGCGGCGGTTTAGAAGCATGGAAGGGCTTCTACTCTTCAGTACGCCCAGCTCATCGTCAGCTCATGGTGAACGTCAATGTCTGCACCACAGCATTCTATTCCCCTGGAAATCTTGCGGTGCAGATGATGACTTTCAACGACTCCAGTTTCGGCGCACGAATGGAGGCGTTCTGTAGGGGCGTCAGGGTCAAAACTACCCATCTTGGCTATCGAAAGACCGTCAAGTGTCTTGCACGCCAGAACGCACGCCAGTACATCTTCCCGTGCGACGAACTTGGAGGACGCGTCTCAGTAGAGCAGTACTTCTTGCGCAGTGAGTATCATGCTCTCTCCTTCAAATGCTGACGTTGTATTGTTCATAGAATATAAGACTAAACTGAAGTACCCTGACCTACCTCTTGTTGATGTCGGGGGGCAGAAGAAGAACTACCTGCCAGCCGAAGTCTGCGAAATCCTTCCTGATCAGCCATTCCGCGGCAAGCTTACGGATGAGCATACTGCAAATATGATAACAGTCGCGTGCCAACCACCCAATGTCAATGGAAACGCTATCGTGAACAACGGTCTCAAAGAACTTGGGTTTGTAAACCCAGGACCCACACTCGGCTCGTTTGGCGTATCCATCGGGCCTAACATGGCAGTTGTTCCCGGCCGGATCCTCCCGAGACCTGGACTCAAGTATGCTAACAACGTGTCGCCCGCAGTCGATGACAGAGCTTCGTGGAATTTGCGGAACATTCGTTTTGCTACGGGCGCGCGTTTGGAGAAGTGGGCTGTCCTGCTCATTGGTGATCGTGGTAGAGACGAGTTTCAGGGGCCTCAAGATCCTGCCCTCCACACCGTTATCAGCGGGTTCATGGCCATGTGCAAGAATAGCGGGATTTTTGTGTCAAATGAGTTACCCTCGGTTGTGGCCGCAAACCTCCCGTCACCAGATAGAAACGATGATCCGCTTAGGAAGAGGGCTATCACAACTATACGCGAGAGTCTGACGAAATTACGTCCAAAGCCTTCCTTGGTGCTCGTGATGTTATCGAATGGCGACAAGAACATTTACGAAGGACTGAAACACTTATGCGACGTCTACCTCGATGTCGCCACTGTGTGTGTACACGTGGGCAAGATTAAGAAGGAGAAGGGGCAACCGCAGTATTTCGCAAACGTGGCCTTGAAGGTGAACATGAAAATGGGAGGCGTTAACCATAAACTCGATGAAAACACGGGTCGGTGGCTCTCCAGCGAGCCAACGATGGTAGTTGGAATGGATGTGACCCACCCTGGTCCTGGAAGCGCAAGAGGAACACGTGAGTGCTATCTTTGCATTGTTCGAATGAGTACTCATGCCTTCAACAAAGCCTCGATTGCCGCAGTAGTTGCAAGCGTGGACAATCATTTTGCCCAATACCCTGCAAGTCTCGAAATCCAGGAGTCGCGGAAAGAGGTATGAACTTCAAGGCAATTTCCTTTTTTTGGCCAATAACGACCTACCTAGATGATTACCAATCTCAAGGAGATGATGGTAGCAAGGCTTCAACTTTTCCGGCAACGTAGCAAGGTGTTACCTAAACGTGTACTGGTTTATCGCGATGGCGTTTCTGAGGTGCGATTTCTCCGCTGCGAAGCTGGGTGCATGTTGCTCATGCTAAATCCAGGGGCAATTCAATATCGTCCGGATGGAAGAGCTTCCGGAGATAGTAAAAGCCTTCCATACCTTCGATCAGCCAAAGAAGCCTTATCGCCCCCAGCTGACTATTGTGATTTGTGGCAAAAGGCATCATACCAGATTCTATCCCACCGAACGGAAGGATGCTGCAAATGACGGCAATCCAAAGCCTGGAACAGTAGTTGATCGTGGGGTCACGGCAGTATATGACTTCGACTTCTTCCTCCAAGGTGAATTTTGTTCCTTGAAGCAGCATTTATTCAGTTACATACACACTTTTTGCAGCCCATGGCGGTTTGCAGGGTACAACGAAGCCGACCCACTACTACGTCGTTCATGATGAAATTGGCTTCGGTTCGGACAGTCTTCAGGGCCTCACGAATGCCCTGAGCTACATGTTCGCGCGCGCTACTAAGGCCGTAAGCCTTGTATCTCCCGCATATTATGCTGATGTGGCGTGCGAGCGTGGGCGATGCTATTTGAGGAAGCTCCTCCAGGGCCAAATTGGAGATGGTACAACGGCCAGCGGTAGCGCCAGCACCAACGAGCAAGATGTTATGCGGGAAGCACAAGCACTCTGGCGTAGCGGTGTCTCTAAGAGCTTGAAGGACACCATGTTTTACTTGTGATCATGCGCATCTACTTTCCTTTTGACTACTGACGAATTGCTTGGTTTCCTGGATGACTTCCAGTTATGTTTCTTGTTTGGGTATGTAGATTGATGAATCTCCTGTAATATACGAACTGTATCTCGTCGAAGCTATGTATCGTCTTGCACAACCTTATGAGATGTTCAGAGCAAAAATTCAAGTACTTCTGAGCACCGCCAACGTGGATGGGCGCTATTCAGACGATGCACCACTTCGAGTTCCATTCGAACTTCTAAATTTAGAGTGCGCTATCGTACCATCGTACATTTGATCATTGAAGCTGTGGTCGTTTTTTAAAAGCCGGAATTTTTCGGGGCTACTTACCGAGGAAATCGTGACGAGAAGGCAACGTGTGCGCACAGTGCGCATGTTCGATTCCATGATAATCGACGAAGGTGTTACGAAAGTACGGGGCTTGCTTGCTTTACATGATGCGCGTCTAGCCACCTCTTCGGTCGGATCATGCGTAATAAGGTACTTACCCTCTTCGTAGCCCCTAGATCTACATTCTGCTTGGTTGCGACGGTTAAGCCACGGACTTACCTGGCGGCGAGCTGCACTTTGTTTCATGAACCCTGCTTCAATAGCCAACATTGGACGGAAGAGCGTTCCAGGAACGGATGTGAGAGGCGTGAGTCAAAATGTCCATCTTTGCTCCAAATAACATCGCCTAGATCAATATCATGAGGTCATCCTGACATATTATCCTCGACCTTAATTTTTCCCGTCGTGGACCCATGTCTGTGTCATACAGGAAGGTGACCGGTTCTAGAGTGGCTCCATGGTGGCACTGACACTGCCCCAGTAGGACGATGGGCCACCTTGGTTGGTGGGTGGCAACCCTCAACAAGCCAACGCCACCTCCCTTGGCATATAAAAGGGCCTTGAAACTTCAAGTGAAATCAGCAAACTCAACGCAAACAAACCACTCACCGCCCTTCATCTTTGACTATTACGCATCCATGTGTGCACTTGATACAACCGTGTCAATGACCGATGCTCGCCACCAGAGCACCGTAAGAATTCTGATTTGCCGTCCTGTAGTGTGCGATGTTGACGCATCATTGCAGGTTGCTCCTGTCACAGCGAAGAGAAACATGAAGTGTTCTACCTGTGGTTCCCATGATCCTCCGGCAGTACATGTCTGCCCAGGTCCAACCGGTTCAGCTGGGAAATAAACGGACAGAGCCCATGTCGAGAGATGGTGGAAGAGACTGCTGAGGAATGGATACTTGTACCCATGCGTTGATCTGTATGCGTCCCCTTGGCACAAAGCACATCCCACAAGCATCCATACTTCCTGTAATTCATATGTACACATTGTGTTAGCAAGAGGAGATTTGGAGTGAAATCCAGAAACAAGTTCACCAGTGTCAATCAGATATCCTGCTCTTTACTCCCTTGTACTCCATGTTCAGCAATTCGACAACTTTACCGCTACGTGGAGTGATCATGCAATCGAAGCTGACCGGATGGGAATTGAATCCGTTGGTATAATTCCAGGTGTCTGGTAAATTTTTCGCTTCGATGACGTCAATAGAAGGGGTGACATCAAACGCCCAGAGGATACAGGAAACATTGATAAAGAGGGAATTGATATTGGTTCATGCCGGGACGGGTGCTGATATAGATCGATGCAAACGCACAAATTCTTCTTCCCCACGTAGGTGAAAGGCTTGAAGTCGCGGGTCAATAGTCGCTTGGGGCAGAAATTCTCTGGGTCAGGGAATATAGTGGCATTGTGCACGATACCCCTGATGACGTATCTTCCGTGAGCATCAATGGCGTCTCTGAAAGGAAATTAAACCTACGCCAAGTTAGCAAAAACCGTCGAGTTCTTAGGTATAAACCTGGAGAAAGGTTAGCGGTTCTCATTCATGTATCGAATAGAACATAGCGCACATGCCCTGATATCCATCCTCCTGTGTGAGAGCATATGTTGTTCCCCCTAGCACAGCGACCGGCCGCCATCGCAGGGTGGAATACGATCAGGCCCGACGACATTATGTAGCACGGCCTGTGCCTTCTTTATGACACGTGGAAAGTGGAGCATTGCAACTATCGCGGACAACATAAAAGTCAGCATAGCGGCTTTATCGGGACCCCTAGGTACCATACATTGTCCAACAGACACACACCACTGAAATACCACGACTCACGCAACTACGAATCGTGGGCTACTGGAGTAAATATCTGATATCGTTTCTAATGGATCCCAGATAACTTGAACTGTACCTAAGACTGAAGGACTGGAAGCCTAGCATATCTATGCCAGAACCGGGGAATAATCACCTATGACAGGCGTGCGTCTGAGGAATATAGACATCACTGGACCTTGAAGATCACATGCATCAGTATCAGAGGACTCAAATTTGGGGAAGGGTCAGCGTACTGTATTGCTCATTCCACTTTGCAAACATTCTCCATGGTTTAACAGTAGGCATCTGATGTCTATTGCAGATCCAAGGTAGACCAAGCGGTCCAAGGGGCATTGTGCGCCTTCTGATGGACCACATTATCATCGAACAGCACCAAAGGTACCAATGACTAGTGATGCACCCAAAGGGTGACACCAAGGGATTGAAGAAATCGCTGCCAGGGCCAAACTTCATACAATTGTTGTACGAGTACTATATTCGATGGCAAACACGTTGCAGGCAGCTGTGAATGGTGAGATCTTGAGAAACTACACCAAGGAAGTACTCACTACTGCCACTAAACCTCATCCTAAATGATTAACTCGGGACTCATACCTCAGATCCAACCAAACCTTCGCTGCTCCGACTCCGAACTTGTGAAGAGTCCGAGAACTTTGTCATACAGTAACTTTGCCGTACAGTCGCCCGTAAGGAGGTGCTGGGTTTCGAGTCCGAGGTGCTGGACCCTGGACAAACTCATTCATCAGGTCTCAGTGGGTGACGCGTTGAAGGTACTAGTAAGTAGTGGTGGTGGAAGTGCGGATGACAATTGCGCACTGATTATACTCAGAGTGACCTGCCATCTGAGAAAAGGATTTGGTCATGTGCACACACACACCATAAGCACTGCCAAAATAACGAGCCCCAGGATCATAGCGGAGGGCCGTTCGCAACTTCGTATCGTATTGGCTTGTGTAATACGGTGCGCTTTGCCGTTCGGCAATGACTCGGCCAAGATGAAGTTCGACTACCGATCAATCAAGCGCCCATCCCATCAACCCGTGAGTGCTTTCTTGTCTGCAAGCCACTTTATCTTTCTACCCTCGCCATGTATGACGTAGTTTGGCGACCAGAAGATGATCCAAAGATCAGACCACCATTTCGGGAGGGCCAGGTATACAGGCCAGACATACTGAACATAATCGAAACGACCCTTGATGGACTGAGCAGGGAGCTGAGGGCTTTAAGTCTCGATATCCATGGTAATCACCTCTTAGAGCGGTGTTTCTGTCTTCTCTCAACGTATTTTGTATTCACGCATTTTTAAAAGACCATCCAGAGCTGAAGTTCGAAGAAAAGTGTGTTGGATCTTATCGTACGCCATAGCCACGGGCAATCACTCAGAGCATCTTCACAGATATGCCCACGACGCATACACTGCGTTCATGGAAAAACATGATTTCGTAGTGACCAAGAACTATCTTCTCGAGACTGCCTGGGTGGCTACCTACACCCATGGGCAAGGAGGGCGCGTTTTGGGAGTCAACTCTGAGATGGATGCACTCCCTGGGATCGGACACGCTTGCGGACACAATCTTATTGGGATATCCGGAGTGGCGGTAGCTCTTGCAGCCAAGGCCGCTATGGAGAGGCTGAACATCGATGGAAAGGTAGTTCTGCTCGGCACGCCTGGTGCGTCGGTGTCTGGAAACATCTGCAATGGTGGGCTTCATGATAACACTCGAGGCAGCCGAGGAGGGTGGTTTTGGTAAGGATATGTTGTATGAAAAGGGTGCTTATGATGAGATGGATGTATGCCTGATGTCAGTTCTTCTCCTGGTGTCCAGATCAGATGATCAGGATTACTAAACCTGCTTTAAAGGTGCCATCCCGCGCCTGGCCCGCGCCACTCCATTAGTTTGTCTGGCAGCTTGGCGATCTCTCGCATCACGGTGGAGTATCAGGGTCATACGTCAGTGTCTTTCATATTCTTTATCAACTTGTAATATTTAATTATTCGCGTTTACAGTGCTCACGCTGGGTTAAGCCCCTGGGAAGGACAAAATGCACTTGATGCGGCTGTCCTTGCATATAACAATGTTTCTCTTCTTCGTCAGCAGATTAAGCCTACTCACCGCGTGCATGGCATATTCGAAGGAAAGGATTGGGCTCCAAACAGTGAGATTTTCACTCTATAAAAACGCTTTAAAATAATTCTTGAAAAATCAGTCATCCCGGACCACGCTATAATGCAGTAAGTCGATCTCAGTAATTCTCCACTTCGGGCGCTTAATACACAAATACAGGTGGCTAGTCCGTGCTCCCACAACATCAGAGATGGAAGATACTAGGAAGCGTGTCATTTCCTGCTTCGAGTCAGTCTTTCAATATCGACATGTTTGTTTGATCAAGCGGTATTATCTCTATTCGTCACAGGGCAGCTGCACTGGCATCTGGATGCAAAGTTCAAGTTACGATCGGATCAGTAGGAAACGAAATCAGGCAAAACAAAGCACTTGGTATGAAATCGCGTCGTGCAGTAGCTTGGTACTGAATATCATACCAGGCGATGAGCTTGCCGATGTCGTTCTGAAGCGCTATGGTACTATCGATTATGACTGGGGTATCAAGAGTGCTTCTACTGATTTTGTGAGTATTTCGCACATCCAGAAAGTGCGACAGAGCTGATGTTTTGAACCAAAAAGGGAAACATCACATACTGTGCGTCTAACCTCCACGACCGAGGGGAGGCGACCTTTGCTGATGAAGTTCTTGTTCGTCAGTGATGCCTGGTCTTCACCCTGGTTTTTGTGAGTAGCACAGGTTCTTCATGAATCATGCTAATCGTTTTTTTCAAGCCATCCCGACCATTCTAGATGGCGGGAACCATACCCCAGGATTTACGGAAGCGGCACGTTCCGAAGTATCCCATGACGCCTGTTTGGTGGTATCGAAGGCACTCGCAGCTGTAGGCGTGCGAGTGCTGAGTGACGAGGCGTTCCTCCAGAAAGTAGGTGTCACGCGTCCTTTAAGTGACTCTGTTTCGACCGCGTTTTGCAGGTTAAGGACACGTTTGAGGAAGATAAGAAACTAAGAGTGTAATTACTACCCTCTCATGCGCGCATTGTAGGATCAGAAGGAAGAATTTGTATGTCAAACATAGCTGCATTGAGTCCGTTATCTTCCATTCTTCTGCTAACCTCCTCGTCTCGAACCGGACGTGCCGGGACTGACATTGAGATAATCTTGAAAGCGAAGTAACCACGATGGGAAGCGCAAGCGGTATTACTCTTGAATAGCAGACTTGAATTGATGGTCGCAATAATGAACGCAGCGAAGTTATGCGGAGGCAATAGGTATCAAGAAAAAGAATAATCGGATACCTGTCGACCTTGCAGATTTAACAGGCCAGGACCATATCTTTAATCGACAGCATGTGATGGAGCTATAGTACAGTACACAGTGGGTGCAGAGAGTGAAAGTGCAAATTACAAATTACAAACGATACAGTGTCATACGTGAGTAAACCTGGTCAGCTGCAGAAAAGTGACATGAGGAACGTGCGCCAAAAGAATGGATTATGCAGCAGAGAATGCGAGCTAGAATTACGAACACGGAGTCTGTTCGCATCAAGTCGAGCCGGAGGGTACTATCAAGGAGCACGAGGGAGAAGGAGAGCTGTTTTCTGGTTTTACTTGATCGTTGGCCTCATGTGCAATGAGGACACCAGACCCATCCGAATCGTCGTTGTCTTCAGGTTTCACGCTGACAGAAGTGAAGTGTTGTCTTGTTTCCTCGGCCCATCCTGCGATTCCAAAGCGGCCCTGTGTTTGGAGGTGTTGGCCGAGACGGAAGGTAAGGTATGCCATCGCGCAGAATGTGGTGCAGGCGAAAGAGAAGAATAGTAGTCCTCCTAGTACCAAGAGGAGAACTGTGGCTGTGGGAAGGTCAGCGACTCATCGTAACTTGGGAATGATGTGTGTACCGAACATGATTTCCAATGCGACGACAACCGCGAATCCGAACGTAAGAGCAACACACACGGAGCTGCAAAGTGCGAAGACGGATAGGCCTCTGAAATCTCATTAAAGGCTGTCATGTCGCGAACAAGCAGTCAACGCACATGAACGACAATACCGGTATGATACTCATAACAGCGAAGAGGGTCAGAGTCGTCGTGATCCATGTCTGATAAAAAGATTACAGTCCACTCATAAAATCTCCCGAATGTATGACGCACTGTTGTCAACGGCTGACCCTGAAGATATCTGGAAATTTTGTCTAATGCCGGACGCGCATACTTGCTCTCGAAACTGCCCAGAACTTTTTTAGTGAAAGTTGGAAATAGCAGTGAAACGCGACCTCACGTATCAGCGTACGCTAGGACGAGAAGAGTGCTTCCTTCGAGGTAAGAAGCAAGTTCATCCAAGCCCACAGTTAACGGGTTTGCTGATGTAGTAGGATTGTCGTTCATGTCCCGATATCCGTTACTAAGCCCTGATGCTATCGAAATGAACCAAGGGCGAAGGCGTCAGATGAAGTGAGCAGTGACTACTGAGTTCCAAGTTTGGTATAGGCTACATACGACTTTAGCGAACCACGTGACTGATTGCACCTGATCCTAATGATGGCAGTACTATGTATGTCTGACTTAACTAACTAACTTACTACTTGATCGATCATCGCTGGTATCTACTCTCCCCACCATGAGCGGGCGAAAACTCAACCCTGAAGAGCAAAAGCTCCACCAAGCTGCGCTTTCCAGCACAGACAAGGCGAGCTCAACTCTCCCCATCACCCATAAGTACCACACTGATCGTACTCTCAATCATGCATCAGGTCTTAACGTCAAAACAAGCTGAAAAGATAATCCCTGATATGTCCGCACGTACCGCAGCCATCAATTTTCTTCTGGGAGCCGTGAGTACCTCTACGTGATACGTCTTTCTATGGTCCTGACATGCAAACCCGAAGGGCATGCTCAAAGTCCTGTCCAACGCAGCAGGTATAATCTCCTTCCGAGCCGTAATGAGAAAGGAGATAGAAGTGTATGCATCACATCTTCATTGTGTCTTTCATTGGAATCCCCTGATATCCAGAACACAGGAAAAAAGATATGAGCGGTGAAGAAGCCATGGTGCTGGGTCATATCCAAGCCTCCGCGAACGAAGGTGAGCTCTACGCATCAACACCGAACAGCAAGACTTATCTGATTTTGTGTAACGCACAGGAATCTGGACCAAACACTTAAAGGCCAAAACCGAACTGCATCAAACCGTTATCGACAGGTGCCTCAAATCGCTCGTTCAGAAGCAGCTCGTGAAAGCTATCAAAGCCGTCAAGGTATGTTTCACCCTTCAAATTTCTGGGCACTCTTTTTCATATACGCCTGCGCTAGCACCCAACGCGCAAGATCTACATGCTCGCGCACCTAGAACCTTCAGTCGAGCTTACGGGTGGGCCATGGTACACCGACAACGAACTCGACACGGAATTCATCAAGCTCCTCTCAACCGCATGCCTGCATTACATCCGTGACCGTGTACGTCCCTCTCCTTCCCCCTACAATTCAAACTTACAACATTCTTTTCTGGCAGTCCTTCCCCAAACAAAGCTCCAAAGCCTCCACCCAAAACGAACATAGACTCTACTCCATAAGCGCCGCACCCTCCTACCCATCTGCTCAGCATATCCAGAATTTTCTAAGTAAAAGTAAAATTACGGAGACGCAGTTGAGCGTCGAACATGTTGAGATGCTTTTGAGAGTGTTGGAGTTGGATGGGGAGATTGAGAAGGTTTGTGATTTGCTTCGTTTCATTCCCCTTGTTATCTGATGGGTTGATTGATTGGTTTATAGTTACCTGCATTCACAACATCGTGGGACGCTACAGTCGACTCCGTCAATCCAGCTTCTTCAAACTCGGACTCAGACTCGAACTCGGACTCGGACTCGGACTCTGGCTCTGACTCGGACTCAGACTCAACTACTCGCAAGAAGCGCAAACGCAGCTCGTCCAAAAAGAAGAAGAAATCCAAATCCAAACCGCGAAAACGGCGGCGTACGGACAGTTCCAGTGACAGCGACGATGATGACGAGTCCGAAGAAGAGGAGCGGCCGAAACGGAAGAGGAAGAAGGAAGAAAGCGAAAGTAAGGGCAAACGGAAGAAGCGGGATGATTCATCTGACGATGATTCTGAATCCGAATCCGACTCTGACGATCGTCGTTCGAAATCGAAATCAAAGTCGAAGTCGAAGTCGAAGTCGAAGTCGACGAAAATGAAGACAAATAAGAAGTCATCCTCAAGTTCGAGGCGCGTTAAATTCGAGACTCCGGAGGCAGATGACAATATCAACATCGGAGGAGCCTTCGTCTACCGAGCCATCCGCCAAGAGCGAGTAGCGCTGGGATGGTCCCAAGCTCCATGTGGTAGATGTCCAGTATTTGACTTCTGTCGCGACAAGGGGCCTACGAACCCACAAGAGTGCGTGTACTACGAGGGCTGGCTTAATTTTAAGCTTGGGACGGGTGAAGGGGGGCCATAGTTTTTAAATTTTCACGATGTAAATAACCCGATAAGTTCGTTTTTACAGCACAAAGCAGCCCAGGCTTTCACAAGTTCCTGCATTCCTGCACCCTTGTTGCAATTCCTGCACTCAACTGTCGAGTATTTTTCACGGCCCTGTATTTCCCGCATTGGACCTGCACACCGTGACCCAGCTGCAGTCTACTGCACGAAACTTCGTATGATGGGTGCCTTCTCACCATGACGCCAGCGCATCTTACTTACTTCTTCCCGCCATGATCAACACTATCCATTCAAACGCTGAGACCACCAAAAGTCTGGTATTCGGCCAGTTTTTGGGTGCGGTTAATGCAGACTCCGCCGCGTGTACCTCTTGGCGCCACAGGTCTGTCTGCCACTCCCGGCGCCATGCTACATCATCTCCCGATCTTCTTGTTGCCCGCCGCGTATCTTATCATGCCTGCCACTTTGCGGGCTTCGGAGCTTCAGGCATCATATACACACTTTTTCATCCTTTCCGTAGGCCACACAGGACACCTCGTGTATCTCCACATCATTCTATTTTCCCCTTCTGTTAGCCCAAATCAAACCCAGGCGCTCGTACAACAGTGGGCGCAGGAGTTGCTTAGCAATGTTAGCATTACTCACAACCCGACTGGCTCGGCCATAGTCACGACAAGGATCTAGCTAGTCACCTGCAAGGTCTCTTGTTAGTTAGAGAGCGTCGATCTCGAGCAATTCCTGCTTTACAGCATACTGCCAAGTTCCCGTCTCAACTTACCTCACCTTCCCGGTATCATGCATGTGCAAATCATCATGCACAAAATATGAATTCCAGTCTGTCGTGAAATTTTAGCACCCTCCGGAGATTCATTACTTCTCTGTGATGGGCTTTTCCCGCTGGCTGATAACGATACTTCTGCTTTCTCTTCAGGTCCTTTCCCGCCCAACACCTCCTCCCGCTCGATTCTTCACATATGTTGTTGGGTCAATATGATCCACGCGAATTCCCAGTACGTCCCAAATTCATTATGCATAGTGCTGAGTGCTTACCATTTAATGGATGTCACGACTCATAAGTCGCGAGACTTGCAAACATTGCGAATTGCAACCCACTGGCATTCCCCATGTCGGGTGCCTTTCCCAGTACACTGACAAGCGATTTCGAACTTGACGTATCGCCGGCCAGTGGTATTGCCCGTGTCGGAGTCCCCCACCAAAAAACGACGAACAAAAGCTGATGTCATGGATCTCGGCTCGGATGTTTGGGACAAAACCAATGACGAGATTATATGTATGTTCCCCTCTTCATTCAGTTCTATTCACAAATTAACTGGCCTATCAGCTGCATCCAAAGCTCGGCATATGGTTACTTCACGATATCCTTACAACGTCGCTTGAAAGCTGACGACAGTCGCAACTATCTCGAGTTCAAATTTACGTATCGCATAAACCCTATCAACCACAAGCCACATCGCCAAAAACGCACAGATGAAAAACCTCAATCGGGGCGTCAAAGAATGTGTTTAGCGGCGTGGTGTCTCGACTCAATGTCCGAGTGCGAAGGGTCCGATTCATTGGTGTGACGGGTTGACCTCTGTCCGAACAATGAATAAGTACAAGTAAGTAAACGGACGTAAAATGAAACATAACGGAGACACACAAATGTAACCATGATCGGAGGTATTGGTGAACGAGTGAAACCCTGTTTCTCATTCTCCAAAAAAGAACTCCATATGCGCTCAAAGAATGTTAGAATTGCTGCTGCTCAGTACGCATTCTACAGAGCCCTGAGGTAGGTGTAGATGCGAGTTGGGCAAGTGAGGCGAAGGGTGGTGCGTTTAGGACGTTGAGGCCACTTCCAATTTATCGATGAGCGTTAGCCTGTGGGTCACGATGAGAAGGGGATGGACGGTACCGTACCGATTATTACATCTGCCATGCCCCCGCTAAAACTCCTGTGAGTAGTGCCCTGCCAATTTTCACCTGTTCTGGCTTTAATGTCGGTTTGGAGGACGGGAAGAGGGCATAAATGTTATTTGGGCATTTGAGATGGACTTTGTGGACCTATTGGGTGGGGTCTAGTACGTGGCATGTGTTGATTATGGCCAGTGCATAGAGGTATTGGGTGGATACGAGGTTGGAGGGAAGGATTGTTAGGCCTGGTACTGCCTGATGTCAGATAGTCGAACACTGATGAATAAGAGGAGTATAAGTCTCATCTGGACCCGACAAAGACCCTTTTAGCCCAATGTGGATCTTGAGCGACATCTGCAAGCATCCTGCAGGCGAGAACCACATATCACCACCCTTACCGCGTCCTGCTATTTGGATTGTGGTGAGGGATGAGAGGGAAGTGCACAGATGAGGGATGGATTTCTGGGGGTACATTAGTGGGCGTTGCGATGGACGTGATTGAATAAAACGTACTTATCAAACATTGTTTGTGTGCTGGAGACTACTTCGCCGTATATGAGTGGTGAGCCGATGCACCAGGAGCCCGTGCTTGTGCTTTGGTCGGTAATTTCTGTCCGTGAGCGGAACTCGTCTATGGCACGGAAGAAGGCTGCGGGTGAGAATTGAGGGGCTCTGAAGGTGCGACTACATGTTTAACTTTCGGGTTTGATAGGGAATTTTTGAGGATGAAATCGAGTATACGGTGATCTGTGGATCCAGTGTCTATGGAAGGGAAGGATGAAAAGCGCAAGTGGAAATCATCATTGGCTTCTTCGAACACAAAGGGCTCCCTCCCGTGTTGAAATTCATTACCGATAGCCAGACATGAATCTACATGATCGAGAAGTCCATCGATGACGCTATGCCGGACGTGCCACATCTGCCAATAGCACTTTGTTGGCTGCGTCTCAGGTGTATAAAGTATACGCACACGAGCGTTTTGTGAGCGCTTTCGGACAACCTCGTGTGAACTCGCATTTACCGATGGCACGAATCCAGGCAAGCCAGAAGAAACTGGGATCAGCTCTATGAGAAGCGCAGGCCAAGTGCAGATAGCAATCTTGACAGCAGGACATCGGGAAGGAGTGGTGTGCAATTCCACATTGCGACAAGCCCGCTTTGAGACATGATGCCGGCAAGTGCATTGCTTTCTAAGTAACGGCCGAGGATGTGTACGTCCCGATCTAAAGGACATGAGGATAGTCTGGATACAGATACTGTCGTGTCGTTAATCGATAGATCCGCGCCGGTTCCGTTAAGAAGGACATGTAGAGGGACTCGTTTCCATCAGCAACTCTGAGTTACATAGTGGTATCTTTCACCATGCCCAAGCCAAGACCCGCAGATAACGATCCAAAGTCATGACTCGGTTCAGATAGAGTGCCTTTCTGAGGCCGACACCGAATGCTAACTTCATCCTACCTGCGAACTCGAACTATTTATGATCAATAGGAAGAGAAGTAGGAGGAGGGCACAAGAGGTGCGCCTTGTACAGAGATTGAGAGGGTGCTTCAGTGACTGTGCTAGATAATGTGATTATAGTATTGAAGTAAGCGTTTGAACAAGAGAATCCTCGGCAAACACCAGAAAGTCGGCCTGGGTTCCTTCCCTGTTATTCACGTAGAGGCTTCCGCTTCTCGCCGGTTCATTCCAACACACAGGCTACTACTCAACTCTCCTTGAGTCGCTCTTGACTTGCACTTAAACTGTCACGCTCGCACACACTATCGACCTTGTTTCCACTACTCGTTCCCATCCCATCCTTTCCCATGGCTTCACCTCAATCGCTTCGTTCAAGGACTTCTTTCATTTTCAGTGGTTTGTATGTATGTGCTCGAGGATATGCTTATTCTGTCTATTTGAATCGCAGTGTGATAAATGAGCTGTGTGAGTGATACAAGCATGGAGCATTATAGAAAAGTGCGGTCTAGTATCTGAAGGTATTCTGAGACCGGCAAGATCACTTCAGCCACCTGCGTAAGAGCAGCCTGGGTGTCTCGTTTTCGCAAATGCAGTGACCTCGTCCTTGGCGCTCAGTCACGGTGTAGCCTCAGGACAAGCGTCTATCGTGCCGACCAGCCATCAACAGCATGGAAATGCACGTGGAGTATGCCCTACACCCTTCCTCCCGAGCTTGACCTAGTCCATATCCCTAGCTATCATTCGTCCACCACTCATTCCGTAACTCTCAGCCCATCCACGCCCTTTGCCATTTGCTTCATCGTGTCATCATGACTAGTACATCGGGGGGTCAATCGATCAGACTTGAAGGTGGGCCACTCCGTATTACCTTGTCCTATTTGTTTCGCGATCTTTACACTCTATCTACAGTCATTAGCGGAAACAACATCAGTGTACCCTCTGGCCGCATACCCGCAGGCATTTACGTGTCCGTCAACGTCAACCCGAGGAGATGCTGGAAATCAACCGCCCGAGTCCTATCGTCCGATGATTCTGTAGCATGGGGCGATACCGTGATCTTGTAAAGCCTTCCACGGACCACAGCAGACTCAATCCCAGTACTCATAATCGACTTGTAGATCACGGGACACATTGCCTACTAGATTATCACTGGAAATACGGGCATCCTTTGAGCTCGGTCGAATGCTAGGCGATGGAGAAGTTATTAGCAAACTTGAGACCTCGTGGAATGAGCTACTAGATCATGGAGATGAACCATTTGGTGAGTAATCCGTTTCCTATTCACGCACACCACTGACTTGCTGTAGATCTGACCTTCCTACCCGCTGATGATGATGATGATGGTGATGGTGACGATGATGAGAATGACGATGAGGATAAGGATGACGACGATGACGACGATGATGAGGATGAAGATGATGAGGACGACGATGACGACGATGGGGACGACGATGGGGATGAAGATAATGACGACGACGATGAAAATGTGTACCCTTCCCTCACCCTGAAGGCCACTGTCGTCTGTGCCCAGGGTATAGAGTTGGATGTAAGTAATGTTAACCCCCTTCCTCTAAGTGTCTACTGACAGAATGAAAACCGTAGTCTGTTACTGGAAGTGAAATTGCTTGTCGCACGGATGCAGGTCACATGCAATTTGCCAAATACATGACAGATGAGAATGAATCTGATCTGAAAAATGCTGTACAGCATTTCCAGTTCGTTCTGGACCGGTGTCCTGTCGGCCATCCTGATCATGCTGCTGCCCTCACCAACCTTGCATGGGCCTGTCTTAAAGGTTATATCTGCAAGGATCTTCAAGACATTGATTCTACCATCTTTCTATTCCGTGATGCCCTTGCATTGTGTCCGCAGGGCCACCCCGATCGTGCATCGTCTATATATCATCTCACTGAAGCTTTGACCTGGCGCTACATCAAACAAGATACCCCCGCTGATATCCATGAATCTGTTCAACTCTACCACGAGCTACTGCCTCTTTGTCCTGAGGGCACCTATCTTCGGAACATCGCAGCAGGGGACGATGGTGTGGATTATGTGATCAATGCATGCAACAATCTTCCAACAGATGCATCTGATGAAGGTATCCAACTTCGACGAGTCGTGCTCGAGCTCTGCCCTCTGAGCCATCAATACTGTCCCACAGCCCTCGACGAACTTGCACTGGCAGTCCAAGAACGCTTTAATCAACATGGCAGCATCGAGGATCTTGAAGAGAGCATAAAACTTGGTCGTGAAGCTGTTTCTCTGTGCCCCGAGGGACATCCTGACCGTGCTAAATACCTGAATGACTTGGCCAACTCAATCAGATCCCGTTTCAGTCAGCAAGGCAAATCTGATGACCTCGATGAGGCCATCTCTCTATCTGAAGAAGCACTGCTCCTGTATCCTGTCGGGCATGAATTTCGTGATGTATCACTGGACAACCTAGGTCTTACCCTCCACAGCCGTTTTGTGCACCGCAATGACATTAACGACATCAACAAGGCTATCGGTTTCTTTCGCGAGTCACTGTCATTGTGCCCACCTGGGCATCCAGGTCGTGACACCGTACTTAGCAACCTTGCCCTCGTACTCAGCACCAGATATGATGAAATACAAGCCAGCGAGGATCTTGACGAGGCCATCGATCTTTACCGTGAATCGCTTCGGTTAACGCAACCTGATGATCCAGAGCGCCATACAAATCTTAACAATTTGAGCTCGGCGCTCTGCTCTCGTTTCACGGAAAATCAGGCGAAAGAAGATGTCGAGGAGGCCATTGATCTCTGCCAACGGTCATTGTCAATTTTGCCTCCATTGCACCCAGGTAGATATTTCAGCTACATGCAGCTGCAGGAGGCCTATCTATCTCGTTACGAGATGCAGGACAACCCTATCGATTTGTCACTCGCAATGGAGAACTTCAGACTGGCATCAGGACACCCCACGCAAGGATATCCAAGCCGCATCAAGGAGGCTATTGACTGGGCGCTCCAAGCCGAAATCTATCAACATGAATCTGCCCTCGAAGCATACCAAGTGTACTTGAAGCTTTTCGATAATCATGTCATGACGCGATCCTCAATTATCTCACGACGCGATGCTGCAACTGCTTTCCGTGGTGCACAATCACTTCCAGTAGATGCAGCATCATGCGCTATTCGTCGCAATAATCTGCAACGAGCGGTTGAACTTGAGGAGCAGGGGCGCGGTCAACAATGGTCGCTGGCCTCTCGACTCAGGACTCCGCTGGACGACCTCAAATCTGCGAGTTTGCCACTCGCGAACAAACTATCAGAGCTAAGCAAGCGCCTATCTGATGCTCAGGGTTCCACGGGCAGCGCAGACAGAGCTTCTGCTGATCGGGCAGCAGCAGAGTACAGAAAACTTACGGAGCAGTGGGAAGTTGCGGTAGCTGAAGTCCGCAATCTTCAAGGATTCTCGCGATTCCTTCTCCCACTGTCATATGAAGATTTGCAAGTGGCAGCGCGTCATGGCCCAGTCATCATCCTCATCGCGAGCGAATACTCCCGCAATGCTATCATAATCCCAACGTCAGGGCAACCCCATCATGTTCCCTTCCCAGATCTCACTTTCGCAGATGTGGAGCAACTCAAGGACGACTTCGCTAAGGCGATACAGCAAGCATCTTTTATGGGCCCAAAGCAGCCAAGGACGGGCCTGAAAGCACTCTTGCGGAAGATCTGGGACGAGGTCATGCTACTCATCGTCAGGGTACTCCAGCGTGATCTGAGATTGCCAGGTCGTTCTCGAATCTGGCTGTGTCCGACAGCAGCATTCACGTCCATTCCTCTTCACGCAGCTAACCCGTTTCGAACGAAGGCTGATTGCTCTGAGCTGGAACTATGCCTGGAGGATGTTTACATCTGCTCTTACACACCTACGCTTTCGGCTCTGATTAGAGCTCGACAGACGATGAAGACGCACTTGATCCCGTCCTTCGTGGCGATCGGGCAGGGTCAACCGGGTGCAGGGCAAGGCAAGGAGCTCTTGACTGTCGAGAGTGAGCTTGAGCTAGTTCGTTCGCTTGTCCCCGCAACAGTCAACCCTATCACTCTGTCTGGTGACGCAGCAACACGAGCAGGTGCACTTGAAGCTTTGCAAAACAACACATGGGTGCACCTCGCTTGTCATGGCAAGCAAGACCATGACCAGCCATACTACTCACATTTTGCTATGAAAGACGAACCCCTCACGCTGCTTGACATCATGGAAAACGATGCTCCGCAAGCTGAATTCGCATTCTTATCGGCATGTCATACCGCTGCGGGCGATGAGGAGACCCCCGACGAAGCCATCCACCTCGCAGCTGGTCTGCAGTTTTCGGGGTTCAAGAGCGTCATTGGCACGCTGTGGGTAGTGGATGACGCTGTCGCAAAACACGTCGTCAAAGCTTTTTACGAAAATTTGTTCAAGGATTTGAAGGAGGGTGACATGCCGGACTGTACGAAGGCGGCTTGGGCACTGAACAAGGCTACGTACGCTGTGAAGATGAAAGTGCCGCTCGAGCAGAGAATTGTTTTTGTTCATATTGGCGTGTAGCTTCATATCGTATTGCTCTGATGTAGCGTGGTTTTACCAGCCGTTCATATTGTCGTATTAGATGCTCATTCTTCGTTGTACTCCCGTAAGCCATTCCCGCACCCTGTCGTATGATTTTCTATATTCTCCTAGGACCTTGGACGTTTCTTGAATATGATCCTAATGTTCGTGTTTGGGTCGTCGCGGCGTACGTCATTCTGTTCCTTTGGCCGAAAAAAGTGCGGGGAGATACCAAGTTTTCCGTAAGTGTATATGGATAAGACATGAAAAAATTGAGAGACGAGTCGATAGAGCGGCATCAGCGTAGGTCAACAACAGCAGACACATGTGATTTGTGAGGAAGTATAACAAAATTACATGAATACCTGCGCGATATAATATAATTATATAAATTTGTATTTTGAATAGAAGCTGCCTTCCCGCATGGACTAGGGTTGAGGACAAAAGTCCAACCATGCATCGATAAAGACAATCACTGCAGCATTTGGAGAGAAGGGAGAGGAGCTAAAGTGATTTGAGTTATATCATCAGTCAACACCTTCCATCTACGTGAGTGAGGGTTAGAATTCGAATTCGTTGACCCAAATATATTGTAGAACTCATCTTGTGGAACGGCAGATTCAAAGCACGACCGACGGACATCCTTCAAGGCTTCATTCATGCGCATTCGAATCCAATGGCAGGCTGTGACAGTCGAAGCAGAGTCGCTGCTTCAAGTTCGGTATGACCGTCGCAGGAATCGGAGCATGGCTTTATACAACTTGTCTCCAGTCTGATGATGGAGTCCAGCAGAGTCGTATGCCACGAAGCGGACAGGTCCAGGAGCCATCCAGGAGTGGGCAGAAAAGAGAGGCATGATTGAAGTCGATCCTGGAGGGGGTAAGGATAGTTACTGCAAACTTCAAGTTGATTGAGTTCGCAATGTGGGTGATTATGTATGATATTCGAGGGAAGCAGCAGCACGTCCTAGTTTTGCGCGTTACACAGATCGATTATCGTGGTCAGGCGTGCGCGTGAACATTAGCGAGTGACGTTCGTTAGTAGTGCTAGTATAAGCACTTGAGCTCTCATAATATTGAATGGCCGAACTTGCAAGCCGTCGTAGCACAATGGTAGTGCGTTGCCTTCCTAAGGCAAAGGTTGCGGGTTCGATCCCCGTCGTCGGTAGTCGGTGAACTACGAGCGGTTATTTTTTTTGTTCGTGGTGTTGGTCGCTGTCGAGAACGGTGACCGTCGTTGCACGCAATTTTTGTCCTAAAACCTTGTCGAATCGCTTGTCTTGTGAAGCCTCTCCTGATATCTTGGTGGAATACCTTACATTCGATATCATCACGCGCGACACCGCCATTAGTGATAATCTCCATAAACCCGCGGGCCGCAGCCTGTCACGGACCACGGTGCACCCTGATAATCTTGAACATCACACTTTCATTCACACAAATGCCTTCAGACGCTACCCCGTTGATGAAGCTCGACCTTCCATCTCCAGAGGAGTTCAGGAAGAGGAAAGTCGCATTACTCTCAGGTAAGTAGCCCCCTTTCATCAGAGAACCGGTGAGAAGAAGATATGAACTCGTGTGACCCGTATCTGCTAGCATGTAGCTATCAATGCTGAATGTATAAACAGGTATAACCGGTCAGGATGGCTCTTATCTGTGAGCTCCTTCCTCATTCTATAACTCCCCACTCATGTCCTTCACAGCGCTGAACTTCTCCTTGAGAAAGGATACGAAGTACACGGTATAATCCGTCGTTCTTCCAGCTTCAACACCGGTCGTCTAGAATCTCTCTACGCAGACCAACATGAACGTATGTACCCCCACCATCGTCTAACCTCTCCACCAACACCGTGACACTCCCCAGGCCCTAACAAGTTCAAGCTTCACTACGGCGATCTCTCCGACAGCACCAACCTCGTCTACATCCTCGCCCAAGTCCTTCCCTCTGAGATCTACAACTTGGGCGCCCAATCCCACGTCAAAGTCTCTTTCGAGATGGCAGAATACACAGCCGACGTTGATGGGCTCGGTACCCTCCGCCTCCTCGACGCAATCCGCACAGTAGGGCTTGAGAAACACGCCAGGTTCTACCAAGCATCCACTTCAGAGCTCTATGGAAAGGTCGTCGAGACGCCCCAGAGCGAGACCACTCCGTTCTATCCTCGCAGCCCGTACGGCGTCGCCAAGCTCTACGCATATTGGATCACTGTGAACTACCGTGAGGCGTACGGTATGTATGCTTGTAACGGGATCTTGTTCAACCACGAGAGCCCAAGGCGAGGGAGGACATTCGTCACTAGAAAGATCTCCAGGGCTGTTGCTGATATCAGCGTCGGAAAACAGCACTGTTTGTACCTTGGTAACATCGATGCGCAGCGAGACTGGGGACATGGTACGACTTCGATCGTCTTTCATCGTCTTTAGTTAACAGTGATGTGACAGCTAGGGACTACGTCGAGGGCATGTGGCGCATGCTCCAACAGCCCACCCCTGATGATTTCGTCCTCGCCACGGGAGAGACTCATCCTGTGAGAGAATTTGTCGAAAAAGCCTTTGCAATCGTTGGAGTGACCATAAGGTACCCGTCTCGTTCCTCGGGTACATACATCATTTCCTGATGTCAGACTTGTGGTCTTAGATGGCGTAACTCTGGCGTGCAGGAGGAGGGGTACGACGAGAAAACCGAGCGAGTGGTCGTTAAAGTCGACCCGCAGTATTTCCGTCCCGCGGAAGTGGAGTGCGTCCTCATCGTGCCTCTTCCTCCAATTACTTATGCTTGTACCCAGCCTTTTGCTCGGCAACCCCGCCAAGGCCGAACGTGTCCTCGGGTGGAAACGCAAAGTCGACTTCGATAGCCTCGTGAAGGAGATGGTGAATGCGGATCTGAGGGCTACGAAGAGCCTTGTGGAAGACCAGAACTGAGTATTGACTGATGAACTCCAAGGCCAAAAGAAAGCCGTGTATCTCAGCTGTACAACCCATGTACGATTGACAAGGACTTTTGTAGACTAATACCCTGGTACCGTCGCGATTCGATTCGATTGTCTTGGTAGGTGTGAATGTGAGTTTGTGTGTCGGATTTCTTGCTCCAGGAAGACGTGGCGAGACTGAGATTTAAATACTGATACTTGGATTGCCACCTCATCACAAGGTACAGCTAAATCCGTCGCTACTCCGATCCCACTCTTCTTATCAACATCCAGTTCACACCACTAGCATGCCAATACCCACACACACCCCCAATGACGCCGGCCAAATCCCCTCTCTTGCATTCGGCACCGGCACAGCGTTCTCCCACCACCAAGACGCCTAGACCACTCTCGAAAGCGCCATCAACATCGGTTTCACGTACTTTGACGGTGCACAGCGGTATAAGAACGAAGCCACCCTAGGAGCTGCTATCAGACCCTCCGAGTCCAGTGTCCCACGTTCGGAGCTCTTCATCAGCACCAAGCATGCGTCGCTAACCCCCGGGGAGACAGCTAAAACAGCACTTTATAAGTCGTTGGAGAAATTGGGGTTGGAGTATGTGGATTTGTATTTGGTGCATGCGCCCAAGGACCATATGGATGGGTGCGGGGACGGACTAAAAGAGGTGTGGAAGGTGATGGAGTAGTGTAAGAGGGAGGGATTGACGAGGTCTATTGGGGTGTCAAATTTTGGGGTGGAGCATATATTGGAGATTGTGGAGGGTGCGCAAGTTTTGCCTGCTGTCAATCAGGTGAGTTAAACGCCTTTGATGATGCCCCACACCCGAAATCTCTAAGTCCATCCTTATGTGTGGGATTTCGTGAAGCCTTTGATCAAGGTGCACAAAGAGCACGGAATCGTTACGTCCTCGTATGGTGGGCTTTCGCCTCTTTTTCGTGCACCAGGGGGACCGCTAGATCATGTCGTCGAGAAAATCAGAGCACGGCTTGAGGATACGTGGGGAAAACCAGTGACGAGTGGTCAAGTGCTCAACAAGTGGTTGCTGCAGCATGATATTCTGGTGGTCACGTACGTTTTCGTTCGTTGCTGCGCTGTGTAAGATACGAAGGCGGAGAGGATTAGAGAACATGTTGATACATGCGACGTTCCGGAGTTGACGAGTGAGGAGATGGGGTTGATCCAGAGTGCCGGAGCGGGGCGCAATCAGTCATTTTTTAAGAATACTGAATATTGTTTGAGAGAGATATGATGGTGTAGTCCGGTACTCCGTCTGTGTCAGTGCTTTTGCGATTACTGGTAGAGAGAACAGACGGTAGTGAAACGCATGTCTTCTGGGATCTAAACTTTATCATTAACCCAGACCCCTGGTGCAGGCATTGAACTTGAGATGAAGTAGAGAGGGTGTTGATTGATTTATCGACCCCCCTCAAACTCATTTGAAGTTAATGGTGGTGGGCAACGCCCGCCAGCAAAGCATGACACTTATATAAGCTATCCCACGCTATAAACACACAGAGAAGTGAAACTTGACGCTATGTACCAAAGGAAAGACTTTTGTGTTAAGTGTTCGCGGGCGAAATGTGACGGATTGATGTTATAAACAAGAGTATCAGAATACATTTTGCAATTTCACGTTTGTGAGCATATTTTAGCCTCAGTAATGGTTGGTTTTAGGCCCCAAGAGCACACAACAAAAAATCTATTCTGAAATTATTGTTGGCTGGGGGGAAATGAGAATATTCCTTGCTGTGCATGAACGCAAACGACAACGGGTGTGGTACATAGAGGTCTCGGATGAAAACAGCCCCTGTAAACGGTAAAAGGTCAGCCACAATTCGCGATTTTCCAAAAACGAGACTTATGGCTTCAGCACAGATATGCGACGCACTCACGTTCCTTCGAAGTTCTGCGTACTACGTGCAGTCAACTCTCGTTTTTGAAAAGACGTTATGATATTTTAAGTCTCACCATAATCTTCAACACCAAATGGCACATCAAGTACAGCCTGGCCCTTCCAAAAAAGGTGCTCTAAAGCCAAGAACGAGCAACTTTGATGTGCCTGTGCGAAAATGCAATGACACTCAAGAATTCATGAATGCCATGTTTACTGATGAAGATCATGCTCACTTATGACATTGAGCATGGAAAATTGATACGAGTGGAGTTGAGAGGCAGCAGCAGGGGGCATTGATTCAGCATAAGCTTGATTCTGCCACTGCTGCCAAGAAGAAGGCTACAGAGAAGCAGGCATCTAATTCTGCCAAGGAGACTTATTTCGCAGGTGTTGCACTGGTGCTCGATCAAAACCAACTTGTATGCTTGCTTGATCCAGCTCTCAAGGATCAGATCAAGGTTTATCGCTGTCTAGGAGCAGAGAAGCATATTCCACTCAAATCACACCTCAACAGCAAGTCACAGTGCCTTGAGTTGCTCAAGAAGCTTTTGGCTCGTCACTCAGCATGTTTATGAGGTGAATTGGTGACTCATGACAATGATCTCAATGACACAAATGATGACACTTAGGTGGATACTAATATGCTTCCTTGCAAATATTGCATATAACCTATATTTACAAGCTTGATCACATAATTCAGTGCTGCACATAGGATACTTTAGCATAATCTACACTAGTTTCCACCACAATATAATGCACAATAACTGCTTTGCCATTGAGTATGCACTTGGTTTCAAGAAAATGGACCATTTAGGGGTTTTTGGCTTATATAAGCATCATGCTTTGTTGGCGGGCATTGCCCACCACCACTAAGTTAATGCGCTAGTGGAGGCCGATTGCAACTCGGACTTGAAGTTTTGAAACATCCCCGCACACATGACACAATCAACCATTGCTGCGGCAACTGCTGGGACCACTGTGGTGTGCGCATCAACTAGACTCTAGTACACTTACTATTTGTCACTTTGTATTCGACTCGATCCACAACATTTGATTTACCTGCACGAGTCTGGACAGTAATATCAAGAATCAGAGAGCGGACTAGGAATGAGAACGAAGACCTGAGATCGGGTCAAAGACAGGCCAAAGAACGATATTCGACAGGGAGAGGTATTAATACGCTGATTGAGATGGAGAATCAAAGGAGAACGTGTATGAGGCCTGTAATGAAGAGTGATTGCATATGTGAAAGAAAGGAATGAGTACATATGAGAGTGATGTTGATAGTCTAGAAGACTGGTTAATGAAAAACATATCCATGTACGTGTACGATCAAGTCTTACATCGTGCCCATTCATGGCTCAGATCCAGACTCCATATCTATGTCTCCTAGCTGCTGGCTCCAATGCTCATGGTCGGCTAGCCAATTGATTGGGCGATTTTTTTTTGATCTACAGCTTGTTTTTACAATTGGTGCGGAGATGTAGCAGAGAAATTGAGGTGCCACCTCGATTTCTCCACTAGCATCTCTGCACCCCTCAGTAACAAACAGATGTTCTCTTGTGGCATGCTCATCAGGAAAATGTCAAACATTTAGTATGGTATAGGTTGTAGTTCAGAATCTCAACGTTCAACCTCTTCCACGCTTGATGTTTTTAGTATGCATCCACGATTTAGGAGGCCATGACTCGTCGCCGTCTCTTTATGATAACAACATCAGTAAACCGATGAACATATTAAAATGTCATATTATACTATATATTGATAACAATCACGAAAATCCCCATAAATTTGGTAGTGGGGTTTGCATATAAATATTTGACTTTACATGGGAACAATGCATTCTCATGGCAGCCAAGCAAGTTCTCCTGCACTTGGTGTACCATCTTCTGCTTAGATTGTCCTGCAAATAAAATATATCAATGTGGGCCAATGAAGTGAAATGCAAGTATTTAAGTGTCAGAGTGATGCAAAAAGTTGCTATTGAATATTAATGCAAGGTTTTTCTGTTTCGCAATGATCAGTAAAACAAAAACTCTGATACGAGAGCTGAAACTCTTCATACTATCCCCGATTTGCTGGTACTAATATTCGAGTGTATAATGGGAAGAAGTGATGTTCACATTTGACAACATCTTCACTTAGTAGACAATAGGCACTTTACTCCGAAGTGGTAGGCACTTGCCTGCGTTGGCTGAAAATTATTTCATATACATCGCGCCCTGTCCTTCAGCTAGTTCGGAACACATTCATCTTTGAATAATTGTGTCAACAATGCATTTGCAATGCTGCCCACAAGACTACAGCCATCATATGATACTGGAGGTGCCAAATAATGTTTTTTGTGACAACTAAATTTCACAGTCATGGGATGGGTGCTTATTTGTAAGCTGGTGGTCTAGGCTGCCATGTTGGACAGGAAATTGCCAGACTGGCACATCTAACAAAATATTGCAGTGCTGCTCAGCCCTCTACTTAACAGCATGAACGTCAATTGTATTTCACATGAGAAGGAATTTGCACACTCTAATGCAAGGTGCTCAATTAATAGGAGGAGAAAACGTGGCAAATGTTGGCATGGCAAAATAAATCTTAGCACATAGGACAGGCGCCGAAAAATGCTCCTGGGTTGAACATGTGCAGTCTCTTGATCAGTGTTGACAAATAATTCAAGTCTCACGGTTTCTCATCAATGACCGAGCACACTGAGCAAATGAAACACGTGGAAGATGTGAGTCCAATGCTCTTGCGTGCTAAGTTATTGCTGCATTCTAAATGTGACAGAAAACCTTTTCTGTTAGTAAGGCCAGCAGCAGTGAACATCGAGGTATGTGTGTCCAGTATCGTTGCCGCAAGGCACGTGGGCTCATTGTTGTCAGCTTTGGCTAAGACAAAAAATGGCTACAGTAACTATTCCCTCGCTCCACAAGACACTTAATATCCAATGAATCTGTGGCGAAACAAACATTAGCGGCTTGACGACGGAGAAGCTGGGTGATGGAAACGTAAGGAGGTCCTGAAGTGTGTCCAGTGTTCCATTCAGTAAGTTATGTGTCTCTGCTTAAACTGCGTGACATCTTGGATGAGTTGTGGATTTTCATCAGAAGAGCAGATTGTTACCAGGAGAGGAATAACGTTCATCAACTCTACTACAAGATACAAGACCACTTGATGTCCACACAACTACCGAATTATGGTCAGTTCTATGCACAACAAGGAAAATCCTTTCCTAGGAAGCCTGACAGCAATTAATAGGTAAGTGCACGGTTATGTATTTGTGTGTTCACAGAGCAAGCCAGTTTTCCCCGACTGAGTTGCAAGGAGATAATGGGGTATGTCTGGTGTGTCATTCAGCAAGTTATCTTTAGTCTTTGCTCATATGAACTCATCAGTCAGAGACTGTGGATGGCTTCCTCCGCTAGGGGGTATTCTATTCAGACGATTTTCTACAGCTGATGTCACCCGCGGGCAATATGAGTCAGTTGGTGCAGTCATAAATATTATCATTCACATGCAAAGTGTCTCCTGGTTTGGTAGGTTTGGAAGGTGTGATAAATTTCACAGTGGGAGGGCAGGTTGAGCAGTTGCTCTTCGCATTACTTGGATTATTGCTGCCCAAAACATTTTCAATTATATGTGTGAATGTGACGTATTACGATTGCATTAAAGTAAAGCTTAAATTTACTAATGACGGAAGGCAAATAAACGATTGTGCTAATCTGAATCAAATGTGGCATCCTCCAATGCCATTCTCTGATCGGCTAGTGCGGTGACAGACATTTTGGACACAATGTCGGGCGTCAAGTCCTCGCAATGATTTCTTCCAAAGACCTTCCTAAATGGTAATGTTAGATACCTAGTAATATGTGAACAGCACATCCATTACCTGGTCCACCATTCAAGAAGTTTATTCACCCTACATTGTGCGCCAGGGCCAGGGACAGCCTCAAAAAAGTCCACAATATTGTTCCAAAATATCTCATAGTCAAAATCACCATCCACAGTATGCCATGATGTGACGCTGGATAGAGCAAAATGAACCTGCCATGAACTGTGTCAGGTATAGTAATGGTGGGAGGATAATCACATATGTTCACCTGACAAACAACATAGGCGATGGCGTGAGGAGTAACTCTCCTCATGTTGATGATCGAGGCTACGCACATTTTGATCTTTGCCTGATTCAATTGCCGCCGAGCACGCCTGTTGTTCTCCAAGATGTCAGCTCTGTCACTGTCACCATCAGCTTCCCTCGCAGAAGATGGGGATGTAAATGTAGCTTTGAAAGCCTAGCAGGTATCAATGAGAAAAATTCACTACCATCGTGACAACAGTGGGACACTAACCTGAACGAGGACCTTGGACTTGAAGAGGCCTTGCTCGAGGTTATCAGGGTTGATTGAATAATCCTCGTACACAAACAATGGCCAAGAGTTTTCTGACACGATATAATCTACTGTTCTGTCATGGATACCAGCTTTCACACTGTCCAAGCATCAGTGTCGAGGATTGGTGAATGAAGGTTGATGCTCACCTGTCGCTATTCCAGTCCCACTCGGCAGGACAGAGTAACTTCCCACAGATGTCATGGACAAAGCCACGTGAATGCTTGTCATCTGATTTAAGTAGATGGGATGGCCGAAAATCTTGATTGACCCAGGAGGCGACAAGGTCCTTGAGAGTAGAAGTATCATCCCCTTGGGCTGCATCTGTGCCTCTTTTGAGCTGCACTGTTGTTCAGTATATAGCACAAAAAGCTTTGGAATTAATAACACTTACCTTTTTCAGCATATCTTCTGCATCATCGATGTCAAGGTGTGTAAGTTTATCATGCAGCCATGGTAAAGCTTGCATGAGTGCAATATATCCTCGCTGCAGGCGATCTTGGCTGATTAATGTATGTAAAATTATATCTCATAGAACAAAGGCTGACGATGTACGTTAAGGTGTTGTCCTCTGAGTCATCCTCATCTTCACACCTGCAATCATTCTTGGCAATTAAATCTTCCAAGCTGGTATAGAGGGCAACCATGTGACGAATCGCCCTGCCTTGAGCAACGTAGTAGGTGGTCTTTCTTTAATGATGAATTAGCATCACAGGCATGGCGTGGGCAGGAAGTACACGAACCTTTGCTTGGTTCCTTTTTCTTGCCTCAATGTGTCAAGTTCCTCTTCCAACGCAGCAATGCAACACTTTGCCCTTGCATCAACTGAGGTAGGGACTGCCCCACCAAGGGCTGGAATTACTGGTGCAGGGGCTCGCACCTCAGCCACAGACTCTAACCCAGACATGGCCACAGAAGTGAACGATATTGAGATGGAGGGAAGTGAGAAAAATAGAATAAACTAGAGAGCATCCGTGAAAAAAATGACAGGGAAGATGTGAGTAGGAAAACAGAAGAAACCCTGCTTGGACTGTATATATACTTGCTCACTAAACGTCGAGACATATAGGGCAAAATTCCTAATGAGGATATGACGGAATGGAGTGCACAATAGAGATGAATCATGTAATGATGTACAACATTACTCACTAAATGCGGTGCTCCTCTGAGTCCGAGTCCTTCCAAAGTACAAAGTGGTGTGAATACCAGGACCTTCATGAGGAAAACTCTCCTAACATGGCCCAGCTTTCCAGATGACGGTTCCAATAATGCAACTGACAGGTAATTAGGAAATTGAAATTCCCATCAACAAGCAAGCATCCACTAATCAAATTGATGTGCATGTCTTGTGGTGATTGGGAATGCGATGGCGCAGTCTGCGCCATAAGCCAACAAGAATTTGGAGCCGCCAGCGCCCTCCAAGGAGTTCCTGGTCTGTACTAGTAACTGCCCAAAGCAAGCGTGTGTGAGAATAGCGATCAAGGGGACTATAATTGTGGCACTGACTGCTACTTTGCTCATAGTAGGCCGCAATATGTTGTCTTGAAGGTGACGGTCACAACACTCATGTATTGTGACATACATGTCTGAATGCAGCTGGACTTAATGAAAAGTGTGTTCCAGCTGAGGAATATGGTCAATAAACGAATGCAAAACACCAATGAAAGATACCTTGCAGTGCGATATCATCAATTTCACTAGCAAGAGAAGCTACAGTTCCACAGGTGTCGCTATCTGTTGCGATGATGGATTTTACAGCCTCATGGAATAGCATCTTCAGCAGAGGGCAGTTCATCAGATTCAGATGTGCAAGCAAGTAAATTTGTGAGCTGTAAATGATCATGAGCATAAATTAGTAAGGTGAAAACAAGAATGATCACCATGATCTGAAGCTCAGTATCACGCAAGAATGTGTGGAAGAATGAAATCTTGATTTCGCCATGGTTGTTTGTTGAGTGACTTTTGAGAACCTTATTGAGACATTTGAAAAGAAAAATTCAGGAGCCATAGACAGGGTCATAATCCTCCAGTTGCTCAAAGATGTGAGTTACCCAGTGATGTGATGGTTTGATGTGCTTTGGGTGGATTTTTGTATCCTTGAGCTTTGTGTTTGATCATAGGTTAGGTAAATTACTCACTCCCAGAAACTCAAGAAGGTACTTGTTGAGGAGTTCCTTTGCGTGTGGAATATCGGCATCATTGATACTACATCCTAGAATGATCTTGAGTGCAGCTGCAAGATTCAAAAAAATTTCAGCATTGTTGGGGTGCATGGGTATACCTTTTGGATGTGCTGGTGGCTCCTCGTCCTTTCTGTTCTGGGCTGCTTTACCTGCTGCAAGTCTTCGAATGCATGCTTGCTCTCGCTTTGCCTGACTCTCCTTCTCCTTCTCATGCTGTTTCATGTTCTCTGGGTACCACTCTTCCCAGATCAACAGAATCTTGAGCATCGTCATCATATGTCAATCGTTCAGAAGACTAATAAAGAAACTTACAGTGATGGGACAAAAGACAAGGGCTAGGCCTTTCCACTCATCAGATGTGAGTGAACCACCAGCAGGATAGCCAACTTGATCTGGTAAATGTGTGACCCATGATGGCATCCTGAACCAATAAGATAGTGAATGACTTAAAAATCTTGAGTTCGATGATAAAGACAGACCATAGACAAGAGTTTATGTATTTGACCAAATTCATGTTCTACCTTGGAGGTTTTCTGATGAAGTACATTTGTCTGGATCCAGGCATTAAACCATTGCGTTTTGATGATACCTGTTGTGTATATTAGAGATTATGACAAGTGCATAACGTTGATGTGCCTTACCAAGCAAAAACAGTGCATGGGGTCAATCACAGTCATGCGAATGGGGTCAAAATATGGCAAGTGAATGAGTTCAAACCATCGAGCACTGTGCTTGGTGAAAAATTTGTCGCGTTCCTTGGACTCCAGGTTTGCATATTCTCGAGCATGTTTCTTATGTTGCTCACCATCTCGTCGAGGGAATCCTGCTGAGTCAGTGAAGAATCAGGGCTATCTAAAGTAAGACCATCATACTGTCATATTCCATCACACCCTTTGTTCGTAGTTCTGACTGCAGGATGTGGCAGCATGAACAGAATCCTTCCTTTTTACTGTGGCTGCCAAATCCACAAACCTTACACATTGCTGGATGATCACAGCATACTGCAACCAGAATTACAGGAACACAGCGACCTGAAAATGCAACTGAATAAGGTTTGAACTCAAAGATATAATTTGACTTTCCATTGGGATACTTTTGTGTCTTGAGCGTGATTCTTTCATCATAAAGGCAGAGCAAATCATCAACGTAGTTCTTCATAAATAATTGAAGCTGATTGGCATCAAGCTCCTTTGAGCCTGGAGTAATACCATACAAAATTAAGTTTCGGGGGTGATACCTGTTGGTGAAATGAACAAGGGCCTATCAAGGATGTTGAAGTCAGTGATTTACCGCACATGGATTGGCAGGTTTGCAATGCAGCTGGACATCACACCAGAGCTGTGTGATCCAGCATTGCTACTGCACTGATAGTTGAAGCTTAAATAAAGTCAATAGTCTGCCAATGCACAAGTCTAAGTCTCACCCGTCAAAGCTGAGTGTAATCCCTATTCACAGCTCATCTGCATCCTCACATTCAGGGCTATTATTAAAGAACAAACACCCATCTGCAGCTCGTAATGTCTTTCATACCTCACCATCTTGTATGGATGAGTATTTGCCAGGGGTAGTTTGGCATGAACACCAACCGCTTATCAGCATCCTTTGAAAAGGGGACCTAATTCAGTACCAAAAACTGTGAAGTTCATCGAAGTACTCACTTTCTTTGCCCTCTGCACCCCTTTGCTCCACTTCGAACCTCTTGGCATGAAAGTGCTGCAAATTGTAAGTTATGGAGTACACATTGGAGAACAAACCCTTCAGAATATGAGGCAAGGGGCTTGGAACTTGCTCAGCAATATAAAATGGGTCAACAATGATATATTGAGGTGGTCTTGTCTGACTTGTACTACGGCGCAATGGATTCTGAGCATACATGTGGCATTTGTACACATATGGAAAGTCTATCTACAGCCACCTTGCCACATGGCATCTGCTTTGACCCAGAACACAGTGATTACAGCCAGCATACAGGTTCCATTCATGTGACTAGTTGAACTACACTGTACTAACACATTCAAATTGCGTTCATGATGAGATGGGGTGAGTGGAGAATCTTACTTGCATAGTCAGAGATAAAATGAGCATATCAACAAGAACAAGAGCAACAACTACAGGTTTGAAATTGTACAGTCATGCTAGTCCGAAGGACACATTAACTTGAAGCTCCCTTGCTGCAGTGCTGCTTGCCAGCCACGAAACCTCAAGTAATGACCAATTTGCGCATCCTGGACGGGCCCAACTGCGTGATACTAGCTGTGCACTTTGCAGCCTTCAATGCCTTCTTGTACCACACTGAGTAGTGGCAGTATGTGGTCTCATGCATAGCGCCAGCAATTTTCGTGATAATGTCTTCCTTCCTGACGCGGAAAACGATAGTAGGGTCCCACAGGGCGTCGACATCGACGTCATCGTCAATTTCCTTACATAATGAGATCAATCTCTCCCTGATTGCATTCACTCCTTTCCCCATCATCGTTAGCACCGGGGCCATAGTATCTTCAGGGTACAGAAACTATAAAAATAACGTTAGCTACACAAGAATTTTAAAATAAAAAGAAAACATTACCCCATCCACAACTAGATTTGGATCATCTGAGTATATGTCTATGGGATCATCCCTGCACACCCACACCTTGAACCACACTGACGATACTGAGCACCATGTGTGATTCTCTATGATGACTGGTGCATTGAGGGCGGGGGACCTGTCTTTGAAATGAAGCCTTTTGCTGATCGTTTCGATGGGTCCTGTAGTAGTAGACGTCCCGTATCTGAGCCCCTCTTTGGCAAATGATAGGGAGTGTTCTTGAACATGACAGCAGCGATCACGAGCAATAAGGAGGGGTTTTCGATAATGGCGCCTTCTAACTTATTGATCAAAGCGTCGCCGTGCTGTGAAAATGCAGTTTCTGCCAGGCCAGGGATGATAACCTCAGAGCCGGCATCCCGCATGTTTTGAAATGATATTCGCATGTCAGGAACGAGTGAATCTGATGCTTCAATGTTGCTCAAAATGTTTGCATTGAGCGCCTGACAGTTGAATGGAATGTTCTCAAGAAAGCATGTGAGCACTGTGTGTAAAGCAACAAGGGGAGCTTCATGAATGGCCGAGGGCATTTCTACAATCAATGTGCTGTCATCATCGAAGTACGTCAATCTATAGTATTGAGGTAGTAAGAACCAACATGACAGAGTAGCTTTTTCAAGCTCACCTTGGTTTCAAACCGAAATTGCAAGACTCGTTGATGAAATGCACTAGTTCTTCATACTTGACCTGCCAAATCCCACAAAACTCCTGAGAAGTGAAGATGATTTCACTGCTATGCCATACAAGTACATCAGACGCCTACCTCACACTCATGCTGACGATCTGGTTTCGTGATAAAATGAAGGACCTCTTGGCATATATGTTGGGCTTACAGACGAGAAAGTAGGTTCAGCTTATGCAATGCAATAAGGCTGATCAGTACCACATACCTGAAGGTGTTATCTCAGGATTTCCAGCTACAAACTGATGAAAACTATCCAGAATATAATCCAATTGATCCGTCTCAACCAAAATATTCTTCTTTTCTACAACTTGAGGGTTGTTGGTGGTGGGTTGAACTGCGGGAACACCCTTAACCACTGGAACTGAGTCAGAGTCAAAGGCCTTGTGGGGTTTGTATTCAGGCCTGATGTTGTTCTCATCATTGAAGAAGGGGCTACTCCTTGGTGTGGCATTAATCGCAGCACTATGAAGAGAAGTAGAGAGTGCATCTTTGAATGCAGTAGGCATGAAGAATCAGGTCCTGAAGGCAGTAGTACTGCCAAGATGTGATGTTTTTAAACAAACAGCATAGCCTTTACTACTTGGTACTACTGTGACTAAGTTGGAAGCATGCTTAGCTAATAAGAACCATCACAGTAGACCTGTGAACTACTAGTAGTAGTGGTATGAGATCATCAATGCAGCTGAATTTGACTGGAATTTAACATCTATTCATGTCAAGACATAAGCCAGAGAAACAGAATAAAAAATTGGCACCAACATTCTCGAGTGAAGTCATTTAGACTCCATTTCAGACACCAAACAATGACAATCTTGCTTGATAGAGACATGACCAATCATGGCATGGGTATACTTCCAAGGAAACTATGCGACCCCTGGATCTTTGAGTTGCCTCAGACGCCAGGTACTAGCACTGGATGAACTCAGATGAGGGCCCTGGAAGTGTGATATAGCATGAAAATCATATCAGAGCCTTGCGGAAAGTGCGGCAGGATGACTTATTAGAAGTGAAAAGCACAAGTGACTGTGAAGTGAATCAGGCTGCAGCGGCAAATATGATCAGTCAGTGGAACTCACCTGATTGATGCAAGGTTACACAAATAACGACTTATTAGACAGGTGAAATGAAAGAGAAATAGGAAAGACAGAAGTGTGGGACTCAGGAACTTCTCAGGAGCTTGGGGCACAGAGGAGACTGATACTCATAGAAGAATTAAGGTGGGTGTGTTGGGAAAAGCAGTATGATTATTGTACAAATTATGTTAGTGATTACAGCACCCCCACTAGTACTTATTTGTATATATCCCAAATTTAGATGGTGGGTAAACACGAAACATCGGAGTTTGAAAAAATCTGGGAAGGCTCCATGCAAGCTCAGTTCCAGTTAGGGGCTTCTGTACTAGAATCAAGCATAACAATGATACAGACACTAGATACTATGGTACTATGTCTGTATACATGTGGCGGTACACTAAATTTCTTCGTCAGATTCGAGTTGTATGCAATCCGACCACATGCAGTGGTGAGCCAAATCCCAGTGTTGTGCGATATGCAGCGGAATATCACTATCAAATTGATACAGCCCTGCCGCCCTAACCATTTCATCATCTGCTTCTAATAAAGGTAGGGATGATGTGGCTACTGGTGGCAATGGAGGGGATGGTGGAGGTGGAGGTGGTGGAGGTGGAGACAATGGAGGAGGAGGTGGTGGTGGTGGTGGTAGTGGTAGTGGCAGTTGTTGGAGGTGGGAATTCTCTGCCTCCTGTGGGTCCCCTGCTGCAGCAATGGGTACATAGAATAGGAACTGTGACTTGCGGCTATGTGGTGATGGTGCACCTTCCACGAGATTCCCTGCTACTGAAACATCACAGTTGAATGTTTGCCGACTCTGGCGATCTCGCAGACTCCATGTTAAAGCATCATAGGTGGTGGTCTGAGTGGGTTTTTCTATGATGATTTAATATCAATCAGTATGATAATGTCAACATCAAGAAAAAATGTACTGGTGGGCATCTCTGATGATTTGAACTGCCCTTCAGACTGTCAGCTTGCCTTAGAACTCCAAATTTCATTGCAACTATCTAACAGAAATATTTAAACTTACCCTGGTAGCCATGATGGTAGCTGTATTACATATTAACTTGCCAGCGTGGGCTTTGCTGTATGTAAGACTAAGATCTTGACTTGGCTGCACGTCCAGATCTCTCCACTTGAATAGAATGCGCCAGTCGGTTCATCATCAAGCTGTTCGGGTCATGAAATGTCTTGGAATGGTGATATTGAGCACCATCTTGAAGGCACCCTTAAAGAACTCATAAACTGATATTAAGTACATGCATACCTGTGCATGAATCCATGCCTGATGCAGTCATGGCAGTACTATTCATTGGATGGTGATGAGGGGCATCGTTTCCTGACAGTATGGTATTCAAACTCAACCAATACTCACCGATCATCATAATGTCCGAGTTGTTGTTGACACTCCTGCGTCATCAAACAACTGGAGACGCATCTAGGCAATTTAGTGATTTGAGCCTGTGCCACATAATGTTGGTGCGATCCACCTGGACAAAGCCATCTTGGTTCTGTATTCCACCATTCCTTCGTTCAAACCACTTCTTGACAAATGTTCACATATATTACTACACCCCAAGGCGCTGTAAGGTCATCTGGCCTATTCCTTGGCAACCACAAAGACAGGAGTCGAGATATCAAGTTGAAATAATCAAAGGTCTAGCATGAGTGTCCATACAATGTTGACATTTAGCCAGGTGATGGTGGGCTGCTCGAGCTTCATGTAGTAGATCTAATTCCTAATTGCACCTCAGTAGATGATGCACATACAGTTGTTACTTCACACCTTTGCCTGAGACTTAACTGACTTCAAGGTGCACTGTAGTATTTGGAGGTCGTCATATTTTAGAACACTTTAAGAATGACCCAGGAGTGTATTGAGTTGTACTAGGGGGTGAGCCAGTACAAGAAATGTCTATCACAGGGTGCTCAATGCTGAAGACAATGCGAGAGGGATGCTTGGTGCGATGAGAGATGGCGTCTGCACCTAATTGGGAAGGAAAGATTATCTTCCCTCTACTAAGAGGGGGAGACTATCACTACACCATGACACATGAGTACTGGCCAGTTTCAGCGAGATGTGTGAAGTGAAACAAAAAGTGTCTGGTCCTAACATATCGAGAGCTAAGACATGCGACACTGCTGCAGTTCCCTGTCAAACCTGCTCAAATATCTAAATGAAGGGCTGTGCTTGCACCTGACAGAAGGCACTTGACAGAAGCCAGTCAGCATTGTCTTGAGCTTGAATCCAGTTGGTTCGGCTCTCAAAACATTCCAGGGGCCCCACATCAATCACGGTCTATATCAAAGTGGGTTAAAAAGGATAACAGTGTATTTTAAAAGAGTGTACATAAATCCAAAAGGCAGGAGAACACAAGCCCTGACATAACATTCCCTGGAAGTGATGAAAGACTGAGAACAAGATAGAAGAATCTAATAGAACCTGTGAATGAGAATATGTCGACGAGATTGCAATCCAAGATCTAGGATAAACTTATAAAGACCATAATTCACAAACAGGGGGCATACCTTCCAACACATGCTTTGCTTCCTCAGGGCCTGTAGTCCTCGTTGCACGCCAAGGTCTGCCATCTGAACTTCCTAATGAACACGCACCCGGGATCCTCCAGGAGAGCTTGAAATTCTGTTTTGGTAGAAAGGCACGCAGGGAACAAGCAGATGGACTTGGGTGAAGACTAATGAAAAGAGTGTATACTACAGTAGAGTGAGAAATGAATATGACATATAAGTGAATGTCTCACCTTCAGTCTTGTGCTAGTAGAGCAATGGACTGAAGCATTAGTAACTCTGAGCTGTATGTACTTGCCTCACTTGTGACTGCCACATAACCTTTGTAATTAGAGGTGGATGTTGGTTGCCTGGGTGCCTCTAAGTACAGGTAGATACAGGGATATAGCACTTGGATGGATAGTGATTGCTGGGTATTTAGCATGGGCACTTATCAAAAATCAACAGCAGTCGGCACTGATTAGTCACAAGGTACCTCAGCAATATCCCGGCAGGCTATTAATATCATTCCTGTCAGCAATGTGACGTTCCTGGCCCTGACAATGTTTGGCAAGTCCCATAAACCTTCATCTTCACTGTCTGTCACAGCAAGCTCACATATAAGGTGCTCCCTTGACCGTTTTGCACCAGATTTTTTTGCAGATCAACATACGGCGTTATATAAACTATTATATAGGCATAAAACATGTATAATACACCTGCAGTCATTAAACACTCATTGCACCACAACACCCCATTGAATCACTTTGTCCATTACTACACAACAACACAAAAAGATGATTACATCTGGCCTGGGCCTTGTAAAGTATTCATTTACCTTCCCTGCCATCAAATTTTAAGTAGGGCTGCATATTGAGTATTCATCATCATTGTCATCAGTGTCATTGAATGCATAACACTTTCCTTTTCTGTTCTCTATTTATCACATGTAACAACATATATAATATGCACTGTCTCATTCCTTCATACCTCAGTCATTGTCTCCAAACACTGAGGTATGGTTCATTGTCTCTCATTGTCCTGCCATGTCTTACTATATCCTCCTAGCATGTTTCATATCCTAGGTATTAATACTATTGAGTCATTGTCTCCAAACACTGAGCGTGTTTTGTGTCCTAGCTTCTAACAGGTTATGAGCTGTGATTTCTGACAGAAATCATATCAAGCTACATACCAACATGTGCCGTTCTCACAGCAACTCGCTGTAACCCTCCTCTATTGAAGAGACTCCCCCCCAACTTCCTTTGACATGAGGAAGCTTGATCACATTCCGGAATTGACAGGTCCAGATACACACTTTGCATGGAAACATGAGGTGATCTATGCCCTCAGTATTGAGGACCAGTGGTGCCATGTCATGGATACTGTGGATCCTGATGATGTTTTGGGCAATGCATCTTTCAAGCCTACAGTGGCGAACCCTTTGGCACCTACAGTTGACGAGATGAAGGTCATTTGTGAATGGCTCATAAATGACCTTAAGGCCAAGTCTATCATCACCCATTGCCTTTCTACCTCCATCCAACAGCTTATTTCAACCAGTCATAAGGTGGCTGCTTGTGATGCCTGGAAGATCCTAGAGGACCACTTTGACTGGGTGGACATGGGGTTACAACATGTCATCTGTCAAAGCATATATGTGCTGCAGATGAAGGATGCCACTGATGCCTCAAACTATGTGGGGCAACACTCTGTACTTCATGAATGGATGCTTTGCATGGGGGTGGTTTACACTGACACTGAAGCAGTGTTTCAACTTCTATGTGGTTTACCTCATACTGGGATATGGCCCCAGTTCAAGGCTCTCCTAATGTTGACTCTCCCCATTGCTACTCAAGCTGTCACCACCACCACCACTACTACTGTATCTGCATCTATAGCTACTGGAGCTGCCACTGCAGGATCTGCATCCTCCCTTCCCTCAGCCTCCACATTTGACACCTGTGTTGCTCACATCTCTGCAGAAGCTGCTCACATCCTCAATGAATGCATCCTTGCTAGAGGAGCTCCAGGATCTGAATATGCCCATGCAGCAACCACTACCTCTTCATCCACTGGGAACATTAACTCCATCACCAGCCTACAAAAACATTATCACAATCCTGAGGGTATCTTTTGCACCACAGTTGGCTGCAACAAGGGAGACCACGACCACGCACATTGTTATCAGAAGGGTAGTGTTACAAACTAGGGTAGTTCTAACAACAGATGACTCAATAAGAGTCAGGGACTTCTGTTGAGATTCTATACAGGATGATAAGTCAAGCATTCAGTGTAAGCTAATTTGAAGGGAGTGCCTTTGACTTAAAGTACAATTTGGATGACAAGAGATTGGAGGTCTCAAGTGAAGGATATTCAGGGTAAAACCTAGTAAGATTAAAGTGAAGAACTAAAGTATACAGGAGGCCTATTTATAGTAAGCTACTGTGCTTTAGGGCAGGTGTGAGAACAGAAGGAGTCAGAGATAAGAAGTGCGTAAGTGATAGTAAGAATAGATCATCTAGCAATGGCAGTTGTGGTTGTGATGTAATACAAGACATGAGTCAGAGATAAGTGTCTAGTGGCAGCATCATGCGGCTCATGATATAATACATGGTAATAGAGGAGAAATGAATAGGGGTGTACATGGTTGTAACATTACCCCTCATTTAGAGACAAAGTCACTGACTGTAGTTATCCTGATTGGCCCAATAGACAGGGTCAGCGTCATAGTTAGAGTCCAGCAAGTTGTTTTGCTCCTCTGTAATGGTATATGATGACTTATCAGCCATCTCGGCGGCATGGTAAATGGCGTCCTGCTCGATCTCCCAACAAGCGAGGGCTTTGTAGAAACCAGTGTCAGTCCAAACCAATGGGATGACCACTTCTCCTTTCAAGTCTTTACAAAAGACTGATAGATGTCCAGGTGCATACTCTTTGCAAACCTGGCAATAGTATGCTGGACAGTTCTTGTGATGCTGCCTGGCGACACGACAGTTGTGACATACAACATTATCAGTGGTTGCTGTCTTTATGGTGGTGACAGTGGATGACTGTGCAGGTGGAGATGGGGATCTAGATTGTCACTTATGGTTTCTGTGTGGGGAAGCTGATGCAGTTCACTTGGCAATGCGGGCGGATCTATGCCAGATGGGGTACTGACGTGTAGTGGGTGCGATGGAGGTAGGAGATGGAGAAGCTGGTATGTCAAGTACAGCAATAGGAGGGATATTATCATCTGAATGCTCAGTGGTAGCTGTCAGAATAACTGGCAGTGGGACTGGAATGGCAATATGTGGGGATGGGGGTCGTGCGACTGGGTTTGTAGCGATCCATTCAGTGACAATGTGGATAGCCTCTCTGATAGCTTCCTTAGTATCATCAGGCAGCAGATGGATTGCAGTATTACGAATATGTATATGAAGGTGGCAGAAGATGGTCTTGTGACGGTCATCGTTGAGAAGGTTAGTGGTGCACTTGATAAGGCTAGCATCTCTGATGATTCAGATAATAAGTCTGCTAGAAATTGCCCCTCTTTCTCCTAGGAGACAATCTATCTCAATAGCATATTGTTGGGATGTGATGGCAGATTCAAACAAGGCACTGGTCTCGATTTGATCAATGATTGTGAAGTAATCAGTGAGGGTGGAGTCACTGGTTAGGGTAGAGTTGGTTAATGGTGGGGAAGTGACTGGGGAAGGCATGTTTTCAATGGCAGCAAGGTTAGTGATGGTGGCAGTCTGGTAGTTGATAAGGGATAATGGGTGAACGATGTTCTCAGATACAGTGTTCATAGCAGCAGTGAGTTCTTCAATGCATTGGATGCAGAGGTGTAAGTGTTCAAGAGACATTGTTTTTAAGATTACAATCGATGGGTCTTTTTATATGCAGAGAGGACATTAGTGGCATTGCTGAGGTTCTCTTCTGGAATCCATTCGTTACTGGCAGAGGAGTATCCTTTCCAGGATACTAGATAGTGTCTTCATTTACCCGTTCCTTTGTGCAATAAGATCACATCAATCTTGTATTCTTCTTTGTTATCGATGATATCTGGGGGAGGATTGTGGAAGTTCGGGCCATGAATTTCTGTCTCATGATAGGATGATAATTCAGAAGCATGGAATGTAGGGTGAACTCTCCATTGTGGTGGTAGTTGGAGTGTGAACGTGATGGGTGATAGCACAGCAATGATAGGAAAAGGGCCATATTGCTTTGGCGCAAGCTTTCGTGATGGTAATTGCGTAATCAAGTTCTTTCCTGATAACCAAACCTTATCTCCTATTTTCCACGGTTGGTACTTCTGTCTGTGTGTTCATTCTGCCATTTGTTGCATAGCAAGGTTGCGACAAGAGAGTGCTTCTTCTCTTGATTTCTGAAGTAGGTGCAATTGATCTTCTGCAGCAGGTACAGTGGAATCTGGGAGAGTGTGTGGGAGAGCTCTGGGTTCATATCCCATCATAAGGAAGAATGGGGATGCATTTGGAGAGTTGTGTTTTTGATGATTATGGACAAACTCAGCCATAGGGAGGTGCTCTACCCAATCTTCTGGGTGATTGCAGCAATAAATGCAGAGATAAGTCTTGAGTTCCTGGTTGAGACGTTCAGTCTGTCCATCAGTCTAAGGGTGATAAGCGGTGGATGTGGCGATATCATATTTTAAGAGCTTAGCAAGAGCTTTTGAGAACTTTGATACAAACTGCAGTCCTCAATCAGATATGACTTTCTCATGGAGACCAAAGTGGTGATAGACATGTTTGAAAAACTTCGAGGCAACTCCTTCAGAAGTGATGGTTTTTGTGCAAGGGATCAGAATTACCCCCTTCATAAGGCCATGGTCAACCATGACCATGACAGAGTCAAAACCTGTGCACATGGGGAGATCAGTGATTAGATCAACAGAGACCTGGGCAAAGGGGGCAGAGGTGATGGAGGGGATAGGGACGAGTGGGGGAGTTACAGGGTGTGTATTGGATTTCATTTGCTGGCAAAGAGCGCAACTGTCAACGTATTTCTGGATATAGGAGCCCATAGAAGGCCACCAAAAGTCATGTTTGACAAGCTCTTCCATTTTAAAACAGCCAGGATGACCAGTGGAAGCATGGTCATGACAATGTTCAAGAATAAGGCGTCTCCCAGCAGGTCAGACATAGGCATGATCTTTGTAATACAGGATGTCCTCTTTAATTGTCCAATCAGCAAATGCAAATTTCATGCGGGGAAGTGATAGGCCATCAAGGGCATCTGCAGCAGCTTGGAAGATTGGGTTGGGATCAGTAGGGTCTGGGTTTGCGAGTGTGGTCATAAGTTCCACATCAAGAAGCCGTACAAACATAGAGTCAGGGAGGAGAGTAACATCATCATTGTCACTGTGTCCAGTTCCATGATCAGGACGTCACGAGAGGGCATTGGGGGTGGCAAGTTTAGTTCCAGCAATGTGATGGAGTTCGATGTCATAACAGGATAGGAGGAGTTGCCAATGTGCTTGGCGATGAGTCAATTTCTGTGCAGTACAGAAGTAAAGCAAATTTTTATGATCCGTAAAGATAATGACTGGATGAGGATTTCCTTCAAGGTAATGGTGCCATTCAGTGAGGGCACGAATAACAGCAAGAAGTTCATGATCAAAGATCTGATAATTCCTTTCGGCTGGGTTCAGGGTTTGAGAGAGATATCCACATGGATGATAGACTCCATTTTCATCAGTCTGTAGTAAAACTGCTCCAGTAGCGATGAGCAAGGTGTCAGTGGTGACGGCAAACTGCTTGGTAGGATCGGGGTTCCACAAGACAGGTTGCTTCAGGAAGCATTCCTTGAGCATGGTAAATGCAGAGGCACATGGATCCAACCAATAGAATACCATGTCTTTCTTGGTGAGGTTGATCAAGGGTCTAGTGATATCAGAATAATGAAGGACAAAATTGCGATAGAAATTGCAAAATCCAAGGAACAACTGAACTTCCTTCACTGTGGTAGGGACAGGCCAATCACGAATACCATCGGTTTTTGCGACATCCATTGCAATGCATCCAGGACGGATGATCATACCTAAGTATTCAACTTCTTCAGTGTCAAAGGTGCACTTTTCTGGTTTCAAGAATAGTCATTCTTTGCGGATTTGTTCTAAGACGCGACGAGTTCGAGCATGGTGGGAAGGGAGGTCATTTGAAAAGATAAGGATATCGTCCATGTAAATAACCAGCCATCCTTCATTGATTTCCTGCTGGAAGGTTCGATTCATATATGCCTGAAAGGTAGTGGGTGAGTTGCAAAGACCAAAGAACATGACATTAGGTTTGAAGAGACCATACTTAGTGGTAAATGCTGCTTTCCAATGATCGTTGGGGTGGATCCGGATGTTATTATATCCGGAACAAATGTCCATCTTTGTGAAATACTTGGTGCCATGTAATTGAGCTACCAAGGTCAATGGGAGTGGGAGAGGATATGTGTTCTTCACCGTCCAATTGTTGATATACCGGTAGTCCTGACAAGGGTGTAGGTCGCCACTTTTCTTTCTGACAAAGAAGAATCCACTGGCTTGTGGTGATTTTGATTCAGAGATGAATCCTTTCTGTATGTTTTCATTGATGAATGCTTTGACAGCGGTTCATTCTGCTTCTGACAATGGGTAGACCTTGGACGTTTTTGGGACAAAACCAGGTTTGGTATCAATTCAATGGTCAATCCCAGGATGTTCTGGGGGTAGCTGATTTAGTCCGTTTTTAGCAAAGATGTTGGCGAAGTCATGAAGGTAAGATGGGACAAGTTCTTCAAATTATTTCTTCTTCTGTTCAAGCCCAGCTGCTAATGCAAACTGTTGAGCTTTGTTACTGGTTTTGACATATTTGGTGGGCCATGACAAGGATGTGATCGTGGGTTTCTGTTCAGCAGCACTGGTACCATCTTTGGTTAACAGAGTGTCCATGGAAATATTGGTAATGACCTGGAGTTCAGTAGTATCAGCGGGGTACTCAACCAAAAATTCATTGTCATCAAGGTGGTACATAGTGAGTTCGCATACAGGTGGTGCATAGTCTGAAGTCCATACATCGTTTTTGGTATCAAAAGGGCCGTCATTGTCAGGGATGGGGTCAAGGTTGGGTAAAACTGGGGGTGCTTCTTCATCAGGGATTTCTTCAATCATAGCTTGGGGGAGTGGTTCTGGCACGGGTAGCACAGGAGGCACCTTCAGCAGCACTACAACTGGGACCTCTTCTTTCTTTAAATGGGAGTTCTTCCACATTTTATCAACTGGGGTTTCAATGGTTTTCTGAAAGAGAGGGGGAAGACTGTTCTTCTTTCATTCAGTGTCAACATCTTCTTCTATCAGATCACTCTTCTCGGTTCAAGAGAGTTCTAAAGTTTTGGCTTTCCACTGAATGATTGGATCCATGGCACGCAGCCAAGGGATTCCTAGCAAGATCTGATCACGATGACTAAGTTTCGTGATGTTGAATTTTCCAAGCATGGATCATTCATTGATTTTCATGATGAGGATGCAGTAGTGGGTGATTGTGCCTCCTTTCACATAACTTCCATCTGCTGTGGTTACTCGAAATGGTTTTGTGAGTTTATGCATTCAAATCTTGTGGAGTTTAACAAAATCTTCGGAGATGAAAGTTCCAGCAGCTCTGGAATCAATGACAGCGGTTGTTTCAATGGTTTTCAGGCGAGTTTTGGAGATAAGGGAAATAGGGACATGAAGTTCCTTTCTGATTCCTACACCCTGAACAAGTCTAATAGGTACATTGGAAGATACTGACATCGATCCAGTCTTCCACATCAAAAATCCTCGTTGATATGACAGACTTCTTCTTCATCTTCTTCGGCTGGCTCGGTGCGACACACAGGGGCTTTGCCAGTTCTTTTTCTTGGGACAATTACGGGAAATGTGGCCCTTCTGGTGACAGTTGAAACACTTGCCATTCTGGTAGTGTTCATTCTTCTCTTCCTCAGTGAGATAGTTGACTTCCATAGCATTTGGGTCATGGTGATCAATGGAGGGTCTGGGAATATAGTGTTGACTGGTAGGCTTTGTGGTTGTGTGATTGTTGTTACAGGAAGATTGCACCACTGTTGCCAGTTACCAGTCAAGTCTTATTGTGGCTTGGACATACTTGTTGAAGTCAGTAGGGATGGTTTCCATTTGATAAATGGCATTACCGATTCCCTTCTTGAGTCTGTCATTGAAGAACGTAATCAGGATGGCATCTTGCTTTACATTGGCTTGTGCAGCAAGGGTCCTGAAACTAGTGATATAGGAGGTGAGGTCGCCTGTCTGCTTCAAGGTTCAGAGCTTATTCATAGCTGTACCAACAGCATCTGCTGGCGCGAAATGCTTCTTTGAACTTGGTTTCGAAGTTCGCAAAGGTTCCATAAGATTTTGAGGTAGAGTTATCAACTTTGGTGTAGAACATCAGCGCCCAACCCATGGCACTGTCTTTTGTCATATACGCAAGTGTGGTAGTGACTTTCTTTTTGTTGGTATTGTAAACCGATGAGTTAACAGCAAAGTATGCTTTTACTGAAAATAACCATCTTAATGCGTGGTCAGGGCTCCTGTCGTAGTCTTTCAGTGTTCTGGCTTTAAGTTCAGATGAAGAGCTGGACATTCTGATACTAGGATGTGCAGAAAGATTTCAGGGTGGTTGTTCTTCTGGGAATTCGTCTACTGATGTAGTTGAATGATGGTCAGGTTCTGTGGTTACAGGGGATGGGATTCGTCTCTCTCTGTTCTCTGTGATATCCAGACCTTCGGCCTCATGATATTCTTCTTCTTCTGGTTCTGTGGGGATGTCATTTGGGTCAGTCTCCCACCAATACTTTCTAACCCAAGGGGTTGTCTTGCTTTGAGCTACTGGGGCCTCCCTGGATGGAGGTTCGATAATGACTTTAATCTTTTGTTACAAACTAGGGTAGTTCTAACAACAGATGACTCAATAAGAGTCAGGGACTTCTGTTGAGATTCTATGCAGGACAATAAGTCAAGCATTCAGTGTAAGCTAAGTTGAAGGGAGTGCCTTTGACTTAAAGTACAATTCAGATGACAAGAGATTGGAGGTCTCAAGCAAAGGATATTCAGGGTAAAACCTAGTAAGATTAAAGTGAAGAACTAAAGCATACAGGAGGCCTATTTATAGTAAGCTACTGTGCTTTAGGGCAGGTGTGAGAACAGAAGGAGTCAGAGATAAGAAGTGCATAAGCGATAGTAAGAATAGATCATCTAGCAACAGCAGTTGCAGTTGTGATGTAATACAAGACATGAGTCAGAGATAAGTGTCTAGTGGTGGCATCATGTGGCTTGTGATGTAATACATGGTAATAGAGGAGAAATGAATAGGGGTGTACATGGTTGTAACAGGTAGTGGCATGGAAGGACAAGCCCCCTGGATGAAGGGGAAGAAGAAGGAGAAAGAGACAGCTGCTTCTACAGTTGCTCCTCCTCCTCCCCCTAAACTGGTGGCTGCTGCACCACCTCCCTCCTTACTGCATTCGCAGGTACTGAGGTGGCAGCTGAATCTTTCCTAGCAGATCTCTCTTGTGCATCCATTGTTGAAGTGCCAAATGAGGAATCCCAGCCAGTGGACACTGCAATCCTATTCTGCATTGTTGCTGCAGGATTCAACACCATCCTTGATTCTGGAACTACCACCACTCTTGTCCAGGATCACTCGTACTTCTGGTTGTATTCTATGGCTGATGCAGTCACCGTTTGCACTGCTAATCACAGTAGTTTGAGCACATCAGGTCATGGGGATTGTGTTGCTATTCTGACCATAGGCAGCAACTAACACCATGTTTGCCTCACAAACTGCTTGCACACACCTTTGGCAATGTTAAACCTACTATCAGTGGGTTGGATGCTAGTAAGGGCTGGGACTGTGTCTTTCAGGTGTCTCCACCTCAGTGTGAGCTCATATATACAGTGGCTCAAAAAACTGTCTGCATGTTTTGACATTTTTCACTATCTATGATATTGTGTGAGAATGAACAAATGCCTCAAGGACATGCTTATACCACATTGTAGTATGGCTTCAGGGCTTTCATTTGAGCGCTACACCGTGGGAATCGGTGGAGATATGGTGGAGACATAAGGCTTACAAAATCATGACTCATGCGGACAGTTTTTTGAGCACATATTAAAACTATATAAATCATCATTTATGACACCATAACAATCATGCCACCATTAAATAAATTATAAAGTGGTGTCATTATGTCATTTTAAAACCATATCTAACTATACAAACCAAAAATTTCCATATGTCATGGTTATATTCACCATGAAAGCCACCCCCCCTGCTCAAAGGGATAATATCCTCTCTCTTTCCTATTCTGGCCTCTCTGCTTGTCAAATTTCCTCTAGAACTGGAGTATCCAAGTCCACTGTGGCCAAGTTCATCAAAGAAAGTCACACAGACAAGGAAAACTTCTGTGAAGGGTGTCCATCCAAGCTCACCTCTACTGATAGGAGGGCTATTATTCAATATATTACTACAGGAAAGACTGATAATGCTGTCCAAGTCACCTATTACATCAATTCCACCATCACATTCCCTGTCTCTTCACACACTGTGAGAAACATTCTCAAGACAGCTCATCTCAGGTCAGTAACAAGGAAGAAAAGGCTCTCCTCTCTATCACATATATGCAGAGAGGACTAGCACCCTTCTTGTTTCACATATATACCTTGCCATCTGACCCAATCCTATTTATTGTGGTCTTATATGATCATATAACATGCTTCCAGTCCATGTAATCCAATTCTGATGGGCTAAGGCAAAGGTTAGTCATCTCTGTTTATGTGTGATAGAGAGGAGAGCCTTTTCTTCCTTGTTACTGACCTGAGATGAGCTGTCTTGAGAATGTTTCTCACAGTGTGTGAAGAGACAGGGAATGTGATGGTGGAATTGATGTAATAGGTGACTTGGACAGCATTATCAGTCTTTCCTGTAGTAATATATTGAATAATAGCCCTCCTATCAGTAGAGGTGAGCTTGGATGGACACCCTTCACAGAAGTTTTCCTTGTCTGTGTGACTTTCTTTGATGAACTTGGCCACAGTGGACTTGGATACTCCAGTTCTAGAGGAAATTTGACAAGCAGAGAGGCCAGAATAGGAAAGAGAGAGGATATTATCCCTTTGAGCAGGGGGGGTGGCTTTCATGGTGAATATAACCATGACATATGGAAATTTTTGGTTTGTATAGTTAGATATGGTTTTAAAATGACATAATGACACCACTTTATAATTTATTTAATGGTGGCATGATTGTTATGGTGTCATAAATGATGATTTATATAGTTTTAATATGTGCTCAAAAAACTGTCCGCATGAGTCATGATTTTGTAAGCCTTATGTCTCCACCATATCTCCACCGATTCCCACGGTGTAGCGCTCAAATGAAAGCCCTGAAGCCATACTACAATGTGGTATAAGCATGTCCTTGAGGCATTTGTTCATTCTCACACAATATCATAGATAGTGAAAAATGTCAAAACATGCAGATAGTTTTTTGAGCCACTGTAGAGGTACTGAACTTGGAGCCATTCCCATGGTGAACAACCTGTGCTATATCAACCTTGAGTTCTTGCCTGTCCCATCTGCTCAGATGCCTGCCACTACACCAAGCATTCCTCCTTTCCCACCTGACTTCTCAGCATTCACACATGTCACACTGACCCTCGACCTATGGCATGCTCACCTAGGTCATGTCAGTGGTGAAGCTGTTTGATGACTCCTCCTTTTTGCCACTGGTGCAACTGTGTCTGCTGGTTCAGTCCTGTCAAAATGTGAATCCTGCATCATGGGGAAGCATCCCTGAAGGCCTCATCCTCCCTTGGAAACACCTCATGCAGCTCAGTTTCTTGATCTCATTCACTCTGACCTCTGTGGCCTGATCCCCATCATCATGCCCCACAATAAATGGTACTTCATTGTGTTTCTCAATGACTACATGAATGTCTTAAACATTCAGCTCCTCACCACAAAAGATCAAGCTTTAGATGCTTGGCAAGTCATTTGTGCCTGGTGGGAAAACCAATCTGGACTACAGGTGAAGGTGTTTCACTTGGACAATGGGGGTGAGTTCCTGAATGCTGCATTCACTGCAGATCTTGAGGCTGCTGGCATCATATATCAACTATCAGTGCCTTATGCACATCAGCAAAACAGTAAGGCAGAGTGAGTCATTTGCATGATCCAAGGCAGGATGTATGCCATGCTTGATCATGTTCGCTTGCCTCATTCTCTCTGGGGTGAAGCAGCCATATATGCAACTTATCTATTCAATCACACTGAGTCTCACTCTCTTCCTCCAGGAGCAACGCCCTATGAGATGCTGCATGGTAAGAAACCGGATGTCACTCATCTCCAGGTCTTTGGCACTCAATGTTTTGTACATATCCCTGCCAAACTGCAGGAGAAATTGGGGCCATGTTCATGAGAGGCCATGTTCATGGAATATCCTCCTGGTTGTGGAAAGTCTAGTAAAGACTCAGTGGAAGTTAATAGAATAACGCTATATTAATAAGTACCTAGTAAAGACTAGGTTACATGTGAGCAGGTGTGTCAACTACATGGTACAAGATGAGCTCACCTCAGTGGAAGTTAATAGAACAACGCTGAGGTGAGAAAAGGCATGAAGCGAGTACATATGGGTCTATGTAGGATCTGTGGCTGAGTGGTGAAGGTGCTATACAGTACATAGTAAGAGGCAAGAACAATGACATGTTGGGAATACGTGATTATGTCAACACACCCCCTCAGTGAGACACCAGCTGGAGACCAGGCAAGTATTTCTTGAAGAGATGACATGGGAGCACTTTGGTAAAAATGTCTGCAGTATTCATGTGCGAAGGCAGCCACTTAAGTAGGAATGTCCCCTTTTCAATATGCTTCGACTGAATGTGGTTCCATGCCTCCATTGATAGCAAGATTGCCCTAGTATTGTCCATGTAGATCAGGACAGGAAGAGTGAGGGGGATGTGGAGCTGGACAAGGAGGGATTTCAACCAGAGGCCCTCTTGGATGGTGTGAGTGACTGCCATGTACTCAGCCTTTGTAGAGGACAGCATGTGAGTGGTCTGCTTTTTGGAGATGTGTGCAATGATCCCACCAGTGAAGAACCAGACATAGACGGAGATGGAGAGATGGTCCTCAGGTGAACTCACCCAGTCGGTGTCACAGTAGGTGTGTAGTCCCTCATTCACCTGAGCACCCCAATAGTGGAGATGGAGGTTCTGAGTCCTGGAAAGGTAATGAACAGGTCATTTGGTGGCAGCAAAATATGCAGGGGATGGGTTTGAATTGTGTTGAGTGAGGGAGTTAACCGCATATGAGATGTCAGGACAAGTGCACACTGCAAGGTACAATAGCTCTCTGATGAGCTTGTGGAATCTGCTGGGGAGGTTTTTGATGTTAACATGCATGTTGTCCGGCTGGCCAAAAGGGTGATGAGAGTTGAGGGGAAGACGGACAGGGTTGCAATCCATGAGACCATACTCATTGAGCAGGTAAGCAATATACTCTCCCTGGTGCATCCAAAGCTGACAAGATGCAAAGTCCCTTTCAAATTGTATGCTGAGGAATTTTGTGATAGGACTGAGGTCCTTAATCCTGAAGCATCTGTCAATTTTGCACTTCACAGAGGTAAGGAAGGCAGGTGAGCTGGAGGTTCCAAGTCTGTCGTCAATGTGGAAACTGACAATGCAGATGATGCATGTCCCTGAGATGACTTTGTTGAAGATGAAGACTGCATGATCAATGACACAACAGGAGAAGCCCAATTCCATCATTACTGCCTGTACCTCCTCATACCACTCCATAGTGGATTGTTTCAACCCATAGATGGTGCGAAGCATACACCAGACTTGCATGCACCAATCCCCCTCTTCAAAACCTTTTGGCTGCCTCATATACAATTTCTCTTTTAACACCCCCCACAGGAAAGCTCTCTTTGCATCAAAAGAGTGGAGGACCCATCCATGTTTGCAGGCAAGTGCTGTGATGGGACGTAAAGACACTGTTTTGATGACTGGGGTGAAAGTAGCGCCATAATCTATGCCAGGAATTTGTGAGAAACCCTGCACAATGAGACATGCCTTGTGTATGGGTCCACCCTTGTTATCTTCCTTAAATTCTAACACCCAGTGATTGCCAATTGCTCATTATCCTTCTGGAAGTGGGGTGACCTTGTAGACTTTCATTTCTGACATGATACCGAGCTCCTTCTTCATCGCCGTGAGCCACTCATTGCAATCTGAATGGAGCATGGCCTCCTCATAAGTTGCTGGAGGTATCTTCATGTCGTAGCCTTTACTTAGTGGGTTCCTTTTCTGGTTGCTGCGAATGCTAATGTTTGCTTGCTCCTTGATGATCACATTGGTGAATACTTCTGGTATGTTGATGTTGGGCTCTATCTCCTCCAGGTCTTCTGTTGGGGTGTCTCAAGTGCCTTCTTGGTCCAGCACCCCCTTACTCAAGGGAGCTACCCCCACATGTTACTGGTGCTCCTCACAAAGAGTCTGCAGCCACACCTTGGAGGCAGCAAGGTCATCTGTGAAGGCACGTCCTGCCTCAGTGAGCACATGTGAGTGTGTGGACTTCCAGGGAGCAGGTAGGATGGCAGGGATGGGTGCAGGAGGCAGGATGGCAGGTGATAAAGAAGCAGGTGGCATAGTGCATGAAGGTGAGTCCTCACCATCAGAGTCGGAGTCGGAGCTGTGATTGTGAGCAACACCAGGCATGTTTTCATCGAAGATGACATCACGAGCAACAAAGAAAGCCCCA